CGGAAGCCCACGCAGCACTACGGGGGCTTCAGGAGGCTGTAAAGCTTCCGTCCAACAGCATGGCAGATAACGTCCACATCTGCCTCGATAATCTCGCGGTTGCGGGTAGGCTCATCTGTCCAAGTCCCGGAAGCAGTCAAGCAAAGTTCACCGCCTTCCAAGAGCTGTCCAAAACCTGGTCACAGAGAGAGCGAAAACCCTGGACATCCCCGGGACAAGTGTATATCTGGTGGTGCCCAGGACACGTAGGCATCCCCGGAAACGAAGAGGCAGATGTCCAGGCCAAAGCGGCCTGTGAGCAACCACCCAAGACACAACACCCGGCCTCATTCGCACATATAAAGAGAATCGCGAGATCCTACACTTGGAAGAGTTTCAACGATCGATGGGCCACTACCTGCCCTCAACAGTATCGAGATCTAGGGATCGCTATCCACCCGCGACCCCCCGAACTTGGCCTGCCCCGGCAACACCTAGGCAGATTACTCGCAGCGAGGTCGTACCACGGGGATTTCGTGACCTACCACGAGAGACTCCAGCATCGCGAAGCACTGCTCAACTGCGGGTGTGGAAAGACAAAGACACCAGTCCACTTCTACTTTTGCAAGCGCGGCCGCAAGGCCACGCCCGGTCATCTAAAAGCGCATATGGCCAAGAATAGTATAGATTCCCTCCTAGGCACGGCCAAGGGAGCTCGTTGTTTTGCCAATGGGCGGAGGAGACCAATTTCTTTACTGAGATCTGCCCATCGCACTGAACAGGAATGTTAGATGAAGACAGCCCCCTGTAACATAGATTCGACTAGCATTGACCATGCCGGCACTGCGCCCGGCACGTCTCACGTGATGAGACGTTAAATTTCAATCAATCAATCAATCAACCAACAGGATATGTTGGCAGAGAACATATCCAAGTGGGGATCAGTGAAGGAGAAATGGGTATATAAGGGACAGGACTCCCAGGTATTTCACAGATAGACAGTCTCTACTTCAGTGATCAATCTAAGCATCAATCTAACTGTCAGGTTACGGCCTGGACCGAAGGCGATAGTACAGAGTGAAGGGGAGAAATAGGCGTGTCCCCCTGGTGGTCACCTGGTGGTCACTGGTGGTCACTTGGTGATGGCAGGTAGGGGTGTCCACAGTAGTTCATTGATCTCTGCCCTCTCTATCTTCCTCCGTCTCGACTCCTTACTTATAGCCAGCCGAGGTTCTCTCTTGGATTCTGGATGTTTGCTTCCGTATGTCTGTGTTCCTCCGACTTCGGCCAATATCTTGGATAGCGGCTCCTTATCTGCAACCAAGCGATTCCTTATCCGCTGCAAACGGCTTCAACAGCTCTCATTCGCCACAAGCAGCTCTCTAGCCGCCACAAACGGCCTCCCGGCTCCTCATTCGCCACAAACGGCTTCCTTCCTGGTGGAAGCCGGCCCGCCTCGGATGACACTTGTGGCTCTGACACTAACCCATTGATGAGGCAAACCGCCTTGACGACTCTATTCCCAGTTACCCTTCTTGAATACTTCAGTTACCCAGAGTCCTATACTCCATACGTCAGACCCCGATATTATTGCTAAAGGATTCCGCAGCAGGACTTACTTACTAGCACAAACCCTTACAGACTCTTTAGTGGTTTACGCAGCTAGACTATTAGAGGTTTCGTTACAGCAGGCCGGTATCAGCTAACAAACTGTGTCGGGAGGGTTTCGCTCCCGATCCAGTAGAACTCCGGATTCACCCTAGTTAAAAAGGAGATGTCGGACACTCCTACCTAAGTTAGATTCCTGAGTCGGCTGGTGTAGTTGGTCACTTCGCTGGTAGATAAGTCCCGATTTGAGCCTCACCCACTTGGGTCGGTGACGAGTCGCGGGTTCGAATCCCGCAGCTGACACACAAGGGGGTTTAGTCAACCCTTACGGTGCGCTGCCCACCTTGTTGACTTCGCCTACCTAGCGATAATAGGGAGATTGGTGCAGTTTAGGATTACGAGAATCCTAGCCAGTCGACCGTCAAGCACTACGTCGGCGGAATATAACTCGACAGCCGGTCCAGAATTCGAATCGTTAATCCGACCCCCTTATCGGACCCCCTCTCGCCGCGATTCTTGCGAGCGTCTAGACCACGTTACGGTCTATCCACTTGAGCGTATGGTTGAGATGTATACGCTAGACGAGAACCCCAATTAGCAGATACTACGACTTGTTGCGACAAAAAATAGTCGAGCATCTTCTGCACATCAGCAGCATCCCACCCCTGAGGACGAATTTAAGTGCCACATTACCACACTTATCGGTAGTTCAGGCAGGGGTTGTAGCACAGACTTAGGGAGGGACAGGAGGTTTAGTAGTCGTTTGGCTACAAGTTTACCTGTATAACTGCCCGACGCGGCTTAAGGGCCCGCTATATCATCTATAGCCCCTTAAGGGAGTATTTGTAGAGGTACCGAGGGTTAACACCTACGGCGTATTTAATATTTTTTTTTTAGATTCCTGAAGAATTAGTCTTGCAATATTGATACGTGACCCCATGGGGGGTTACCCTGTAGCTATAGATAAGATAGATAAGAGCTATAAAAGAGCTCTGCTAGGCCAGAATAGCTGACCTGGCCATCCTTTCCCAATACAACAATTCACACCCTATATGCACTCGTATCAAATATACATACCCATATTACCAGCGAACTATCAGCCGCTCTTTACACTACCTAACTATTATTCTTAAGACCTATGGTATCCCCGCTACATATTATTAATTAAGACCCTCCTAACGTGAATGTACATCGAGCTGGCCATGACACCGAGCTGGCCACTTTGATGCGCCAACGCGACCGGCCAACTTAATGTTTGATTTTCTCAACAACCAATTATGGCAAAGTCATACAACGAAGCAGACTTAATGCTAGCCCTTCAAGCTCTCAAAAATGACCAAAAACTTAGTCTCCGACAAGCGGCAAAAACGTACCAAGTCCCCCGAAGCACCCTCCAAACGCGTAAAAACGGCGGCTCGCCCTCGTACGGGCCGAGTGCGCTGAGCTTCGAGAGGCAAATAAGATGCTAAGCCGGCGCCGGAGGACTAAAAAAATGCAATTACGGGAAGGAGAATCACTTATTTTCCAAGAAGGACTGGACCTATGGGACTCTAGGGAGTTGACGACGCAGATACAGCAAGAAGAGCGCCGAAATGGTGGTCGCGCAAAGCGTGTTGAAACGCGCCCGAGGCGCTGTGGTATTTGCAACGGGACTGGGCATAATGCGCGAACTTGTAAGATCGCATTGCCATCTTCTGGAGAGGAAGATTCAGAGTAGTTTCAATTGATTTACGGCGTTGTGGTTTTACTATCGTAAAATTTCTATGCGAGGTTATGTAAGGGTGGCCAGCTCGGTGTACATTCACGTTAGTACTTACTTACTAGTATAAATCCTTGTAAGCGGTTATAATGGTAATAAGACAAGGATTAATGGCAACGAGACCGGAAATAGAGGAACCGGGGCATTCAGAGAGATAGCAGGCTGCAGACCTTCGGTTAAGAGGGTGTGTGAGAAGTTATAGCCTTAGGTGTGGAGGGGTACGAGGCAGGTAGCCACTCGTTGCAGTATTTAGGGATCCCTCGGGTCTAGCTTAGGATTAGTCCCTCACGCACCTTCATAGTACTAATACAGCCCCGAGTACTTAGATTCCGATAGATATTATCATATTCATTGGTAAGGGTTAGTGAAAGACCGACCTCGAGGTTCTGGTTCAAAATCAAGGTATTAATAGAAAATTCAAGATACGAGCGACAGCAAGCTTCGTAAGAAAAAAACCATTCGTCGGTTTCGTCCTTGTGGAGATCGAGATCAAATAAGTATAGCTACGTGAGGAAACAGGGGAGGTGCTTCGGGGGTTTCGCGATTTTCATTCTAGTGCAAAGTCCCCCAATTCTCACTACCTTCCAATTTCAGCACGCAAGATACACGAGCAAGTGGCCTGCACTAAATCTTGGGGACTGATTATGCGATGCAAGTTGAGGTATCTGACCCGAGAAGCTGGACGTGATATCATTTGTGAAGATCTCCCGTGGCGAGGAAGCCACTGTCGACGCACCCCATGTGGATCCGTCTTGGCGTTAGTTGGTTAATCTATATTCCTTTCGGCTAAATGGAGCCGAGCTTGACGTTGTACGTGAGTAACGGCAGGGCCCTAGAGAGTCCTACAAGATGAGGGGGGTTCCAATTGCAGCCCTGGGATGTCAACGTGTCCTCGCCCCTTCCAAAATTGTTGCCCCTTCGTCTTTTGCTTGATGTCAAAACGGGCTGAATCACGAGGCCCACAGGGTCTCGATGCTAGCTCGTGCGGCTGTATGTGAACATAAATGTTTCTGAAACTATCGCTGTCTTCTGCCTTTCCGAGCCTTTGCTTTCTTTTTAACAACATTCATGAGCCCTTGGGCCTGCTCGTCCGATGCGATGGGAGCAAGAACGTGCCCAACGTTGCGAGTCAGCAAACAAGGAGGCGAGCCTCCGCTTCTCCATGAAGATGTCCCGCTATCTGTGGAAGAATGACTTCCATCTAGAAGCATGCCATGGGTTGTTAGGAGTAATGATGCAAAGGCTTATCAACGTCCAATCAAGCCGTCGTACTTATACGAACCTTCCACAGTAGTATTTTGCCGACAATTCTTGCAAGCTTCCAGGCGTCGAACTAGTTGATGCACCAGTCAGCATGCTTGACAATCTCGACCTGGGTGCTGATGCGACGCTACATGCAGCAGCCAGGATCGTTGGGTCGCCTGAGCTAGAGACTTCAACCAGGGCCTCCCCCGGTCTCATCTGGCCCGCACCTTCACGATACTGCAGTACACAAGCGTCGCGCTAAGTACAGTAGGTTGTGTCACAATGGAAGCAGGTTAGAATGGAAGACCGCGGTCCATACTTATCGCTATCAACCCCGTACATGGCTCCTTCCTGTTCCAGTGCGCTCCCCGAGGTGGCGCCGTGCCCTGTTCTTTTGCATTCGATAAGACGTGGGGGCAGCGGCCCGAAACCTGCCCTATTGGCTCTACCTAACCACGCATAGTACTGCTGCTACGTATATAAGCCGGCCTGCGCAGTGCCTTGGCACGGCCTTGGTTCCACCATCCGCAACGGCTATCGAAGTCTTGGAGTCTTGGTCTTGTCAATCTTGCATCTTGGACACATTACGATGGTGTTCGGCTTCCGCAAGCGGGCACAGGGCCCTGTCGAAATGACAACCGAGGCCAGCCCACCGCGCACGGAGTCGGAGGGAACCCCGATCAAGTCCGAGACGGCCCACGCGACGGGCGCTGACGGCGACGTTGTGACCGTCGACACCGGTGTGGACCAACTGAAGAAGTTTCAGAAGACGCATCAGTGGGATTTCAATTTGGACTACGACCAGATTGACACTGTCAACACGGTCATCAACAATGATGATAGCGAGAAGGCGGCCAATTTCGAGCACACGTTGCTCGAGGAAGACTCGCCCTACTTTGAGGTCCGCTCCTCTGTTCGCAACTATGATGAGTGAGTTCTCGACGTTAGGGTTAGTGTCATATATGTTTCCAGGTGCTGACGTGCGACTCCAGGCGAATGCCTGCCAACACCATCCGAGCTTGGTTCATCGGCATGGTGGCCACCACCATCGTCTCGGCTGTCAACCTGCTGTTCTCCCTCCGCAACCCGTCCATCAACATTGCCGTTTATGTCATTCAACTTCTGGCATATCCCGTTGGGTGCTTTTTCGCCCGGGTAAGTTCGTATCTCTTCGACAATTGCACGTGCAGTGGTTAACAAGTCTAGACCCTTCCCAACCATCAGTTCAACACCTTTGGCCTCAAATGGAACCTCAACCCGGGACCGTTCAACATCAAGGAGCACGCAGTCATTGTCATGATGGCCAACGTGTCACTCCAAGGCGGTGTCGCGTACGCCACCGACGTTCTCTTGGCCCAGGAAATCATGTACAAGCAAAAGTTTGGCTGGGGATTCCAGATGCTTCTTGTCATCACTACCCAATGCTTGGGTTTCGGCATGGCTGGAATCGTGCGGCGCTTCTTGATTTGGCCGGCTGCTATGATCTGGCCCCAAACGTTGGCTAACACGGCACTGATGTATGCTCTGCATGACCACAAACCCTCGGATCCTAGAGATACCAACGGCTGGTCCATCGGAAGATACCGATACTTCCTCTTCGTCTTGTTGGGTAGCTTCACCTGGTATTGGTTTCCCGGTTGGATTGCGACTGGTCTCAGCTATTTTGACTGGATTGTCTGGATCGCACCCACTAATGTCATCGTCAACCAGATATTCGGCAACCAGACGGGCTTTGGTCTCATCCCCATCACCTTCGACTGGACGCTTATGACTGCTTTTGTTGGCAGCCCGCTTCCCTACCCATTGTTCTCCATTGTCAACACCCTTATCGGAGTCGTCATCTTCTTCTTGATTGGCGGACTGGGGGTCAAATACACCGGAGCTTGGTCATCGGACTACCTCCCGATCGCCAGCACTGGCTCTTTCGACAACACGGGTAAGGCGTACAATGTGTCGCGCATCGTGACACCGGAGTTGACTCTCGATGTCGCGGGATACAAGGCTTACTCTCCGTTGTTCTTGGCAACTTTCTTTACACTTTGCTATGGTGTTTCGTTCGGTTCGTTGTCTGCGATCGTCGTCCATACCATTATATTCCACGGCAAGGAGATCGTTGAGCGTGCGAGGCTGGCACGAAACCAGGATGCCGATGTCCACTTGAAGATGATGAAGAAGTATGAGGATACACCTAACTGGTGGTACTACTCTCTGTTCATTGTTCTCTTTGCCCTCTCTCTGGTCACAGTTCTCCACTGGGACACCCACCTCACATGTGAGTACAAGATTCCCGTAATGGCTTGGATTGAACTGACAGCACCTCTAGGGTGGGCCATGATTGTTGCAATGCTGTTGGCAATTGTGTTCCTTATACCGATCGGAATGATACAAGGAATTACAAACACCCAGTATGTCCCCCATCTTCCATAAACATTAGTGTCTGGCGACTAACTTGTTGCACTAGGATTGGCCTGAACGTTTTGACCGAATTCATCGTCGGTTATATGCTGCCCGGGAAACCTCTAGCCATGATGCTTTTCAAGACCTATGTAAGGACAGGCAGCACATAATTGAGTATGGTAGTTTCAAACGCTAAACTAGTTCCAGGGCTACATTACGATGTCTCAAGCTCTGTACTTCTTGCAAGACATGAAGCTTGGCCACTATCTTAAAGTACCTGTAAGTTATACACTTCTCCGATTCATTTGTTGCCAAAGCGATCTAACTATCGAATCAGCCTCGGGTCACCTTCTTTGCGCAGGTTGCCGCATGCTTGTGGGCATCCATTGTCCAAATCGCCGTTTATAACTGGGCCATGGGCAACATTGAGGATATCTGCGATCCGGAGCAACCTGACGGTTACACGTGTCCGGGCGCAACCGTTTTCTTCACCGCATCTGGTTTGTCACCGCCATGCCGGAATTGCTTTGAGGAGCTGATACTGACATGACTTATAGTCATATGGGGTCTTATAGGCCCAGCACGCATTTTCGGCGCTGGTGCCATGTACTCTGCATTGCAGTGGTTCTGGCTCTTCGGCGCTGTGTTGCCTATTATCACGTATTTCGCAGCCAAGAGATGGCCTAGCAGCCCCATCCGATACTTGCACTGGCCTATCATCTTTGGTGGAACCGGATTGATTCCTCCGGCCACCACTTATATTTACTTATGCTGTAAGTTTACTCTACCCTAAACTTCCATTAATTACCACGCGCAATTCGTACTAATCCCACTCTTTAGGGGCGTCCATTGGAATCTTCTTCAATGGCTTCATTAAGCGAAGATTCAAGGGATGGTGGGGCAAGTACAACTACGTCACCTCGGCCGGCCTTGACACCGGTCTTTATTTGTCGACCATAATCATCTTCTTCGCCCTCGTCCTGCCGCAGAAGGTCAACCCCCCTCAGTGGTTTATGAACCCGCCCGCCGACGGTAACCCCAACATTACCAACGCCTTCAACAACCTTGATTCAAACGGCGCTGCTATCAAGTTGACCGTTGCCGACGGAGAGACTTTCGGACCCCCCCCTGGCTCGTGGTAAACCTGTGACGAGAGAATCTCGTGTTGGGAATTAATGTTGTGGGAGGGAATATGGTTTAGCACATGTTTGATACCATATTTCTCTCGTAAGTACAGAAGGAGACGGCGGCAACGTGAAACATTCTTTTACCAGACTGTTGAGATGTGACTAGCTCTATTCTTACGACGCCAGCAGCTTGATTAACTAGTCCAAGTGCGATCTGACATTGCTTCTGCTCTCATATCTCCATTGAAGTTCTAACTAGGATTTATTGGCTGTGGATACTACTTCCCTGCTGCTTTAAGACATGTAACGGTTTCTAGTTTGGATTTGCCTTCAATGAGCAAGGTTTCTGAATACGTAAAACCTGTTAGACGAGTGAGAAACGTGGATAAATGAGATTTGTAAATAAGAAAGGCCTATAATGACAGTAAATTGAATCTTCTCATACAAATAAGGCTAAATAATTTAAATCCATTAATACTTATTAGTGAAACGTGGTCAAGCGGTCAGTAGGATATACCCACCACCTAACACAATGAAAAGACGGCTCCAGTACTGTTAGGCAACCTTGGTGGGCTTTGCCAAGACCACCAAGGTTACCACGTGACTTAGCCCTTCGGGACTAAGTCCAACCTTCGTGCTCCATAGGACTAGATAGAATGTCATGCTTTTACAACCTCACAAATCTTTGACCACCTCTGCGTGTAACAAGTACCAACAGATTCCATCTGTTGGTCTGATCAGGACAAGACAAGGCCTTCCATAGTCGTTAAGGCTAAGATGAAGGTAAAATAATGGATTCTCGAAAGCTGTGTCTGAATGCATAACCTTACTATCCGGGAGGTGGAAACAATAACAAAATCGCGAGCCTTCTTGCTCCGATCAGATTAACAAGAGTACCTCAGCCGTTCTTACTAACTTCGTAGTATCTAGTATATGCCTGTAATAGGTATTAAGGCTTAGCCGCTGCAACATAACCATTCTACCGGTAGATGAAAATAAACGATAACATTTAGCTAATATAGCCTGCATTGTAAGGAAATCCAGTGCTATTAACGAAAGACGTAGGTACTTTAACCAGCAGTTATGCAAGTAGCTAGTTGTCAGGGTGCGGCGAGGCCGAAGGCAATAGTATAGAGTGAAGGGGGGTAATAGGTGTCCCTCCTCCTTATCACCGGGTGGTCACTCGTGGCCACTAGTAGCCTCAGGTAGGGGTACCCAGAGTAGTCCATTGGTGTTTAACCTTCTTCCTATATTACTCCAAGATACCTCCCTTACATAGAAAATCAGAGCCCGTATATCGGAGCAGCAGAGCACTAGTTCCTCCGGTTCCTCAGTATACCAAGACTTCCATATTAGGTCACGACTTGCAGGTCCCTACACCGGTGCCCCGCCGGCGCCCGACAGGTGTCTTGCAGTCGGCACTCTGACACTAATAGGGTTACGTGTATCCGTACCTATCTTATAGTTACTAGCACCCTAAGTAGTGTACACAAGGGAGGACCAAGCCCCTAGGCTAATAAACTCAAAGATCCTGAATGTCAGTTGATCATTGACATATGGTCCGGCTAACTACTATATACAGTACTCTATAGCTAAATCATCGCCAAGTAATGTGACAGCTGTGAAATTGGGGCTTCTTAGTAGGTAGCCAAGTAGGTAAGATATCTAATTTAGCGTAGTATTTATAGTTTTAGCCGTACCAATCCAAATAGGCCGGTTAACCTAAGTCTCTTCAACCTATAGATAACCGTATCCTAGATTAGTAGCTTACACGCTTAGATGGTTAATTGCTGCTATTTACAGGGCTTCCGAGTTTTATTCGGCATGTAAATAGTGCACGTCTTGCGAGGGATTCTAGAAATAGAAGCCGATGCAGCTTTCGTATATATGATTGAGCCGCAAGGAGCAGTGCTATGTAAGCAATGATCCTGCTGATTGTTCAATGACCAGCTATTTAGAATATTTAATGTGGCATTGAGCGTCACAGATATGTCCTAGACCGAAGCGGTATAGTTGCCAGTTTAGATAATGGGTCAGACCCTTCCTCACAGAGAGAAAGAGAGCACCTTACAGAACCTCTCGACGCCAACCTACGTAGCACAACGCGTGGAGCAGGCATAATGCTCAATAGGACATCTATTCAGAATTGACAAAAGAGGGCCGATTCCCGCAAATACCTTGGCGCACCTTACTCAAGAAATTTAGTGCCTGAAGATACGCAACCGGACAAGGTTGTAATCCTCCTTCGCGGCCGGCTTTCACGATCTAATTTCTAACCTCAGATTGCTAAAATTCCCCTCGTAGCATATTCATAGGCTAAAAAAACAAAGATGCTGTATTTTTGGGTGGGTATGGGTTTTATTGGTCCTTTCATATGCTGTCCGACGGTACCTTCCCAGCTGTAGAGGAGCTTAGTCGCGCAGGAACAGTAGCTCAACTAATACCGTATAATCCATGGTTGCGCGGCCGAAAAAGCAACCCTCAGACGTAGAAGCTCTATGGAACTGAATATTTTTAATCATGAGTTTCACAGGGCTATAGCAAGATGATTCGGAAATTTCAAGATATAAGAAGCATGTGCCAGTCGTCTATTTCGCAGATCTCAAGTTCAACATCGCTCACCACTACTCCATCCAATTTCAAGAATACTACTTTATCAGCACCGCTCATCACTACTAATCACCTGTATTTTCAATTTCTACAACAGCATCTCGCGTAATCTCTATATTTACACTAGAAAATGGTCCAAGTCACCGCCTCGTTCTTCTCTCTCCTCGCTCTGGTCGTCGTCACCAGCGCCGAACCTGTGGCTCCCCGACAAGAAGTCAGTTGCCTCGATAACCTTGACAGTGACTCCAACGCGAACGTAAGTTACAGGCATACATGCACAAGAGCCCATTGAATAGCAACCTAGCTGATTCCAAAACTACAGCTCGCTGATGCCACAGACTGCGTAAACGAGCTCGCCGCCCTGGGTGACCAAGTTTGCGAGGCCAGTGTCTCGGGAACGGCCTTCTGCAACCGGGCCGGCGTGCAGATTACGGGGATCAGTATCGCGGGTGGGAATACGCCCAGGGGGACTTCTTCGACGTGGTAATTATTTTCTCTTTTTCTCTTTCTGTCTCCCTTACTCCCTTATTTCTTCCTTGTTGTATCGTATTGGTTAATCATCGGCTAATACTTGCTTATTTGAAGTAATGACGTTGCGCGCGGCGCCGGGCGGGTTTTGGACCTGTGCTCTAGGGGCGACGGGACGGTCAAGGGACAGACACCTGCCTTTGGGAACGGGGACTTGATCGTTGATGTCCGTAGGGTTTAAGATGGTTCGTGACATTGCGTGCCGGTCCGGTGGAGGAGAAAGATTGACGGGAAGAGACATAGACAGGTAGAGACGGGGGGTTACTATGTGACTTTGTAGGCGTTATAAAATTTGCATCTGTTGTGTTTTTCTGTTTAATCACGCTCATCACAAACCTCTCTTCGTATAGCGATGCTTATAATTTTACAAGGGTATGGATTGGAGTTTGAAATAACAACCATACCTAGCTAAACTTGGAACAGCCTGCCCGTGAAGGTATTGTTCAACACCTCAACATCAATATTCGCCAAATTCATACGTAGATACCTTCCTTTACGTGCACGTCCCAAGCATTAGTAATATATGCCTATTCCTCAACCCCTACCAATTCTAGCTCCCCCTGTGGGTATTTTTTGGCAGGATCCTATACTATGAAAAAGTTCGAGACCGAATTTCACCGCTGATGGGTATTTGCCCTCCCACCCGAAAGTATACCGGTGCTTTCCACCGCCTTAGGAAACATGGCAACGTAGATCTCTCCTTGTACCTGTCTTCCCACTGATGCTGAGTATGGATATCTCAAGACACCTCATCTCAGCTAATGAACCCAGCTATAATTTTCAGCTGCATGCAGTTTTGACCCGTCAAGATGGACTTCGTACTCTCCACCCCTTCCACTATTGCGCTTCTTGACCCCTGACCATCTGATGAGCCTTCTGGGTCCTGGTATAGTTTCAGGATAAACAGCGCGTGTTCGTCTTCGGAGGTCGTGGCCACATTGTATGCCACTGTCCGAGCATCCTCCTCCTCCTCCTCCTTCCCAGCCTTCTCTATAACATCTTTCCAGTGCGCCACTGCCTTGGGCACCGTGTCAGGCTTATATTTGAGCTCTGCAAGGACAGCATGCAGACCAGTAGTGTCGGGAATATTGGTGTGGCAGAAGCCCAAGCCGTCGATGAGCTCTAGTTGGTACATTGTCGGTATGCCCGTCACGATATCGTTTACCATGTTCCATGCGTAGAACTCTTTCATAGCAGGGGTTCCCCTGTAGTGGACAATTGCGGCTGCATCCTCATATCTTGTATGAACAATTAGCGAATCAATCAAAAGAAGCCAAGCAACGAATGGCAACAAACACAGTATAAGTGTAAAGAGTTATGCCATCCTCTTCCTCGCGAGGTACGAGGAGTCCCGATCTAACCATACCCCCTGTCCCCTCCTGGCGGACGCGCCACGTTGTTTCTCTCAGTTTTGCCACCAACTGCTCGGCAATATTCTCCTGTCAGTCATTTTCTCAGGGTTGGGCAGGCCAGGAGTTGACATTACTTGCCTCGTCGCGGAGAGCGGGGCTCCGTAGACGCAGGTGCGTAACTATCATGAGTTGACCCATGTCATTCAAGTTGCGATCATGCGGCAGTCCAATCAAAGTATGGAAAAGCTGCGGGTGTGACGATGCGGGTTGGGAAGCCAGACAGCTGGGAACGAATCCGACGACACCGCGGAGCCAAGGTTCAGAGAGAATTAATTCTATGTTAGGATGACCTGGCCGATTAGGCGGAAATTTCCCCAAACGGCGCAGGCGCGCATGCGCCTCTCGTCGGGTCACCCCTTCGATGCGATCCGCCCAATGCTCAAAAGAGTGGATCACTTGTCCGTTTCGATGGAAGAAGGGATTACTAGACCCGCTATTCTGTCTGCTCTTATTAGTTTGTCGGATAGACCTGAGACAGGTGGATGTCTGTGGCCAAGTCTAAGCGCTAGGGTATACGCAGTATATCTCCATAAACACCCTGACGAGATGAGATGAAATTACTATAGGAAAGTGAGATACTATTATACCGTGCCTATATCCGACGCGCCTAAATCTAGTGCAGTTGGGCTTCTATACTCATCTCCAAAGCTTATTCGACATTTGCTACCATAAACAGATCGTTATAATACGACGGAAGACACTCTTTCGCATCCCGCAGACTTCAAATCCTTACATTCATTAAATCATCGATCAAAAGTCTCTGCATGAAAGAGCATAGAGACTAGAACAACTCCTGGGAGACACCCATCAGGGCGTATATTGCAACCTCATTGCCGTGTAACCCATTCCGAAGACTGAGTGCGGGAGGAATTCATGCTTTCAGCCATTGACTCTCATGTTCAAGTTAGATGGCATGAGAACTAGATCCACCATTGAATCGTGAGCACGAGATACCCAATCCGGAGCCAAATCATTGACTCTACCGATCGCAGCGCAATTGTCATGGACTTCCGAGAGACTGCTACCAGGCTTGATGGATTTCACAGCCGAAGACCCGAAGCTGACGGCTCCCACTCGGATGGCTTTCTGCCACACGCTATGTACCTGGGAGCGAAGTGGGAGTTGGTGAACGTATAAGTCGGCAATTTCAGCAAGGTTTGCATGTACACAAAAATCGTAGCGTAGAACTGGTTCCTCAAACCCAAGGTTTTGCCCTATGTTCGATCAGACCCCTAGTCTCGTCATCCGATAGACGAGATGCCTCGATAAGACCCCATATCAATGTTAGGAGGCCATCTTGGTAAATCTCTGCTGCCGCTCTCCGGCCGATTGCAACTTCGGGTCTTCGGGCCAGGGCGAGCATAGCCACGGGTCATTCTTGATCTCGACGTTGACATCTGCAGAACTCGTGAATTTCAAGTCGGAATCTTTGTTTGGTTTGTTTGGTGGGTTTGCCGGATAAGATAGTGGGGCATTAATCTGCCGTCCCAGCGAAAGCCTGACTTCCTTTGGCTACTGCGATTCACATTTCCCCGAGCGCCAATGCTTCCGCCCTCTTTGTCTGCTCCCGCCGTCTAACTTGGAAAGGGCTGTCCAACTTAGTGTCGAAGTTGCTATCCGTGCTCTTGGTCTCGGCAACGTCAGCATCCTGAAACTCGATCCATCCTCTAGGGTGCTGAGAAATGAACGCGTTCGATAGCACCATGCGCGCATTATTGAAGCATCGTTTGAAAATTTCAAGTGTGGCTAGTACTTCCACCGTGAAACATGGGTAACATTGGATAGATCTGAGGCGGCTGTTTGTTCAATGTTAAGCAAGGAAAATAGACCCCAACAGTTCAGAGGATTTTGTAGGTTGCCAAGCTCGCGCACGGCGGTGGTTGAGGCTAAGGCCTGAAAAGGAGATTGCAGCTGTTTCTCACAGCTGTTTCCTCTCTTATCTAACGGATAAATCGGCGGACGCAGTCAACTCGCCAAGCACGTAGTTGAGTTTTATTAATTCTATTTCAGGACCCTATTTCGGGATAACAAATGCGAATACTGATCTGGATTCTAAGTAACTAACCCATCTGCGGCCACCCCACCCAACGGCCCACGCCGTGATGCGACGCAACCCTATGCATCTCCATGGCTATTTCCTATATAACCGCACAACGACGCGTCTAATTAATAAAAAAACTCAGCTCGCAACTCTTCTACTTCAGCCCTACCTGCTACTATAGACATCTTAGCTAAAATACGCATACGTGACGCTATAATCGACGTACTTGAGAGTAGGTTACAGCGTGTTATGGGGCTACGCCCCCATAGGTCGATATGGGTCTTGAGGGCCTAAATCCTCAATATAAATGCCGCAACCTAAGCTACAGGCCTTGCTTGCTTCTGCTCTGCATTAATACAATAACCTGCACTTGAGCCCTTGCACTGAGAATCTACATTGCATTGGACCCCTCACACAGCGCTATTTGTCTCAAACTAACTACATACCGCGTAGTACCCTACGCTACCGCCTCGCCAGTAATCTTACTAGAGTGTTACGAACCGTTGGTTCTCACCAAACCTAACAGGCCCGATGGCAGGCTAGGTGAAAGGAACGCAACAGTCGGAAGGAGAAACAATAATATGGAAGACAGGTACCACCAAAGTTCCCAAAGTCACGTGACTAGTCATGCAGGCTTGGCAACGATCCAAGGGATCAGTTAAGTAGATAATGGATATATAAGGGACGAGGTCCCCAAGCATTTCATAGCTGGATTGTCTCTACTTCACTGATCAATCTAAGCATCAATCTAACCTATTAGTAAGGCAAACTGCCTTAACGACTGTATTCTAAACTACCCTTAGTTACTTAGTTACCGAGGCACATTCTCTATACGTACCTTCGTGTAAGGTGACAGCAAGCCTAGACTATCACGTCACATAGACCAAAAGATCTAGTAATTCTGTCACTTAGTTACAGAATTGGGGCTTAACCCTGCTTATAGCTCTGTATTCCCTTACACTTCGTTATTGATTGAGACCCTGACAGCAGGACTTACTTGCTAGCACAAACCCTTACACACTTTAGTAGCTTACACAGCTAGACTATAGAGGTTTCGTTACATAAGGCTTCGGCGCTACTATAATTCCGGAAGATTAGTAAAATACTTAGTAATATTATCGCTAACTTCTCCGCCGTAGAGTACTTAAATAAAGTCCTATCTACTAAGTTAGAGAAGGTGAAGCCTAAAAGGCGCCGTATGTCATAGGGCTAGACCCATTGTGGGGAAATGCAACCCTTAGGCTACATTTAATCTAGCAGCTCCAGTTGTAGTTACGGCCGCCCTACAGCACCCTTAGAAGAATTTGTCTTTCCTCTCTACCGCAGTAATTTGACACACTCGTTACAAACACCGAGAACCTACCTTGTTAGTAACTATCACACTGTAGAGTACTCTTAGACCCTAATGATGCGTGCACCTAGGGGGGAGGATGCTATAATTCAGCAGTGCGTAACGTTATAGTATCTAATTGAATGGGATTCACCTAACCAGTGGGTCCCCCTACCTTTTCGTATCACTAATGAGGATTTTATTAATATACTAGCGATTCCAGTAAAGAAGGTCCATATAGAAGCCGCTAGCGAGACACTCTTTTTCCTGCCCAGAACACCAACATCACTGCAAATCGTATAATACTCCGTGGGCGAAAAACGCTTTGAAATATCGTGCGAAACCTCGATTGGCGAGAGCACATACTTCATCATCTATTTCTCAGGCCGCTGGAATGATGACGACAAAGATGGCTCCTACTTCATCGACACAGAGCCAGACATGTTCAAGCACATCCTCAAATATCTCCGCACCGGCCAACTCCACCTCCTCTTCAACTTTGCCGCCCAGAAACTTGACTACGAGACATACGCTGCGCTTCTGGGCCAGGCCGAGTAGTTCGGCATCACGAAGCTGGAGGGATGGATTTGAACAGGAGTGCTACCGCACCGCTGTGAATATCAAATACTCGAATTATCTGATCACGGGTGACGACAACCTGGATGCGGCAATCTCGGGTCATTTTAACACGATGTAGGGAAACGCAAGGCTGGGATTCTAGTATCGCTGGGATATGAAAAAAAGTTTCCTCTGTCCTAGAGCTATTCCAGCTCGCTATGGATGGCCGAATAACTGCGATACGAATGCCACAAGCCCATAGTGGCGAGAGATATGCCTTGAAGGACAAGTCGGGTTTGAAGGTCTTGTTATGCCGAAATGAGATGATTTTTGATCCGAAGGCTTGTTTGGGTGATGTAGTTGAGGAGCCTAGAAGTCTACCCTAATGAGGTCTGAGGCGACTGAAATAACAGGGTTGGATGCGAGAAGAGCTTCGCGGCCATTTGCTGGAGAATGGGTTTCTCACTTCCGTCCGTTTAGGGCACTGGAGGATTTTAGTTAGTCGCATCTTAATATAATAGAAACACTAGGGCCAGCACGTGTCAGGATAAAGGCGAGTAGGCCGTGCCAAAACTTTGCCCGAAGCTAGCTTGATTATTTCACCTAGTTTTAGCTGCTATCTTTATCACGAAGTTGGAATTCTCACATACTCTCGTGTTACATCCTCATCGTTTGCTAACATAGGGTATCCAAGGGAACATTGCCAGCTTCCATTTCCGCTGTAGGGAGATTAATCGTACTGTGCCAGACACCACCGGTGATCACCTAGATGGACTTAAGAAAGATGCTTTTTACTTGGATAAAAGGTGAACCTTTCGTTATACCAAGGCACTGGAAAACTCAAAAAGAGAAGAGGCGTGCCCAAACAGCCTTGATCGTTCAAAATCGAGCCCTAACCATGATTTAGGATGTGGCCTGGGTCTTCCCGCGCAACATCGACAATCTGGCTCGTAATCCGAGATCCCTGATTTTAACAGCAGATAACTAGGAAGTAGTAAAAGTACTTTACTCAAGGGACTAATATGCGGAGGCAGTCATGCCCCCACGTTTGAAGATTGACAACCGGCAGGTGACTGGCAGCTCGCTTGACAAGAGCGCAAAAAAGCAACTCAGTAGACGACCGAAGGATACATCCGTTGACTACAAGTGGTATCCAAGATTGCCAGAACCCGAACGTCAATGCGTTGATGAAGTAACCGAACTCCTCAAGCGGTTGTAAGCGAGGAACAGCACCGGCAGCGCATGTCGGACTCTCAGAAGCCAGAGGTCGACAACGAGGAGAAATCACGCAGGAGGGGTCGACTAGATATCATCTTTATGTCCGAGGTCGATGTCCATCTGTGCATGGACCGTTGACACGGAAGGCCACCTCGTCAACATGGTGGACAAGCGTGATCCAAATAACTCAAATCCATGGTGACACATGGTAAAACCACCGTCCTTGTGGTCAATAAACAGGACACTGCGCGTAGATTTGGCAACATTGTGGAAGAGGGTTTGGTCTTGCCAGAGACGGCGTCATTTGAGTGCATCGCCGCATCTCCACCTCGTCCTAGCAGCGTTCTCCGGTCGACGTCCAAATATAAAGGAGGGAGGACGAATCCGTAGTCGATCTCAAGCAAGCCAACATGGAGATAAACGAATTCTTCCAGTCGCAACTCTGCTAGGCCAGACTGTGGTTGCCGCCTTGCTGGAGGTCCTGAGGTCTCATGAGGAATGGTTCAACCCATAAATTGCAAGATACTTGCGCCACAGAGCTCCATTTTGCGCATTTTGCGCATTTATACTAGATACGCACGGATAAGCTTGCCAAGCGGCCGACTCCAGCGCAACATCCGATTGCTGCGGACACACGATGGTCTGCTCCGCTTTCATATGGCGATGATGTATTATAGTGTACAGAGACGAGAATCGGCCTCAAAAACAGCCGATTTCGAGATGCTCGTGTACCCGTGTCGTTTATGCGGTGTAAGCACTAATTTCCTGGTTATTTCTCACGTTCAGGAACCACCTCGCCGCCCGCCGGGTCGGCCGTTTTCTCGGGGTCATTTATTCTCTTTCTCTCCACTCCCCCCGGGGGTTTCCCCGCCATTGTGGGGAGTTAACATTGGGTGAACCCCACATGGAGTACCAGTCACGCGGCGCCTTCATTTTTCTCTTCTTTTCCGCGTGGACCAGGGCGAATGGTTCGGCTTGGCGGCGTCGAGGTGGTATTGATGCTGGGAAGAGGTACATGAAAAACTGGAGAATGATGGAAGAGGAGTCCAGGCACCACGTGGGCAGCTCTGGCTGCCAACACGGTCGGAAAAGGGGATCCGTGACCGCGACGGTGAAGTGATGGTCGTATAAATACCCGACGGTTCTGGCTCCCAATGGCGGTCCGCTGCTGCACCATGCTCGACCGGCACGGCAGTATCGTGGATTGGCCCCTTTAGCAAGTTTTATTTCGCTCGTCAGTCATGTATCGTGCGCTCGTACTTGGTGCCGGTTTGGCCCAAGGAGCCGTCGGCGCCGCCACGGGTTGCTTCCAGATGCTCCCTCGCGCTCAAAACAGCAGCCTGGCACCTTCCAAAGACCGCTGGCCTGGTGGTCTGCATCTGGCTGTGGACTACTACCCGTCGCAATGGCCAGAGTTCATGTGGGAGCCTGATGTAGCTCGGATGCGCGATGCCAACATCTCGTACGTCCGGGTCAGCGAGTTCGACTGGGCTGTCTTGGAACCAACAGAAGGCAACTATAACTTCACTCTTCTTGACAAGACGCTCGAGTTGTTCGAAAAGTATGGCCTCAAGGCCATCGTTGGAACCCCCACTGCTGGGCCGCCCAACTGGCTGACGGAAAAGTATGATGTCGACTTCGTCGACCGTACCAATGCCACATTGCAGTTTGGTTCGCGTCGGCACTACAGCTTCTCGTCGTTCGACTACCGCGTTAAGAGCCAGAAGATCACGCAGAAGATGGCTGAGCGGTACGGCACCAGTTCCACCGTGGTTGGCTGGCAATTGGACAACGAGTTCGGATGCCATGACACGGTGCGCAGCTACGACCACAATGCTATCACGCGGTTCCGCACCTGGCTGAAGGAGAAGTACGGCACCATTGAGGCCATGAACGACGCTCAAGGTCGCGTCTTTTGGTCTCAGGGATATGAGAACTTCGAGGCGGTACAGCCGCCCTTCTTGGAGGTGTACACCAATAACTACGCTCACACTCTGGACTGGTACACCTTCAGCTCCGATATGGTTATCGACTTTGCCAAGGAGCAAGCCTCCATCCTTAAGCAGTACGCCCCTACTCACGCTGTCACGACCAACCTCATGATGTCCTACACCGACTTTGACCACTACAAGTTTGCTCGCGAGGTGGGCATCGACTTCGCCACATTCGACGAGTACCCTCTCGCAGCCCCCAGCCAGTTCTCCTGGCTCTCCGACACAGAGCTGGCCGACTACCTCCGCACCGGCCTGCCTGACTACCAAGCCCTGCACCACGCTCTCTACCGCGGCATCGCCGGCGCCGCCTACAACGCTACCGCGGGCCCCTTCGGTGTCATGGAGATGGAGCCCGGCGTGCTGAATTGGAACAACTACCGTGTGTCCCCCATCGAGGGCATGGTCCGCCTCTGGACACACGAGACCTTTGCCGAATCAGGTGATCTGGTCAACTACTTCCGCTGGCGCCAAGTGCCCTACGCGCAGGAACAGACCCTATCCGGTCTTTTCCTGTCCGATAACACGGAAGACGGTGGCTTCGTCGAGCAGCAAGTTATGGCCAACGAGGACCTGCCCAAGCTGCGCGAAGCCGGCAGTGGTGATGCTCTTGAGCCTCAGCGCGACGTTGCTCTCGTCTTTGACTACGCTTCCCACTGGGTCTGGGCCATTGAGCCCTACAGCGGGAGCTGGGACGTCAAGCAAGCGGGTTACACGAGCCCGACGCTTAAGTACTTCGACCTCGTGTATACCTTCTACTCGTCTCTCCGCCGCTTGGGTCTATCCGTCGATGTCATCGGCCCCGACCAGCCCCTCGACGGCTACAAAATGGTCGTCGTCCCCAGTCTGCCCATCATCCCGGACACCTTCGACTCCGCTCTATCCTCGTACACCGGCCCCGTCGTCGTAGGACCGCATACCGGCTCCAAGACCCCCGACTTCGCTGCCGCACCGGGCTTGAACCCCTCCGCTGGCGCTCTGCGCGAGAAACTGCCTATGCGCGTTACTCGCGTCGAGACCCCGCCCGAATACGCCCTCAGCGCCGTGTCCTACAACGGGACCACGTACAACATCTCCGCCTGGGAGGAAACCATCGTCTGCTCCCGAGATAATGCGACCAGCACCGCATCCATTACTTCAGGCTCACGGCACCGCAAGGGAAAGCCTGCGGCGTGCACCAAGGATGGCGCGCATTATCTTGCTTTTAGCCCACCGGCCGATTTGCTCGTTGCGTATTTGGGTGATGTGGCTGCGGGGGCGGGGATAAAGGATTTGGCGGGACGCACGCCGGGGGTGCAGAACGATTTGGGCGCGACGATGAGGTTGGCGAAACGGGGGGATTTGCTGTGGGCCTTTAATTATGGGGTTGAAGAAGCGGCGGCGCCGGAGGTGGAGGGCGAGTTGTTGATCGGGGAGGCGGGGGATGTGCCAGCTGCCGGGGTGGTTGTGTGGAAGGTTTAGATCTGAAGGGAGGTGGGACGATGGGACGATGAGACGATGTAATGATTCGACATGGGATGATGGAGTATTATAAATATTAACTAGCGAGATTATAGTCGTGTAATAATTATAGATCCCTTCATACTAAGCTTTAATATTGCTGCTCGCATTCCCATCTGACAGACCTGTCGGCTCTACGCCTGAAATTCTTAAATATATATTGTGTCTCGGAGTGTTTGAAGCCCCGCGCCTAGTAAGGTCACCAATACTTCGAATAGAAGATTCTTTACTAGACGAAATTATCTCCTCGTCAAATAATACATTCCCTTGATTCGAAAGCCGTTCGGCGACGTTATGCGCATCTCCAAATTCGACTTGAAGCGATAAATTTCAGCATTGTGGGAGAAGACGAATCTCCAACTATGAACACAGCCCCTTGCTTATTGACGCCACGTGCACCCCTCGATTGGCTCGGGACCTTTCCAACCTCCACCCGGAAGACTGGTCCCTGACTTTGTAGTGGAGAACTGTACAGCAACGCTTCAATCACTTACCTTGTTTCTCATCACGCTCAACCGGGTGCTCTCCTAGTCGAAATTCATAAGCACTCTCACAAGATCCATTCCATCCAGAGACGCTATTAAATGTCATGCTCCTCACCAGCACTCTTGCCCTGCTCACCTTCTTCTTCCTCGCGCTGCTAACCTTCATTCCAACCTCGATGATGTTCTCGCTCCCCTCCCTGGCGCTCGCCATCTTCTCGGCTGCCACCTACGCATCCGCGCAATCTGACATCCCCCTTTCCAACTCATTGCAAAAGATCCTCTCCCAGTCCGACAAGGGCATGTACACCTACCCCACCTCCCTAACCCAGGGCATCATCCCCAAGCCCTTCCACAGCCATAACGACTACTGGCGTCCCGTCCCCTTTTATTCCGCTCTATCGCACGGCGCTATCAGCATCGAGGCTGACGTATGGCTGTATAATGATACCTTGCACGTCGGACACGAGGAAAGCGCGTTGACGGCAAACCGTACGTTGAAGAGTCTGTACATCGATCCTCTATTGTCGGTCCTACGCGCGCAGAACCCGGATAGCGAATTTATTACCGATGGGAAGCCGACCAGGAATGGGGTGTTTGATACCAATAGCGGGCAGACGACGTTCCTGTTCATCGACGTCAAGACCGAGGGTGCCGAGACATTTTCCTATGTCATCAAAGCGCTGCAACCGTTGCGCGACGCGGGGTATTTGACCGTTTTCAACGGATCGACCGTCATTCCTGGACCGGTTACTGTTATCGGGACGGGGAACACGCCGCTGAACCAAATCCAGGGTGTAGCACCTAGGGATTACTTTTTTGATGCGCAGTTATCGACGCTGAGGACGGCGCAGAAGAATATTACCGCGGAGGTCAGTCCCATTGCGAGTACGGACTTCTCGGGCAAGATTGGGGAGGTCAAGGGAGGGGCTTTAAGTGAGGAGCAGTTAGAGGTTTTGAGGGGGCAGATCGAGGAGGCGCATGCGAAGGGGATTATGGTTAGGTATTGGGATTTGCCTGGGTGGCCGGTAAGGACAAGGGATGTGGTGTGGAGGACATTGTGGGACGAGGGGGTTGATCTGTTAAATGTGGATGATTTGGAAGCTGTGGCTAATTTTTGAGATGAGTTGCTGGAAATAATCGGGTGTTTGAAGGTCTACAGGGGGTGGTTCATAGTTTCCAGTACTAAGGGTTCTTAATCGTAATAAGATATATACGGAGACCTGAAGTGCGTTTTGCTGTGGCCTGAGAGAATCAACTGGCACCCGCAACTAGATGATGATATGGAAAATGAAGGAGTTGGAATCCGAGATGTGAGCTCCAAGTTGATAGTCCATCGTGCTCTCAGAATTATTCGCCCTTCTCCGCTCCGACTATGTGGGTCGGAGCCCAGACCAGGCTTCATTCATGCATTAAAGACGCTCCCGGACCCTAATAAAGACTTTATGGACATACTAGCGATTCGAGTAGAGAAGGCACGTTTATAAGCCGCCGGCGACATACCCCTATAGGAACACTCGGATTCTAAGGGCTCAGAATTAATAGAATTAGACTCTACCGAGTTTGGTGAAGTAGACGATTATATTATTATTATTAAATACGCCGTAGGCTCGAAGCCCCCGGTACCTCTGCTAGTACTCCCGTATGTCAAACCGTGCCCTAATGGCTGGACTAAATACATACGCTGCGTCGTCGGTTCGCCCTATTGGCGACTGCGTTGCGTTCACTACCATACTACGTTGGTTCTCAACCTACCAACAAAGTCCCCCCTGAGAAGATCGATGCTATCTGGGCCTTGAAGCTGTCCGACCCGTCCCTAGCAGCCACCTTACAATAGTCCCACTAACTACTGGTTCTCCTGTTGCCGTTGCGAGGTCTCTGCGAGAGTATAGTGGCCGTGGTGCGATAGCGGCCCGTAATCGTTCCCTCGGTCCTTCCAACAGCCCGCAAAAGAGGATTACGTGCTCTGCCGTCTCAGGGGCGTCGCCACAGCGGCATAGCAACAAGTACACGCCAAAAGCCCCTGTCTTAAATAAGAAGGCTACTAGTCCTATTTTTTCCGTCCTAATCTGGCACAGCGTAGACGCCTCCAGTCGGTTCAGGCCAAAATACCTGCCCCCTTTCGGTATCTGCATCGAAGGGCCCTCCGGTTCCTCAGCGATAGCGCGTCGCTGGCGATCGTGATGCTCTGCTCCGGTGAGCCATCTCTTCCTCCAGTGGCCGAGGAGGGCAGCCGGGACCTCCTTTTCCTCACTCATCCACTCGGAGCCCCGGGCCTCCTTCTCCATAGTGTACCCTGCCGGTCGGAGTAGCTGCGACGCCTGCTTCCTCTTCGCCGGCCTATCCTGCCGGAGTATATGTGACGCTTTAGCGCTCGCGCTGCGAAGCAGATTTCTCTTCCCGCTAAGCCGTAGCCGTTCTTCAAACTTAGCAGCCCGGGCACTAAGATAGAGGTCTAGTGGCGGGATTGCTGCTTCTGCTTCCAGGTGGCGAACCGGCGTCGCTTTGTGGGCGCCACAGACTACCCGGAGGCACTCGTTCTGTATCCCCATCAGGCTCTTAGCTGGCCCTGCCGGTTCCTCACTTATAGTATGCCACGCAGTCGCCCCAAAGGCGATCGCGCTACGGATAACCACCGTATATAACAGCCTCGCCCGTATAAGATCGCAGCCCCACGACATATTGACTAGCTTTGTCAGGGCTAGCTTTTGAGTTGCCATTTTTGTTTTAACACGCTCAACATGGGCGTGCCATGTCAGTTTGCGGTCGAACCAGACTCCTAGGAACCTCGCTGAGACTACCGGCGACACTGTGGCGTCCCCAAGGCGAATACTTTGCGGCAAGGGCTCTCGGGCCCTAGTAAAGTGCATTAGCTCACTCTTGTCAGGAGCGAACTCCATCCCGTGCCTCACTGCCCACCGCTGACACGTAGCCCATGCGCTCTCCAACCGGCGGCAGGTCGTGTCTGGATCGGTGCCGACGCTTAGCAGGTTCGTGTCGTCCGCGAACCCGACTACTAAAAGTAGTGGGTGCTGCTCCGCTAGCTCCTCGTACAGCGTTGAAATGTATAATATAAACAGTATCGGGGATAGCGGTGACCCCTGGGGGACGCCAGCTCGTAGGGGGATTGGCTCTGACTCCTTGCCATCGAACCGGAGGCGTACCGTCCTATCCTCCACGAAGCTGCGTACCCACTCCTGAACCCACTCCGGATAGCCTTTCCGGGCTAATATGGAAATCAGCCGTCTATAATTGACCGTGTCGAATGCCCCCTTGATGTCTAGCTGTAGCAGCGAGGCGATTGCCCCGCGTCTCCACGCCGTATAGACCACGTCCTCAACTATACGTATTGCCAGTTCGGTGGACCTCCCAGCGCGGTTACCCATTTGGCCGTTTGGTAGTAGGCCGGCCGCCTCAGCTACTTTGGTGATACGCTGGCTCATCGCCGTCTCTATTACCTTCCCTACCGTGCTAAGCAGGGCAATGGGGCGCCAGCCGCCAGGGGTCTGCTTCTGAGCTGTCGTTTTATTAGGCTTAGGGATAACAACCACCCTCGCTGAGCGGAAGCGCTCCGGGTAGTACCCCAGCCTAAAGCTAGCTGTTGCCAGATCCGCTAGGATCTCCCATAGGGGTTCACCGCAGGCCTTTAGCAGGCCAGTGGGGATCAGGTCGTCGCCGGGAGCCTTCCGAGCAGCCGTTCCTTTGATGATAGACTCGATATCCATTGTGGTCACCTCCCTAGGGACGTTCAGCTCTGGTCTCGTCTGTAAAGACGATTATAAAAAATAAATAATATTAAATACGCCGTAGGTGTTAACCCTCGGTACCTCTACAAGTACTCCCTTAAGGGGCTATAGATGATATAGCGGGCCCTTAAGCCGCGTCGGGCGGTTATACAGGTAAACTTGTAGCCAAATGACTACTAAACCTCCTGTCCCTCCCTAAGTCTGTGCTACAACCCCTGCCTGAACTACCGATAAGTGTGGTAATGTGGCACTTAAATTCGTCCTCAGGGGTGGGATGCTGCTGATGTGCAGAAGATGCTCGACTATTTTTTTGTCGCGACAAGTCGTAGTATCTGCTAATTGGGGTTCTCGTCGAGCGTATACATCTCAACCATACGCTCAAGTGGATAGACCGTAACGTGGTCAGACGCTCGCAAGAATCGCGGCGAGAGGGCGTGCTGCGCGCCTTCTATCGTGAGGGGACGGGTTCGCCGACGAGCGTTATCGGAAAGGCGAGGTCCGATAAGGGGTCGGATTAACGATTCGAATTCTGGACCGGCTGTCGAGTTATATTCCGCCGACGTAGTGCTTGACGGTCGACTGGCTAGGATGCTCGTAATCCTAAACTGCACCAATCTCCCTATTATCGCTAGGTAGGCGAAGTCAACAAGGTGGGCAGCGCGCCGTAAGGGTTGACTAAACCCCCTTGTGTGTCAGCTGCGGGATTCGAACCCGCGACTCGTCACCGACCCAAGTGGGCGAGGCTCAAATCGGGACTTATCTACCAGCGAAGTGACCAACTACACCAGCCGACGGATGGCGGAGTTGGATTTGACGTTGACAGTTCGGCTTGGGCCCAATTTTGGAAGCGACAATTCAAAGTTGCCCCGCTTCCCATAGGATCCCGAGACCCATCAACCCACTAAGGCGATAGACAGGGCAGACCTCTCGAAATTCCCATGAACGATGATGAGCTGACTTCAATCTCTAGCATCAACCTCCATTGGGATGCTGCACATCGCACCAGGTCCCGTACACGCCGATATATTGGTTGCGCGCCAAATGGAAACAAACAGTCCCAGTCGATCGATTCATTTGGGGTGCCTATCCCTGGCAACGATATAATGAAGACAGGTACGTACTGCAACTAGAAGTACTGATCAGCCTTTCTAATCCAGGGCAGGCCCAAGGTGACATTCCGTCTTCCCCTCACCGTCAGCACTGCATCTCTGTTTCTGCAGCACCCTTCACTGATATGCGCGGCTGTACGAAGTAGAACTCTGATCGTGGCCGGAAAGGTAGACGATTATATAATAGTGCGCTATACTTAATATAGTAGAAGTCGATTAAGTATGTGTTTAGCAGTTATAGAGTAATGTTATGTTAAAGTATCGTGAAGGTGGCGATTTTAGGGTAGGCCGTGGAGTAGGATGGCCGCAGATAGGTGGGTTGACTTACTCTATGGGAAAGAGATCACGATGCTGCATCGCCGAAATCTATCCTAGGCGACAGCTGGGCCAGATATATCCTGAACCAAATCGAAGGAGAGGACGTCGGCAAGCCCGATAGCCTCCTAACTCCGTTTGTAGCTCTGCGCATGCAGTCTCTTGTTGCCTGGACCACGACTTTGCTCAACAAACACGCCTAAACGGGTGCTACCGTCATCTCCCTAGCATGTGGACTGCACAGCCGGTGTCTGCGACTGAAATGGCGGCCTGCTGTCCGATGGATCGATGTCGACCTCCCTGATGCTGCTGAACTGCATCAAAAGCTGCTCCCGGCACCAGATGGCGACTATAAGCTGATCGCGGCGTCCGCCACCGACGATGCTTAGCTGAAGTACATGCCGGCCGACAGACCGACCTTTGAGAACCTCTCGATGTATCTCGCGCAGGATGAGGGAGAGGATCTGCTGGAACGCTTCTCGGCTCATTTCCCATCGGGCGAGGTCGCGTTCAATACCGCGAGACCCGTTGTAATCACTTGTTAAGCTATATTCTGTGATCTGACACGGGGGGATTCGACGCTAAAGTGGGCAGCCAGCGATCCGAAGGGGATCGAGGCTCGCTACCCGCGTTGAAGGCTGCGGGGTGCAAGGTATTATTCACGTCTAGATAGCCTGGCTGAGTCGCATATTTCAGTACGTATCGTCCTTACGCTCCTGGACTATATATCGGGAGTATGGGGTACTAGCTAGCATCTGCTATACGCGTTTCAACGGAGATATCCCCCCGGGGGAGTTCCTACATATAGTATTAGGTAGGATAAATATTGTATTTAGTTAAAGGGAATTTCTAGTCAGATGTTTATTAAGGCTTTAATAATAGTAAATAGGGGCTTGAACGCTATATAGTTAATACCTAGTGTACTTCTAGGTAGTATTAATGGTACTTGAGAATAGCAGTATGGATAATTACGATATAAGTAACGTAGTCCACAAGCGAACGGGTCACACACGCCCATAGCAAAAATAGAACTAAACTTCCTAACTTTACCACGCAACTAATTCTCGATGGATTCTGCTCAAAAAAATCTCAATTACTCCTTGCAACTCAGGCTATCAGAAATGACTCAACACTTCGTATCCGACGTGCTGCAACAATCTACAAAGTCTCGAATACTACTCTCCAGGCGCGTCTTCAAAAACGTCAATCACGTCGCAATATCGAAGCCAACGGTCGGAATTTAACAAAACTAGAAGAAAATACGATTATTCAAAGGATAATTGAGTTAGATTCGCAAGCATTTCCTCCCCGGCTAAGTGCTGTTGAAGATATGGCAAACCGACTGCTACGCGACCGCGACGCGTTACGCGTCGGCAAGAACTGGGCCTCCAACTTCGTTAAGCGACAACCACAGCTCAAGACGGTATTCAGCCGTAAATACGACTATTCTCGGGCCTTATGCGAAGATCTAGAGCTTATTCAAGGCTGGTTTGACCTTGTGCGCAATACAATTGCGAAATATGGGATCACCGATGCCGACATCTACAATTTCGACGAGACCGGCTTTATGATAGTCAGATTACCGCATCGATGGTTGTTACGAGCTCTGAAAGGAAAGGCAAGCCTAAGCTAGCCCAGCCTGGCAATCGGGAATGGGCTACGGTGATCCAGGGCGTCAATTTACGATGCTATCGATCAGTTTTCGAAAGGAGCGCAGAGTATTATGCATAAGATGGCTTTACTCCAAGCTGAGGTCGCCGAACTTCGAGAGGCAAATGCTCTAATTAGCAAGCGGCGCAGGGCCAAAAAACACGAGTACGGCTTGGAAGATCACTGAATTCACAAGACGTACAAGATCTTCAAGATCAAAAGGACGTTGCGCAGCAAGTATAGCAGGAAATGCGTGGAAATAGCGCTGGATCAAATCGTGGCCAGCCACGGCAACGGCGCTGTGGCGTATGCGGGAAGACCGGGCATAATGCGCGAACCTGTCAGGTAGAGATAGAATCATCTGGGCAAGAGTATTCTGAGTAGTTTTAATTGATTTACGGCGTTGTGGTTGCGAAATCGTGTTGAATTCCATGTTTTGCTAGTTGGCGTGACCCGTTCGGTTGGGTGACCCGTTCGCTTGTGGACTACGTTATGTCAATACCAAGTTCGATGTCATCACGTCAAACAGTAACATATCCGATATTAGCTAAATGTACAGCGTCAAGTACGACTGCACACAGCCGGTCAAGTAAATCAAGTATCACTTTGATGCTGTAAAGCAGTCTTGGACCCTTGACACCGAAATTCCTATACTGCGGCCGCTGTCCAAGTCGAAGATGACACCTCTTTGCTACCAACAAGCTAGAAATCGACCTAATTCGGCAAGGCGCTTCTGCAAAGCAAAACCATCTCAAGTTCGTCAATCCATCTAGCACCGTGTTCTTGACAGCTTTCATTGAAAGGCGCTGTTAAGTGGCACACATACGTGATTATGACACAAAGTTGACGCTAAATGAATATTCTGTACGTGTACGGAATTCTTCGAGATAGCTAGCCCTGTTGGCCTGGGGGGATCAGGGGTGGTCCGCGCGTAGCCACCACCGCTTGCTTCCAGCCCACCGCACTAGCCTAGCTGAACCACAAGACACTACAACCATGTCTCTGTATGCCCCAACAGAACCACTAGCGTACGTCGGAAAATAGCGACTCGTATTCGTTTCCGGATCGGGTAGGACGATGGTAATCTCCCCCAACCGTGTGGCACATGGCCCGAGGGTGATGGCACGCGCGTGTGGTGAGGTCGGAACAGAGTTGAGGTGAAGCGAAACCCCCATGTTCGAGATAGAGCTCGGACTTTCCATCCTATAATGACAAGTTCAAAAGACATCTGATCTCTTGGTAAGAATGGAGTTCCCCACGGTCTCGGAAGCTAGTAATGTGGATAACTTCCTCGGCACTTTAATTTGGCACCTTCGTTCGTTTCTTCCTTACACCTCCAGCCCCTCCGATAGGTAGTCGGTGATAAAACCACTACTGGCTTCGACCCAGGATTAGTGTCGCAACGCCGTACTGATCAGATAAGAGCTCTATGTTGAGCTATCCCACGTGGTGCATGAGCAAGTGGCAAATATAGTAAGCAGATCTCCTACTATAGTATCCGCGGCCACTTCCCTCATGTGCTGCCATGACTCGGGCCCTGCCTCAAAGTTATCGACTCAAAGTCATCACGATTACCTTGAACTCAAAGTCTGATCGCCTGGATCGAAACATCTTTGGCAACGCGGCAACAAGGTGTGGTAGCCGCACGAGCCCCAAACTGGATACTACTGAATCTACTCGAGAATGGAGGTACTAACGCTTTTCTTACGACCTGCTTCTAATACGTTTTTAATTTCTTCGTCTAATTTTTATTTTATCTTGGATGTCGCTCTCTTGCGTCCGCCTCCGCCTCCATTAGGAATCGTGTAGGCGAACGGCATGATATGGATACTGCTCGACTGGTGGACGGATTCGCATCGGCTGAAACGTCGCTTTCGACAAGGACGAGCGAACGTCAAGGGGGCTTCCTAATCCCTCCTTGGTATAGGAGCGAGCAACCCGACGCGAATACTAATAAGCTCGTGTGCCTTATATACGGATTCACGTTGGCACTGGCCGGGTTCTCGGCGGCCAAGGCGTCGAAACAGTCGTGGCGGTCGTACCAACGGAATAAGTTCTGGAATGCGTATATCATTATGATCTGGGCCGAGTGGTTCAGCAGTGTCGGAATTTCCATTACATCTTTTCTATTTCTTCAGGGGATCGTTCCGCCAAGGTGAGCACTTGAGTGTCTTATGTGGAAAAGAAGCTCATCGGGATTGGCAACCAGCTTTTGGACCTTCTTCATTATCCGTAAGTCCATTTTACTGAGCGACACGAATTTCCACTTGAATGACACGTGGTAGTGATCTTCTGGCTAGTGCAGATGCACTGCATCCTGCAAATCATCGCCAACCGCCTTTCCGTCCTCATCCTTCACCCACAAGAGTCGCGGAGACTCAAGCTCGCCGTCTTCAGCATTGTGACATTCATTACCGTCACCGTCAGCTGCACTTGGATGCCCGCGAGACTGCAAATTTCCGAATCCATCATACGTGTCAATAACATATGGGACCGAGCGAGCAAGGGGATTTTCGTCGCTGTCGATGCCGCTTTGAATATTGCCTTTCTCATCATTGTGTACCGGAGTCTAATTGCTGCTGGACTGAAACAATACTGGATCTTGTTCAGGTTCAATTCGTGCATGGTCTTGGTCTCGATCCTTCTCGACGCAAGTGCATGATACGCATCACAAGTGACCTGGAACTGACACATTTCACAGATCACCCTCATCGGCGCCATGTCATTACCTAGTTCCGTGGTGTCAGTACCACCCCTCTACCTCAGCTCCTTCAACTGCTGTACTAACCACAAAACAGTTATTTCCAATTCAACCCCTTAGTATTCCTTACGAAACTCTACATCGAACTTAATTTAGCCGAACTCATTGCCCGCGTCGTCCACTCCTCAAACGTGATGATTGGGGTTCCACGAGCCACCGGACCAAAGAGGAGACGAGACATTGATAACGCCACCATGATCTACTCGAACCACCACCACCGACACCACCAGATAATGTCGCGTTGCGAGGAACATGAAGGAGAGACTGCGGCCCAGATGAGAGGACGAAAACCATTTGGGCAGCCGGATGACGGTATACTCAGGACAGTCGAGTTCCAGGTCTTGATAGAGGACAGGACGGCTGCTATGATTGGCGAGACGGATGATGCGCTCAGGTATGCATTTGACTTTGATGGGGAGGTTGCTAGATTCAGGTAATAGATCTGCGCCATCTATTTCTAGCTAGCATCGACACAGCTATTTACGATGCAAGAAGCGAAACGGACGTTCAAGTAAACACGTTGGTATATTCTCGCGTATACAAACCTCCCTTCTGCTACTAATCGTCTTAGATGTCGGCGTAATTGGGATTCTAGCACCACTCATCTCTAGCCCGGGAACTCAGAGTGCAACGTAAACGTGCTCCATGTTGATCAGCCAACTAAATTAGGCTTCTCGTACGACATCCTAACCAACGGCACCATAGTGTCAGATAACACAGATGAGGACTTCATTATCATGCCACGAGATTTCACAGACGGTGTAGTGGAAACGAACCTGACATACGACGTGGGCACACTCGCGAGCCAGAACGTGTCGCACACCGCCAACATAATTAACTACTGCTGCGGCGCATGTGTTCTGGTATTTGCGCAGATTTGGTTCTTGAAGTTTCAGCGACATAGGCCGAAGGATAACCGGATAATCTATGGGCTGAGAGCTACTGATGTCATTATGGCCCTGCCTCACTTTTTTACTTTCAGATTCAAAATAAGAAGATCACCAACGGCAGTTCTGAGGAGAACGGCAAAGTATTTTTATCTTGATGCGCTGGAAATTGTGGGTGCACTTTGGGCCTTGTGATGCCGGGGCTCATATACAATTTCCCAACAACAATGTGCGTACCTCCTTGAAGAGTAATATAACAATGACAACTGACAGCAATAGCACGGAGAGTCACGGTATCGAGCTATCCGAGTCACAAAGTTAAGAAGAGCTGCGATCCAACTAGACCCGCCCCTAAGGCTGCAAAGACCAAACAATCGCCTACCAGGAGGCACTGAAAGATTACCCCCTTTCCCATAATTTCAGCAAAAAGAAATTGATCCACATACTACGGCATCATCGAAGAACCTTGTCACATGAAATCCATCAACATCTAGGGAACCCAGAGCGACCGCAGCTGATTCGACATCGCCGATCCGCACTTTGAGCGTATCCCAGACCACCACAACTCAGCTACCTAACAGAGTCTTCCGTCCTCTCTGCCCTCGGCGTTACCGTTAACCGTTGTGTCCGATCTCTTCGTGGTCACTTTGGACATCCTCCGCACAGGATTTATTGACACTTGGTTTATCTGCTGGATAGTGGCGTCAAATTATTGTCAAGTTACGGAGACCGCGATTACGCTTGTTAATGGATTGGTGGCGAGACGGCGAGTTTGGCCGTGCCGTACAGTCGCTCAAAGGAACTTGTGGGTGCGGCACACTCGCCGTTAATGACTTTCAAGGGGTTTACTGGCATGACGAGGCAGTTGGCAACTACAACTTTTCACGCATCTTTCAGTCGGGGCATACGGTACTGCGTATCAGCCCAAGGCTCCTTGTGCTATTTTCACAAGGGCCATGTGAGAGTACGATATTGCGACAGGGTTCAAAGGGTAACGGATGACTTGGTTACGGAGGGTCCCGGGGGTGCGTGGCATGTTGAATAAGAGCCGCCGAAGATGCCGAAGGAGAGGTGTCATGTGCTGCCGGCGGATTCGTGTCGCCCGCATGTACGGGAGGGTTAGAGAGGGAAATGGCACTGCCCGGGATTGGCATATCTTCCTCTAGTCATGGCGACACTAATTGCCGTGGCGTCCGTGGCATGGTGGCCACTATTTGATTCCAGCGAGCCAAACTCCAAGCCAGATATTGTTATTTCCGACCGAGTCCTGAAGAGAAGATCAAACTTTTGCCGCCGATGCTGAAGAAGCTCGTTCCCAAGTGCGAGCGCTGTCCCGAGAACGCAATTCGTTCTACACGTTATGGAGTATATGACAGGCCATGAAGAACAGCAACACTCTTGGTCTCTGAAAGATGGCTTCCGTTTCCGTCGACGTGTGAACCGACTGTTGTGCCGTTTTATATGAGGGTTGATCAATCGTATGCGATTGGTACACTAATCACGAAAAAGTCTCCGGACACCCCATACCCTAATTTAGCAATCAAATAATAATAACATCAGCCTATTAATTTCAACTAGCGATTACAATCCTAATTTATAGTAGATTTTCGAGCTTTTGTTATAGAAATAAGCAGTGATCGCGGCGCGAATTGCGAATTCAGGCTAGAAGCTAGAGCTGCTATTATAGCCGCTAGGGCAAGTGGTATAAGTCGGAAGGAGGTAGTAGACGCGTTCGGCACGTTAAGGCCTGATACGAAAAGGTAGGGGGACCCACTGGTTAGGTGAATCCCATTCAATTAGATACCATAACGTTGCGCACTGCTACATTATAACATCCTCCCCCCTAGGTGCACGCATCAAGGCGCCTGATGCGAGTGCATATGGGGTGTGAATTGTTGTATTGGGAAAGGATGGCCAGGTCAGCTATTCTGGCCTGGCAGAGCTCTTTTATAGCTCTTATCTATCTTATCTCTAGCTATAGGGCAACCCCCCATGGGGTCACGTATCAGCGCCAAACTATCACTAATATCGCCGGACGCGCCAAAATAACGAAAACTACAGCTACGATAAAGCGGACAGGTACTCCTAGAAAGTTAAGCGCTAGAGATAAGATATATCTAGTTATTTTATACCGCCGGGATCCTAGAATAACGTATACGGAGCTTAAACGCAAGGTAGGTGTATCGGTATACCTAGATCCTATTAAGTTAGTTTTACACTAGTACTACCTGAAGAAATAGCGTGCGGTAAAGCGAATTATCTTAATAGCCGAAGATGCGAAGGAGCGCCTTAAATTCTGCCGCTAGTACCGTATATCGGCCTAGGTCTAGCAGCTTATACGGACACTCTTCTCGGACGAGTGTACGGTCTAGTGTAAGGGAATACAGAGCTATAAGCAGGGTTAAGCCTCAATTCTGTCACTAAGTGACAGAATTACTAGATCTTTTGGTCTATGTGACGTGATAGTCTAGGCTTGCTGTCACCTTACATCTAGAATTCGCCAGACTCTCTAGGCTAATAGGTCTTCCGCTATACGAACGAGAGATACAGAGAGGATTTCGTGAACCTATAGAGCTATAGGCGGCCACGTATTTCGATTATGGTATAGGGAATAATCTAGTTAAGGGACGATGAAGGGGGGGCATCGAAGTTAGTCTTCTGCGACGGCGTGCCACGGTCTATGACCGGTATGTGGCCTCTGCGACGCCTTCGGCCAGAAAGACCCACAGAAGATTCTCAACAGCACTTGGACTCACAGAAATCTCCGAATAGCTTCACTTCTCGAAGATCCCTGAAATGACGAGACGGGAGGACAGAAGGATAAAAGGGAGAAGGGTTCACCACACTGAATGTATCTAATGTTTTTCTCTTCATAGATGGATGGTACTCGTAGAGTAGGCTAGGCTAATTGCATCGACATTACCCTTGACCCTTACACGGCGATCCGGACTCTCCGCGTTACGGAGGATCCTCACAGTGTTATTACGATGTCCTATAGCAAAGGCTACTTCTATTCTACGAGCTAGAAGATTCCTTTATGTAGGATAACGCGAAAATATATATATTAAGATATACGTAGAGGTAGCTAGAGGATCACGGTATCTAGACGATCAAGTAGCCCGCTTATAGCCCCGATTTGAACCCTATTAAGTATATATAGAAAGCTTTAAAGGATCAATGGCTAGACATGGGTGGATGGTGCGATCCACTGAGTGATATCTGAGGATTAAACATCTGAGAGTGCAACTGAGGCCAAATAGACACCAGGTAGTTTATCAACACTACAATCCCAAGTTCTTTAAGTCGTTTGTTGATCCCTGCCAACTTTCAGCTGATTCTCATGTGCTCACACTTGCCAATCGCTCGAACCAATGGGCATAGTGTTTCCCCCACCAACGAACATAGTTATCCTCCCAATTAGGTGGTTGTAGGACTTGTAAGGGTTATGTAATCTATGTATGACCAGACAGATTGATGCAAGGCGTTACGGGAATGCCAATGATAAGCAAGATCAAGGCTGGGATACGAAACACCCTATGCATTATCGCAGTTTGTTTCCAGGAGCAGCTAATCTGGTCGATCCAGTCTCCCCCTTACAGTCCCTTACACATACGTTGTTAATGATGGTCTCCAGAATTTCCAGATACCACTGTAGTTGATATATGACCAAGACAGCGGCTATTTGAAGCACGTTATTGGCTGGTTCAGCAAAGAGCCAATTCTGGAAGTAAAACCCCGCTTTCCACAACTGAAGGCAAAAACCGTGATGAATACAGAATCCTTGGGAAATGTTTTCTGCACGTTGTCTTTTTGTGTGATTGCGGCCGTTAACATGTCGGGGGAAAACAACGTCAAGTCAGCCTATGACGGTAATGCAAGCGAGGCTCCAGTATCGCGTGGCTGGTCACAACAGCCGAGACTTGCACCCAATGCACCAGATCAAGAGCCGCAATGGTCTTCAGACGCCTCAGGGTTGACAGGCCAGGACCACGTCCAAGGTCAAGACGACCATGGAAAAGGCACTTCAGCACCCCAAAGCGAAGTTGCGCCGCAGTTATCGCAGCAAGCCGCTTTGCACTTCGCGCAGTATCCGGCCGAGCAGTTTGTCTCAGAGTTCGCATTCAACCCCTGCGTCCAGCGACAGGAAACTCAACCGCCGCTGCCACTGCCATCTCAGCTGTTAGGGAACCAGCCTATTGGCCTAGCACAAAACCCTGATAACCCGATTCCTTACGACCCCCAAGCAGCACAATGGAGTGTACAGGAGTTGAATCCGTTTGTGCGGCAATTCCAAGACCCGGAGTTGGATCGCGAGTCGTCAGGAGTGTCTGTTTTCGAACCCAATTCCGTCCTCGGGGAATCAGGGCGATTCTATCACGGGTACAAGGAAGGGAGTTATTTGCTACCGAACGACCCCGCCGAGCAAGATCGCCTGGACTTCCAGCACGGTATGATGACTCTGCTGTGGGATGGGCGACTGGTTTTATCACCGCTGCCACGGGCGCCTAAGCTCGTCCTCGACGTCGCCACGGGAACAGGCATCTGGGCTTTGGAGTGCGCCCGTGCGAATCCCACGTCTTTCGTCATTGGCACGGATCTGAGCAAGATCCAACCAGATCCCGATGTCCCGAACTGTTTGTTCGAACAGGATGACTGTGAAGAGGACTGGCATTGGACTCACAAGTTTGACTATATCCACATTAGGATGGTCGTTACGGCTATCCGCAACCCCCAGAGACTCATAAAACAAGCTTACAAGTTTTTGAACCCGGGAGGATGGATCGAGATGCAAGATGCGAGCATGGAGTTACTAGGGGATGACGGCGACGAAAGGGTGCAAACTTCACTTCTAAACAAATGGTTCGAGCTCAGCGCCAAAGGGGCTGCGATGAATGGGTTCGATCTACACAAGGCAAGGCATTACAAGGACTGGCTTACCGACGCAGGATGTAAGTAATATACCGCACAAGATAACGCCAACGCGACCACCCAGAGCTGACAATGAGCTCAAAAGTTTCTGTTGTCCAAGAAGAAAAGTTCAAAGTGCCATGCGGCCCGTGGCCCGAGGATGAAAAGGCGCGACAAGTTGGAAAATGGATGCAAGCCAACTACCTGCTTGGGCTCCGAGGAGTGAGCTACAACCTGCTTCGAAGTGCCGGGATGCCACCAGACGAGATAGAAGGCTTCATCGCCGCCACGAAGGAAGAAGTCAAACATGGCAATATTCGGGGATATACCCCTTGGTCAGTCTCCCGATAGTTTCTCGAATTGAAAGTGGTGCTAATTTGCCAGCAGGTATGCTGTCTATGGAAGAAAACCGTTTGACGGGGAGGCAAAGACGGACGAGGCCTGATTTGAACGAGGTTGTCATGTGATGTAATGTTTCTTACAGAATCGTACAGGGAACAGAGCTTTATAAGACGAGAAAGACTTTTACGTAAATATATTGAACGTGGAACATAGTACCATAGATATGAAAGAGCATTCCGATAACTACCTATTTGCCACTGTTTTCGTCCGTGAACTCCGGGCATGTAAGTCTGCAATTCATACATGGCTTGGCCAGGTAACCAATCGAAACCCGAGTTGATTCCGAGCAAAGGTTTTCGGCTTGTGCGTTCCCGACGTTCTCTCCATAGCACGTGAGGATGAAATCTATTGTAAAACTTGCAGTCTTTTGAATTTTGACATTTTTCTTAGACCCATCCAATTTAGCCCCATATACAACCTTGTTGGTGAGAGGGTGGAGGTCAGCAAGTGTGGCCAGCCAGTGGCCAATCTCGTCGCACAGCCAGCCTGTTCAAGTTCTATTTAGATCCAGATGGATAGGGTTGGGTTGTATTTCTGTGTCAGGCCGGACTTTTCCACTGGCATCGTCCACGTGTTAGCCCTTGGCATGGCCACGGTTTCAGATATCTTCCATATAAAACAGAAAGAGAAGAGAAGGCTGAATAACTGGAAACATGATTGAGGGGTTGATAGAGAGAGATTCTTAAATAGACAAAGTAGGACCAGATATCGGCAGCATGAATCCCGTCAGCAATGTGGTACTGCGTGTTGTGGTTACATAACATGACCAACACTCTGGATAATTAGGCGACAGCAGGTGGAAAGGAAGGCATGCGACCCACTCTGATGGTCGCCTTATCACGAAGTTTGTGTCCAGTTCTGTCCTATATAAACCGTACAGCCAGATATAAAGATCGCAGGACTTTTTGATTGGTAGAAACAGGTGAGCGCGATCCGTTGCCCATCGACTACAGTCTATTCCCATCCTAAACTAATTGATTACGCTTCCTACCGCTTCTCCCATCCATTCTGGTCAATACAGCCTCGCATGCCCTAGCACGAATTGAACGTAGGGAGACCATCGAGTTGTTTGGTGTTGCCACAATGTCCTGAAGACTTCTCAATAGTCGAACATCATGATGAACCCTTCTATACCAGTCAACTTGCCAGTATGTAAGCTTCCGGGTCGGCGGCGCTAGTGAATTGTTAAAGGTACACAATTTAGAGCATGGCATACTGAATACGGATGCCGGTGACCTTCTGGTGGAGTTCTAGGTTACCAAAGGCAGGTAATGCGAGTGCATATGGGGTGTGAATGGTTGTATTGGGAAAGGTTGGTCAGGTCAGTTATTCTGGCCTGGCAGAGCTCCTTTATAGCTCTTGTCTATCTCGTCCATAGTTATAGGGTAACCCCCCTTGAGGTCACGTATCAGCAGGCTATGAAACACCAGGCTATTAGCAAAATCAGAGTCACCGACAATTAAGGCAGTTCTTACTCGAGTAGGATACAAGACTCGAAAAAGTTCCAAAATCGACATCTTAATATCAACTGGCACGAAAGAGGTGGTTGTCATGTTACGATACATTTTCCCGAACGAAGGCTTGTGATCCTTATCTAGCGTCATTACGAAGAATCGGGCGCTATTACGGTACATCACCAGCTGACGAAGACCAGTATCCTCATGGCTTTAAACTAGTACTCCTCGCAGGGGCATCTATGGTCGCCGTTTTCCTGATTGCACTGGACCAGGTGGGCACTCTACGCACTTATGCTGATACCATAAAGAATAACTCTGACATAAAAGGTGTCTAGACCATTATGGGCACAGCAATTCGCTTGGCGATGGTGCTTTTATATTAACCTGCCGATTGGAGGGGTCGTGGCTGCGGCGCCTCCGAAGGTTTCTTGGAAGCAGAAGCTGTTGCAATTGGACCCAGTTGGTGTCGCTCTGGCCGTGGGAGGCATCACCTGATTCATCCTCGCCCTCCAGTATGGAGGAAGCAACCACCCCTGGAACAGCAGCTTGGTCATCGGTCTTCTCGTCGGCTTTATACTCATCTTTATTGCCCTAACCGTGTGGGAGATCTGGCTGGGCGATTATGCTATGATGCTGCCGAGACTGTACAAGCAGCGCTCACCCTCCATCACGGCCCCTTACCAGTTCTTCTTCATGGGGAGCTACATTGTTCTCCTTTACTACCTTCTCATCTACTTCCAGACTATTCTCGGCGCGAGTCCTATCCAGTCCGGTGTTGACAACCTCCCTCTCATGTTCGCCCTTGCCGGCGGAGGTGTCGTTATGAAAACGGGTTGCGCACAGCAGGTTATGTTCGTCGGATCAATGCTTGGTACCGTTACAATTGGCCTAATCTACACTCTCGATATTGGCTCCTCGACTGGGAAGTGGGCTGGCTATCAAGTTTTCGTCGGCGCCACTCCGTCATTTGTCATGATGCATAGCTTGACTGTTGCCCAAGCCAACGTTGGCCCCGAAGACCTCTCTACCGTCACAGCCAACCTTTTGTGTACGTGCCCATCTCCTCTTGCCTCTGAGCAGTTCTCATTGCAGCTAACAAAAACGTTTTATAGCCTTTCAGACAGTTGGAGGTGCATTTAGCATTTCGTCGGGACAAGCAGCCTTCATTAACCGACTTCTTGCCACTCTGCCGAAGACGGCCCCTGACGTGAATCCAGCCCTGGTGCTTGCGACAGGCGCCTCCGAGCTGCATAATGTCTTCCCGCCGGACGTGCTTCCTGGAGTCCTCGAGGCGTACATGATCGGTATCAAGGCCGCCTTTTCAGTTGTAGTTGCCTTCGCTGGTACGGCGTTCTTGTTGACCTTTGCCATTCCCATGAAGAAACTTCCGAGTCATGCAACAGGCGAAGCTCCCATTGCGATGGGTTAGTGCATATTTAAGACGTGGGATAGACAGATAGCACCTTGTAACTCGATTGGATTGATGGGAGATGACGCAGGCACGGGGAGGAAGAAGAATAGCGATGGAAGAATTTACTTGGAGAGTAGGGTACGCCAGTTAGTTAGTCATATACACAGCTACAGTGACGCTAGGTCAAGCATCTCACTTTTGAATTTGAGGGATTGCGAATACCTCCGAGCCCTGAACAACCTTGTTATACAGAGAGTGATGGAGAAAATCCATCCTTATTTTGGTGCGTCGAACCGGGAATCGCGAGACTTTGAGAACTTTGGCTGCTTGTTGTTCATTAGCTCAGTTGTGTGAGTCTCGTCATTATTCGTATATATGCTGTACGCTGTGGCCCAGTTAAGAAGGCAGTGTGTTTTCTATATTTGAGGCTAAGCGTTATGTCCTTGAAGGAAAGATCAAACCACTGAGAAGAATTTCATTAGCATAGATCACATTTCCACGTTATCATCACCACCGCTCTCCTCAGCCACAAAAGCTATATCACCATCACAACGGACACTAACTCAGCTGGACGAGTTTCAGTACCACAGACTGACTCTTCTACTTGGCTTCCTGTCAACAGATCAATCAATCATTCCTTTATCCGTCAGTAACGTGACATGCGTGAAAGCGGGAGTAAGTATCAGAATCGCGCGTTCCGACTCAATGTGAGTAGCCGTTGCACGTTGCTCGTAGCGCTTGTTCTCAATCCAATTTTGGCGTTGTTTTTTGGTGCTTGACGACGTATACTTCGGCAGGGGACTATTTCCAGGAACATTATCATCGCTGCCCTTAACCTCTCAGTATGACCAAGCTCAGGAACCGTTTCCTCGAGCGGTATGTGCTGGTTGCCTACATACACCAGGACATGCAGAATATTTTACGTCGCCCTATTCTGTTTCTCTGAGTTCAAAAGGCTTATAGATAGAATGCATTACACTCACTACATGGTAGTAGTACTCAAGCCGAAATCGCCCGTGGCACATCTGGTGGAGGAAGTTGTCGCTTCTAGGCGGAAGTTTTCGGCAAGTCCAATAGTATTAGACAAATATGAGATCCTGAAACCTCAATCCGAGTGTCTTAAGCTTGGCAAGCTGCGTCCAGCGCTGTCAAGCACTCTCACCGTTATTGCTCAAGGTTGAACTACACTTGGCGTCTGAGATTGCTTATTGGTTTTAGTGTTAACGGCAGCAAGGGGACTCCGCAGTGATAGTTGCATTCTTTCTTCCCGTCGGAACCTCCTGTAATCCTCCATATCTGTATCTTGATTGATTCTGCCTTCAAAGCTTGAACAGAGGCAGATGGTCGGCGATACTGATGCTTTGCCGCTTCACCCTAGTAGATCCGCGTTATGGAGCCGGCTGGAAGCTTATTTTAGGCTTCGACTAGGGTTCCACGGGTACCTGGTGCCTGTAGATCTGTCAGGCCCCACTTCTGCGTTCGGACGAGTTCGCCCCAGCAGAGGGACTGTCAACAAGGATCTGGCGCTATCTCCAGCCAGGTGCGAGGTGCCCAGTGCCAGATTCGGCGTGGTGGCGACTTGACATCGAGGAGGCGAACCCAGCCCCGCACCCTATGAATGACACGCTATCTGATCGTAGTACTTCGCTCCTACGCTCACGAAAGCTGGCTGGGTATTGGACAATAACAATCAATTCCAGGCGAACGATTCCCACCCCTACCCACCATCCTGCCAGAACTATCCTTCACGAATAACGAACATGGCCATTCAAGCTCCTACGGACGAGCTCAAGAAACTCATTGTTAGCTTGATTTTCCCCCGGTATTTGCAATCAACTAATTTCAATTGCTTGAACAGTCAAGGAAGCTGGCACCAATGGTCGCGCCACCACAAATGACGGCAATGCCGAGGCACATGCAGGACATGAAGAATCCGACTGTAATGCCGACGAGGCTGTTGAACCAGGCACTGGAGAGGGAGCAGCCCAAAAGAAGAAGAACAAGAAGCGAAAGCCTAATAAGAAGCAGAAGGCCCCCGCCGTCCAGACCAACCCTCCTAGCATGTTGATGTCGCAACTGTTCCCCAACAATACCTAATATAAACTTCGTTATACTACCCCTAACCGTATAATTAAATCCTATCCAAGATACCTGATATATATACGACTTACAGAACGAATATAGATATACGTATCTGTTCTTTAATCTTTGTAAATGTAGCCCGGATGCTATTATCCCTAGGGTTATCAGGAGAGCCTCCCCATAACGAACAAAAGTTATAATACTTTCTTTTTTCGTATATAGATAGCTTGGTATAACATAGTAGTCCTATACCTCTTCAGCTTAAATGCGGGATGTGGTATTGCCGCTATCAAGAATGCCGAACTCTCGAACTATTTCCTGTCTTGTATTGACTTTACATATGCTGTGCATATTTAGGAACTGATCTCGTGACGTGGGTTAAACCCCATGTGCGGAATTAGCTCGGGTAGAGTATGGTTCGTATTCTAGAACGAGCTATAAGGATCACGCCGGAGATTATTGTCTTCATCTTTACTAACCTTGTTAAGCCAGTAGGATAGTCTTTAGCGGTCTGACGAGTGGTTGTTTTTCCTATGCATATACTCTGCATAGATTCGATATTAGCATCTGAATCTGAAACTTCTTCTTCTAGGTTATCCTAGTTGGATATTCATGTCAATGATTTCGTCGAAAACCCCCGGTGGTACTGTATTAGATCGTCGTCATGTTTGTCCGTTTCTGTTGCTAAGGAAAAGAACAACGTGAAAATGTGCTTAAATCTCAAGGATTACATGTTACGGACTAGTACAAGTGGAGCATATGCACCGCATCTAAAACATTTAGTTACAAGGCTATGGGAAGTTATCTGGTTTATTTGCACGTAGATTTAGTAACTTGTTACTCGCTCCCTGTTACTGATAAGCTAGAGTTATATTCTGCTATCGGTATAAGATCTGTATTTGGCGATATATTATGTGACGAAACCTCCATAGTCTAGCTGTGTAAACCACAAGAGAGTCTGTAAGGGTTTGTGCTTGTAAGTAAGTCCTGCTGCGGAGTCTCTTAGGAATATAACGGATAGTGGACGTATAAAGTATTGTGCTTAGGCAACTGAAGTATTCAAGTAGGTAACTGGGAATAGAGTCGTTAAGGCAGTTTGCCTCACTAATCGGTTAGATTAATGCTTAGATTCATTACTGAAGTAGAGACCGTCTATCTAGGAAATGCCTAGGGATTCTGTCCCTTATATATCCATCTATTCTTCACTGATCTCCACTGGATCACTTCCAGTGTAGTGGGCTTCTGGTGATCCTATAGGTGGCTCACTCTGGCTCACTGATCCTGGGTGAGCCGTCATGCGACCTGCGGGGTCTTGGTCTAGGAACATAGTGCCTCCTTATCCGTAGCGGCTCCATTGTGTGGCCTGCCATCGGGCCTGTTAGGTTGGTTAGGCTCGTTAGAACCAACGGTTCGTAACATATTAGCTGTTACGACTTAGCGTCGAGACAGCACAATCGGCTTATAATATTAGAGCTATTGCATTGTCATAGGTAGGACCGCGAAGATGGATTTTGTACCGATTATAGCACTAAAAAGTAAAAGATGAAATGAAGTAGCTACTAGCCGACCTAGGTGCATTTGTCGGTACATAGACAGAGTATATAACAGGGTTGACCTTTCGCATGGCCTCCAGGATGCCTCTTACTAGCGGATGGGTCCCGTTCGGAATGCAGCTTCGACTCAAGCCTAGCGGTCCTACAGGGGCTTTGTCGTCTGCCTCTTCCGCTCGTCAAGTCCAAACCTAACTATCCGTCACCCCCTTCAGCCGGTCCAGTAGCCACAACACCTCGATGTCCATCATTTCCGCCTTGACCTCAATCTAGCGACATCGTAATGATGACAAAGATGCTCTTTCTGTCGGCCGTTCTTTGATGCATGCAACGCTTGAAAGTTGGCAAATTGCTCCACTCGCGCGTTGTCGTAGGCGTCGACTCATACCCCGCGCTGCTCCCCCCAGCTGCCGAAGAGCCCGGACTCGGTTCCGCACATGCGCTTGGCGTGGATGCTCACATCGGTGTCCTGCACTTCTCCAGCGTGTCATAGGTCGTTTCATGGCCGTCATGCCGGTAAAGTAGGTCGTCGTCAGTGATGGATGCGCAACAAACACAAGGATGGGCAGCGGTTCCATGCAGTATGTGCAACAGTTATAAGTTCCAATTAGGTGTCTGTCTATTATGGAGTGTTCTCCTTCATTTCTCTCAGCCGTCCGTCTGCCGGCGACCTGCATGAGGCTTTCATGGCCCAGGTCACGTGAGCCTTCAATAGTAGGTGGGGAATTCAACTTACTTCCTATTCTAGATACGCGCATTCTCAGATGCAAGAGAGAGAACCGCTAGATTACTAGTTGGGTCGGTGACGACGAGCGAATCCCTGGTGTTGTATGCTTTGGTAGATACGTTTGGTTGAATGCCGTTTCCTTGCCTTAGATGTTGCGCTCCATTTAGTCTTGATGTCAGTATGAAGAGATTCCCTTTGAATTGTCTATGCTTTTGTCTGTTCCCTTGGTGCGGGCAACACCTAAAACGTATGGGACCATATTGCCTGATGTTCTGTGGAGAAAAGCCCACCGACACTGTGACGTGGAGCAGGAAGTTGATGAAAGATGTTCAGCTCTGTTAAGCGGACCAATCATCGCGCAAGCCGTTTTCCCGAGCCGGCGATGCTTAAACTATTACTCCGATAAATGGCGATAATCCCTGCCACTCCCCGATGACGCTACGGGTAACAGCAGCTTAGAGTGAGTGTTGGCCCGACAGCTCGAGCCGAGTCATAAACAGCAAGCCGTTTTTCTTGGAGTCGATTCGCCTTCACTAAAAATCGTCACACATCAATTATTTGATCTCTTAGATTTTAGTCTCGCAGATACTTGCTTTCCAAGCCGAAGCATCCCCCGCAAACCATGATGCTGTCAACTCTGCGCTTCGCGACTCGTAGTGCGCCTGCCGTGCGCCGAGCTTCGGCGGCCTTCAGCTTCGCAGCTGTGCGTGCTGGCTCGACTTGGGCCACTGTCCCTCAGGGACCACCTGTGAGTTCAATTGGTAGCGGTTTTTGGCGATTTTTTTGAACTGACAGATCTGCAGGACGTAAGTTATGCATTGCTCCTCTCTCTATTAGTTGCGTTTGTTGACATGTAGCTTTTGTCATGGCTCAGGCCATCTTGGGTAAGTGTTGCATTGACCACCGTGGAGTCGCTTCAAGCTCACAATGGGAAACAGGTATCACCGAAGCCTTCAAGGCCGACTCCTTCGACAAGAAGATCAACCTGGGTATGTCGGACTGCTCTTGCAACCCACCCCCCATGCCAATGTCATTGTCCTGCTGACTCTTCCTCTTCAGGTGTCGGTGCCTACCGAGATGACAAGGGCAAGCCTTATGTTCTTCCTTCCGTCCGAACTGCCGAGGATAAGGTTATCTCGAGCCGAATGAACAAGGAGTATGCAGGAATTACCGGTCTGCCCGACTTCACCAAGGCTGCTGCTGTCCTCGCGTACGGCAAGAACTCGTCGGCTCTCGACCGCCTTGCCATCACCCAGTCCATCTCGGGCACGGGCGCCCTGCGCATTGGCGCTGCCTTCCTCGAGCGATTCTACCCCGGTGCCAAGAAGATCTACATCCCGACCCCGTCATGGGCGAACCACGGTGCCGTCTTCAAGGATGCCGGTCTTGAGGTGGAAAAGTACAGCTACTATGACAAGAAGACCATCGGTCTCGACTTCCAGGGCATGATAGCCGACATCAAGGCCGCCCCCAAGGGCAGCATCTTCCTCTTCCACGCCTGTGCCCACAACCCCACCGGTGTCGACCCGACTCCCGAACAGTGGAAGGAGATCAGCGCCGTCGTCAAGGATGCTGGCCACTATGCCTTCTTCGACATGGCCTACCAGGGTTTCGCGTCGGGTGACACGGACAAGGACGCTTTCGCTGTGCGCCACTTTGTCGAGCAGGGCCACAATATCTGCCTCGCCCAGTCCTTCGCCAAGAACATGGGTTTGTACGGTGAGCGCGTCGGAGCCTTCAGCATCGTCGCGGCCTCCGCCGAGGAGAAGAAGCGCATCGACTCGCAGATCAAGATTCTCGTCCGCCCCTTGTACTCGAACCCGCCCATCCACGGCGCCCGCATCGCGGCCGAGATCCTGAACGACCCGGCCCTGTACAACCAGTGGCTGGCGGAGGTCAAGGAGATGGCGGACCGCATTATCACCATGCGTGCCCTCCTCAAGGAGAAGCTCGAGAAGCTCGGCAGCAAGCACGACTGGAGTCACATTACTAACCAGATCGGCATGTTCGCCTACACCGGCCTCGACGCTAAGCAGATGGATGCTCTGGCCCAGGAGCACAGCGTCTACGCTACCAAGGACGGCCGTATCAGCGTGGCTGGTATCACGAGCGATAATGTTGGACGTCTGGCTGAGGCCATCTACAAGGTCAAGGGCTAAACTACCCGAGTCCGCGACTGGCTAGTAGGACGAACAATCGGACGTGACATGACACGATGAAGTGACGAGGACACAAGCAAAAGTTCTGGGGCGTTTTACGTGTGCGATACGATACGAATACATATCTGGCATTTGGCTCTGCTCTCTAGTAAGGGCCTCGTTTGGCAAACCCGAGGTTCCGATGTTGGGGTTTGTATTTGCTTGGATGCTAGACCTGGAAACATCTCCTATAGACGGTAGATAAGATAGCAATGCATCTGTGACACCTTCCTGATTGACCGACCCGAGATATAGTGCTACTCCAAATTATGAGAAACATCCCATGGAAGCGTATGTCTGTGCTTGCAATGTGGGTTCAGCTCGATTGCATATATGCCAGAGATGCTGCATTGTTTCGTCTCCGTATGATCGGATGCAAGTCTAGGTCTTGTACATCGTTCAGAGCTATGGCGATCGGTAGTTAATAGCCAAAAATCATCAACACATCGCCTAAATATCGTGACCGAGTAGCCTTTTCCACCACATGCTCGCTCAAACCAGTCCAAATCCAAATTTCGACCCTCATGCACTAACTCCGATCCAACCTCTCCAAATCTTTCTGAATCTCTTCCAACCTCTCCTCCATCTCCTTCCACACCCGTCCCATTTCCCTCATCATCCTCTCCTTGGCCTCATCATTCCCCTTGCCACCACCTATCATCTGCCGCCCCCTCACTCTTTCCCTCCCTTCATCCTTCCCAGCATCAGCACCCTCAACAAAAACCCCATAATCCCTCAGCTCCGTCTCCTTAATCCGAATACTATCCACCAACCTCATTTTCGCATCCCGCAAATGCCTCCGGTAATTCGTCAGCGCCACCTTGGCTTCGGGCGGGTACACAGTTCCCCTCGTCTGCCACAGCAGTAACTGCAGCGCCTCGCTCCATAGCTGTGCCGCCAACGCGCCCTGCGAGGCTTGCAGTTCGGAGGAGTAGGCCGAGGGGCCGTGTTTAGCTTCCAATGCCCTCAACAAAATGACAAGGGCATCGGTATGGTGGTTTAAATGGGAGACCAACGACGAGGTGGCGGAGAGCCGGGCTTGCGAGAGCGTCGCGCTTTGGGTGGCTAGAGTTGCGAGGAGGGACTGCGTCGTGGGGTGGATTTGCGGGATGGAGCGGTGGATGAATGACGGGTTTGTACTGGGGTGGAGGATGCGGGCTAGGGTGCTGGCTTGGGTTATCAGGTGCGAGGAGACGAGAGGGGTTAGTTGGGGGAGGAGATGGATTATTTCCGAGAAGGGGGGAGTGGAGAGAAGAGCCTCGAGGTCTGGTCTCAACAACGTGGATGCTCTTGAGAGGAAGGGCGGGAGGAGGACTAGAAGGTCAAGAAGCTCTGGTGGGAGTTGGGTTGCTTCTTGGGGTTTGGTCAAGCGCGAGAGCTGGGATTTGGTCCTGCGGTGCTGAGCTGATGGTTTAGGGGCTTGGGATGAGGGTGGGCTGGTGGTTGAGAGGGCTTGTTGGAGGAGGTGCTGTTTTGTTGCCTCTAGACGGTGATATTTGAGTTCCTCGACCAGAGTTAGCTTATTTTTCTCACACAATAGACGATAGATATGACTTACCTCCTGTACAGCATCCCGCTTCTTGGCCCCAGCATCGTTTTTGGTTGATCCATCTGGGTTAAGGATATTGGCTGTGAGAGACTTGTAGAGCTCGGCAAAGTCGGGGTTGTTAATAAAAACTGCATCATCGACCGGTGGAAGCATCTTAACTAGTCTTGTGTGAATTCTGTAAAATGTTGGTATTTGGTTAATGCTGTTGATAATTAAGACGGACATATGAATGAGAAGACGCGAGGGTGTCGCGGTGTCACCTGATTGGTTGCAACGGGTAAACACCGGTTTTTCACTCCCGTCCCGAAATTCTTCAACCCGCAGGTCCATAGCTCAGCTTCGGTAATCTTGATATCGTATTGTGACATTTCGCAGCTCTTCACGACTAATAAAGCCGCCCAAAGCCACCGGTTTCAATGAAAGTCTCATAACTAGAGAATAAACCCAATCATAACCAACGATGCCTCCACTCAGGCCTCTGGCGTCCACCCCACGCCTCCTCGCCAGACCAACCCTTACTCTACCAATCCGAACGTTCACCACCAGTACCCCCCAACAAAGACAAACCCCAACCCATCTAACCGTCCCCTTTGACCAAGTCCCCGACTATCCTTACGGCCCCTTCCGGTGGTACAAGCAACGCAACGTGGGTCTCTACGGCCACGCCAAAATCCGCTTCGGCAACACCGTCTCGAAACCGCACAATATCAAGCGACCGACCCAATGGCGACCGAACCGACACACGAAGCGTCTCTGGAGTCCCGCGCTTGGCATGTTCATCCGGACGCGCCTGACGACGCAAGTCCTCAAGACGGTGGACAAGCTGGGGGGTATCGACGAGTATCTTATGGGGACGAAGCAGAGGCGCATTAAGGAACTTGGACCGGCGGGGTGGCGGTTGAGGTGGAAAGTTATGCAGAGTCCGTTTATACAGGAGAAGTGGGCCAGGGAACGGGAGGCGCTGGGGTTGCCGCCGAAGGAGACGCAGATGGTCGCCGGGTTGGGAGGAGAAGGGGAGCCAACGGTGGCAGAAATGAACGTCGTGGATGGGATGCTGCAGAGGGGGGAGGAGTTTGTGCTTGGTGAGGAGGATGTGCTGGATCGCGAGGCAGTCGGCGAAGGCGCAGTGCTGGAAGAGGCGGCTTCGTACCATGAGGCGTTGGCTGGGGAGATGGCGAAAAACGTGACGGCTAGCCATGAGGTCCGCCAGGCTATCAACGAAATACGGGAGAGGCGTGCAAGGAAACAGAAGACGGTATAGATAAAAGAAAAGACCGAGGTAACGCATTGCTGTACGATATCCATGTACAAGTACAAAAGAGGAAAGAAATACATCGAGACGCTAGTCTAAATGCCATGTTATCATATATTAAGCGCTCTATGCTACATTTTTCTTTCTCGGAACTCCAGGCGTGCATCATGGGTGGTATTTCCCAGTATCCCTCATCCCTCGATTGCTCCATCAAAAAGTCATCCAATCCCAGACAACCTTCCAGGAATTAGACCCATTATGGTTTTCTTCCACTAGAATCGTAAATCCCACCCGATCTTCGGCCCCAACTTGGGCAACTCATCAGCAACACTCTGCACGTCCTTATCGCCACGACCGCTTAGACAAATGACGATATCCTCGCCCTTCTTCATCGTCTTAGCCAGCTCAATGGCTCCGTAAATTCCGTGCGCCGACTCCAGCGCAGGAATGATACCCTCGAGCTCGCTCATCAGCTTGAAGCCAATGAAAGCCTCAGCATCCGTGGCCGCAACGAACTTGGCGCGCTCGCTGTCCTTCCATGACGACAACTCCGGTCCCACCCCGGGGTAATCGAGACCAGCCGAGACGGAGTGCGTATCCTGAATTTGTCCGTGCTCGTTCTGCAGGACGTAAGTACGCACACCGTGCAAAACGCCCTTAGTGCCGCCCGTAAGCGTCGCCGAGTGCCTCATCGTCTCAACGCCGTCTCCTCCAGCCTCAACACCGAGTAGCTTTACGCTAGGGTCGTTAGAGAAGGGCCAAAACATGCCCACGGCATTGCTGCCACCACCCACACAGGCGACGACGGCGTCGGGCAGCTTGCCCCGTGCGGCCTGCATCTGTTCCTTGGTCTCGCGGCCAATGACGGATTGGAAGGTGCGCACGATAGTCGGGAAGGGGTGCGGGCCGATGGCAGACCCGATGATATAGTGCGTGTCTTCGAGCCGGACGACCCAGGAGCGCATAGCTTCATTGACAGCGTCGCGGAGGGTGCGGCATCCGGCCTCGACGGCGATAACCTTAGCGCCAAGGAGGCGCATCCGGAAGACGTTGAGGGCTTGGCGGCGGACGTCCTCCTGTGGTGCATATTAGAAAATAACAGGTCAGGGGGTAACGAGGTAGAAAGAAAGGAGTGAAACTCACAGCACCCATGAAAACGGTACACTCCATGCCAAACTTAGCGCATACAGTTGCGGTCGCAACACCGTGCTGCCCAGCACCAGTCTCAGCAATTATCTTGGTCTTACCAAGTCGTCTGGCCAGCAGAATCTGTCCCAGTGCGTTATTGATTTTGTGCGAACCAGTGTGGTTCAGATCCTCGCGCTTCAACCAGATATTCGCACCACCAGCATACTCCGTCAGACGCTCAGCAATGTGCAGATGTCCTGGTCGACCCATCCATTCGTAATAACTACGATACTCCTCCCAAAACTTAGGATCGTCAATAATAGCGTGGAAGCCATTCTCGAGCTCTTGTAAGCAGTCCATCAGGGATTCAGGCACGTACTGACCACCAAACTCGCCAAATCGCTCCGGAATCTTGCCGTGCATCGCCGCGAGTTGGGCCACTAAGGCCGCGTCTTCCTCATCCTCGTGTCCTGTAACAACAGCGTTGACGGTGACATCCTCCCCATCCGGCTCCTTCGCTCCGTTAATAGCCTCCACAACGCCCACCTCCCGCGTGAGCTCACCTTGCGCAGGGCTGGTCCGCCCACACACGTACGCGCAGTAGTCCTCGACCGCCTTGCTGAGCTCCATTTTGGCCTCCAGTGCCTTTTGCAGCGTTGTCACGATTTGCGAGCCGATGACGACTCCATCCGCAACACTAGCTACGCTCTGGAAGTGTTCCCGCGTGCTGACACCGAATCCCACAGCTGCGGGCTTGTCACCGCTGTACTTCTTGACTCGCTCCACCAATTTCGGCAGGTTCGCGTTCAGAGTTCCTTGCGCACCGGTCACACCTTGTCTCGACACCACGTAGATGAAGCTATCCGCCAGTTGGCATAGCAACTTCATTCTAGAATCACTCGTGGCGGGTGCGATTAGGGGCACGTAGCTCAGACGGCCCTTGTTGCACAGCTTTCGGAATGAGACGGCCTCCTCGGGTGGCAAGTCGCAAACGATAAAGCCGTTGACACCGGCCTCCTTGCAGTCCTTCAACAAGGCGTCCTCGCCGTATGAGAGAAGGGGATTGTAGTAGCCCATCAGCAGTACGGGGGTCTTGAGGCCTTTCGATCGTGCCTCTCGCACCATTGACAGCGTCGAGGCGATAGTGACGCCATTCTTGAGGGCTATCGTGTTGGACGTTTGAATTGTCGGACCGTCGGCGATAGGGTCTGTGAAGGGTACACCGAGCTCGATAATGTCTATGAAAATCGTACGAGTGTTAGTCAATTGTTCACTGTGGACCGAGCTTGAGTTAGGTCAAGGGAGCGATAGGACGAACCTGCACCGCCTTTGGCCATACCCAGCATCACGCGTGGGGTGTCCGCGGGCAAAGGGTAACCAGCTGTGACGTAAGTAACCAATGCCGACTAAATTTCCCATCAGTTGTGCTCATAAATCAAGTCATCGTGAGAAATATTGGCGATGATGCCACCAACACCCCGCCATCGATAAGAACCAACATACCCGGTTCTCGGCCTTGCACCGATGGAAAGTCTGCTTGAGGGCGTCCATGATGTCCAATAGTGGTTCTGTCGAGTCAATTGGCAAATATGAAGCTGAGAAGTACCGTCAGATACAGGAGTTAAATTGGTTCTTATGGATATTCTTTTCTGACTCACCTCGACGCTGTTGAAGTTGCAGCTTTTCATTAGTCCCGATTCGGTCCACGGAGTAGTTTCGAAGAATACCCCGCGGTCGCTAATGGGAAGGTTCGGGCAAATTTTAGCTGCACCACATTCTGCAGGGGCGACTCGGAGCTCTGGCTGGTGTGTGCTTCTCTTAGCCCCGCGATAATGGCTCCCGCTATCGGGTGGTGCGGGCAACGGTCCTGAAATGCAGATGAGGCTTGAACATTGGAATGCTAGCTATGCTGGCTTTTCATTGGACCTTTGGTAGATTCATCCCTTGCATCGAACCAGCATTAATCAACGTTAGCTTATGACAATTTAAAAATAAACCTGGACGATGCTATGTATATCGGAGCGAATCTGGCGAATGCGACTCAATGACTCATCAATTTGCTGGACACTCATGAGCGAGACATCCACTCGATGTCTTTTCCTCGATATTCCAATTGCATGTCGCAACTTGGAGACTAGAAGATGTCGAGCTCCGATCAAGCATTGTGCCATAGACAACAATACTTTACCACCCACCGTTCAAGCCACTTTACACTGATAAGCTGTCCCTCTAGTTAGGCTGCTGGAAGTCAACATTCTGTGGGTTACATAATTATACACCTATGCCCAGTCACATTACATCAGCAATAGATATATCAGAAACTGAAACTGGCCCGCCAGTAATTCCACGGCTGTCAGGCTACGCTACGGTGGATTTCGAGTTTGTTTCGTTCAGAGTGGAACACTATGATCTATAATAGAACCCCTTTTGCCTAACCAGTGATGGTTTATGAATCATATAGGTCAGTCCGAATTGGTGTAGTGGCTAACATTACACGCTCTCATTATTCAACTGAATGACAAGTGCCGTGTAGCCCGGGGTTCGATTCCCCGATTCGGAGTAATCTTTTGCGAAATTTGGCATGAGATCCTTCTTATATGTAGCTAATTGTATTGCTACTGGCTGAAAGGTTCTTTTTGGAATTTTAGATATCGGACACGGGGTGCCAGCCGAGCAAAAGAGAATAAATTAAATGTGTAAACACCGCCCGGCACACCTTTTGGATTTTCCACGAAGCAAAAGAATTGCTCAGTATGAGGCTTGAACTCATGGCCTTCGCATTACATAATATGTCCCAAAGAAGAGGTATTAGTACGACGCTCTAACCAACTGAGCTAACCGAGCTGTGACTCCCATCGTTATCGATAGATCGGATCACATGTGAGCAAAGCAAATGGAATAGGAATTTATATTGAAAAACATGCAGCTAGCTGTCTAGCTAAATTTAGTGTTTGCGTTGGTGGAGATACAAGAATAAGCTAGAGCGGGTAAATGCTTACACATCATATATGCGCTGCCAGAGACTCCTAGCATGGCATTGCATATGGCTGACTATATGTTTACATATCTTAAAGTGTGTTCTGTCGTGTTCTGTATTAGGGCCTTCGCTACCCTTGGGTGTATATATCTGGAAGATGACCAGAAAACTGCAGGCTGCGGCTTAATTATAGAGCAATTCTGCACCACGCCGCAATTGACCAAGAATTGTGCCAACTTATGTTTAAGTAGGGGGCATCCCCAACTCAGCCATCTGCAAAAGTTTCGCAGGAATTGCACCATTCTGGATTTGCTTGCTGTGCGGTAGTGCCATAGATTTCGACATAGATTACTCTCTGCGGTTCGCACCATAATAAGCAGACTATGCAATTAGCCCACCTGATCTCCGTGAGCCGTGTTCTAGTGCCGTCTCAGCCGCTACTGGGGAGGGAATGGAGGCATGCGACTATCAATCCCCCGAGGGTGTTAGGCAAACCCCTCGAAACAATGAGCAGCTCAGGAAGTTGAATAAGAGTGACTACGACCCGGACGTAACACGGCTTTCATATGAGTGCAACCCATTCGTGGACCCAATTATTGCCCTTGCTCACGCTTTCTTCCTTTGAGCGCAAGGTTTCGACGACGTCCCCGTCGAGGCTAATTACTCCAGTCCTCTTACGATTGAAACTTTCAAAGGTACACTCGAGATTAGAGAGAAAGCTAGCTAAGCCGTCTAGAGTTGGATATTACCCATCTTAAGTACCAATCCCTGTCATGTAGAATCGGAAAGTCTGAATGAATCTGCTAATACTTTATGTAGGTCCCGACCTAGAAGAGTTAGACTTCTTGGACAATTGCGTAAGCGAGGTTTAGCCCGCAAGCTTAATATCTCGAGTACGACAATGGCTTCAGATGTGCCCCAGTGGTAAAAGAGGCGAGCAAGTAGCTCAATCGCGAGCATTTCCACGTCGTCTGTTCCATATCGAATGGGTCGACGATTTTTTCGCAGCTCGTCTTCAGAAGACTGGCCCCCTACCAAAAGATAATCGATATTTCACTTTAGTCATTGCTGGGGTTGGACGCCGTTTCTCACATTGACCCCATACAACTATGATGCTTTCCAACAGCGCATCCCCTTGAATAAAGCTGGCTTCAGCCATTCCTTTCGGGACGCCCTTCAAGTCACTCTCGATCTGGACTACAATTACATCTGAATCGAATCTCTATTCATTGTGCAAGATGCAACGGACGCCGCCGATTAGCCTTCAGAGTGACCGCTTCTTGGCTACATCTATCTCAGTCAGAAGGCATCTGATAGTTTCCTGCGGATGCTTCCCACTTCATCATATTGGCATATGGAACAACAGTACGGCTACTCGAATCTTTCGAGTCCCGTAGCCTTCCAAGAATGTCTAGTTTTCACAACAGGGCGAGTGTGGATGATGTAAAGAATATGCTTTCTGACATTGAAGGCTAGCACGACTAAGTTGCTGGTCCATACTCTACGGCCTTTCCTCAAGGAGTCTGCACAGTATCTGTCTTAGCTTTTAGAGGCTATTGCAGTACATTCGTCTTCGCCGGATTCTATAGGTCGAATCTACCTCTATATTCATGGTCCATTGACCATACTCTGTAGTCGGGCACATGAAAATGGTGATGTAGATCCTGATAGACGCTAATATAGAGGTTGAATCCAAACAGGCAGCACGACGCTGTTTGAAGGTGTGAGTGCCGATATCTGCCTAAGTAAGAGCAGCAGTCTCAACCAGCGGGGGCTCCCGCTATACCGCGAATACGGCGCCTTGGAAACTTCCCAAATCCAATATCTGATAAGTGGGATGAAACACTCTTTCTGCTCCAGAACTGCATAGTGAACTGTCTCAGTCATTTTCTCCACGGTACTAGCATTAAACGTATCCACGTAGATGAACTGATAATGCAGAAGATGAGGGGGACATGGGTGTATACACGCACATAAGATCCTTTCAGCTTAGCGAGTTCCGCCGCTCTCATGAACTTGCTGGAACGGAGTGCTCATGGGTCAAGGAGGAGCAGGAGGTGATTGAATACCATTACCATGCGCCAATAGAAGAAGTCAAGATCTTTAAGCGGGCAATGCTTACCTTTCCCTACCTTTCCCTACCTTTTTGTAGACAAATGCATATTTCGAAATTTACCCCTAGCGATGGCGTAAAACGCAGAGGGATTGAAAAAGATCCATCCGTCTTCACACAGTGATGTCATTGCGAATAATAAGGCTGCATGTTCTAACATAGAAGTAAATAATTTTTCACTTCATTCTGCAAAATGCATGTGCGTATCAAGTTGATACAATAATATAGAGTACAGTTAGTAAATCGCCGTAGTTCCTGACCCAACAATAAAGCCGTTTAGTGTGGTAGCAAGTAGAATAGACACTTGGATTCCCCCAAAAGAAGACAGAGTTTTCACTGAAATGCACACTGGTAGAAGCCCATTGTGACTTGCTCCGGGCTTGGTGCCAGAAGATGAGGGCTCGTCGGGAAAGGTAGATCGTTGGGCCGTCATGATCAACGCCTCTGATGTATCAGTATCCCTGCTCAGATGTAATCAGGCCTCCCAAATAGGCAGCTAAGAGGCATATCATTCTGTACATAATGCACTCATGGCCAGCTTGGCTCCTTTGGCCCTTTTCCCGACAGAGACCACTTCAATTCGGTGCAGCACTATTTGCACACAATAAGTCCGATGGCCTTCCGTAGGCTCCAGCTCCCCCGGTATCAAAAAGGGTGGACGCTCGGCCTACATGTTGCCTGTTTGTAACTTGATACTTCGGACCTTGCATAGTTGTACCCAATTACACCAATGGCATGGTTGTCTTGGCGAAACATCAAGATGTGGTAGTCTCCATTGAACAAGTATGTATCTGCATTTCAACCTGCTTGACTGACTCCACTGCGATGCGTAGTGCTGAGGGGCCACGATTCCACCAAGCTTGGCACGCCAGCCCTGCATGGGACAGCCTGGTTGAAAATTTCCAACTGGGTGAAAATGATGTCGATGTGGCGGATCCAGCCCGATTGGCTGCCACAACTTGCGCCATGTCGCGACTAACGCAGCTGTCACCCGAACTTATGCGCCTGGTCTGGTTGTATGCTCAGCCAACGTTGTTGGTTCGCTATTCAGCCGTTCTGAACCTGGCCCGCGAGATATCTGAAGGCTCGCAGCCGTCTTTCCTCTTCGCTCCCGTGCCGGCAAGCGCCGTCGAGACGTAGCATCGTGGCTCTCTTCCGCCGCTTAGAAAAGGGTGGGAAGAAGAAGAAATACACGAGCGCCCCTGTCCGTATATCATTTGTTTCACCGTTGACTCTCGAGGCACCCGCAGGATTGAGAGCATGACGAAACCACTGCCTCATCCCAAGAATCGGAGTTCTGATACGGAACTCTTCTTCGTGAACCATGAGCAAACCAACATCCTCACGGCACAATGGTTCTCTCAGCTTAAATATGATGTGTATGGGGAAGCGAACACGTCATCATCACAACTGCAACGGTCACCTGTTTTCCTTCCCCGCGTGGAACACCCCTCAACCGCCAGACCTGGCCGATGAGCGCATGAGAACAATCGTCACCCTCCGACGTGTATCAACCAGGGCGCTATACCACACTGTCAACCTACATTTAGCCACCGGCCTCACGTTCGTCCACTCAAGTGAAGGAATATTGTTGCAGAAAAGGTGTGAATTCATGTAGAAGAGTGCAGATTGAAGATGACTTGTATTCTCTCTTGAAAGGAAGTCCTCACATGCTCCTATTTATAGGTAAGCGAGAATTATAGCCCTAGAATAGACTTTCCTGTCTTGTTGGTAGCGATACCTTCGGTATCATGACCAGTGAAAGCTTATAGCTTTAGATTACGTAGTTTCCTTCTCATGCAACAAATATACGGCATCCACGGCCACACACGTGCACTTCGCCTTGTGCCTCTGCCTTACCAGCGTTCCAACAGCTGCCAGCTCGGCGTCAGAAGGCTGTCGAATGGATTTACGTGACCCAACCCAAAGAGGACCACTTCGGGGCTATTGGCCTCCAATCAATAGTGGCCGCGCCCCAATAATTTCCCAGCATTATTCTACGCACAAGGCTGAACGGCGAAACCGTCGGGGGGACTAACCATCCGGACCGTATCCGGACCTGCTTCCTCTAGACAGGCATAACACCGCCTACGACGCTCATCTACCGCACCCATGAGCTGGAGGCAATATTCCTTCTGGGCACATACTCAGCAGTGCCTAACCCAACCGCGAGGCCGGCCCCCTTCTTCCGCCTCCCCCGCGCTGCGAGCACGACCGCCCTCCTCTTCGATCCGTGCTTCTCTTCGGCCTCGCTCCAAAAAGTTAGCCGCATTCGCATTTTCCGCCAGTACCACAGCCGATTTTGTCGGGCATTACTATTCGAGTATACAAACGACGCACAGTATACGCTGGGACAATGTCGTCTGCACGTCGATGCCGAGATATGTACGGGGCCCGAGTATCTCTGTTTCCAGCATGCGAGGTACTCGCCCCTTGTACGAGGGTGGTGCGAAAGGCGTCTTTTCCCAGTGAACGCCAAACGGAGCAAAATATCGGCATGAGGAGGAGGGGGTTGCGGTTGGGCTTGCCACATCGTGGGAAAGACATGGTGCGAGGCTGAATTTTGGGTTTCGTCGGATGAGACTTTTATGCAGGTCATAGGCGGGTGATAGAGTGGCCAATATATACAATTACTGCGGTACAAGCTACTTTAATGCTTCACTGAAGCCGTGGAATATAGGGTCTAATATATCTGGAAACGAATAAATCAAACTGTACACTTTGTTTTTGCACCTGTATCAGCAGTTTTACACTTGCATCTCTTCGAGAGGTAGTATCTACTTCAGATACAAAGTCTTGTTAACACTATTGGGTTTTAACTCTATTCAAGGGTTGTAGCCAGCCCTGTGACTTTTCTGACACATCTTTAACTCTTGCTGTGTTTGCCCCACGGGAGATTATTTGTACTAGGATAGTACTTCGTGCTTTGCTTGACAACTGTTACTGCTTGGATCAAGGAATCCCATCGAATATCACCATTATCTAACGTCCACAACGCAGGGTTTGGTTTGATTCAGAAGTAATATATTGCATTTATGTATTCCTCAAGTCCTTGCACCGTGATTTCGTTCAGTCTGATCAAAGAAAGATTTTACACTGGATTGAAAATTTCCAATCCCGCACCCTCACCACCAACACAATGCGTTCCTGCTGCCAATGGCTGAGGTGCGGTCCACTTTCCGCCCGTACAGGTCGAGAACTGGGTATCGAGGCAGAATATATTTCCTTCCGTGGGGCACGAGTCTTGAGGCAGGGCCGTGCCATTTGAATCGGCAGAGGTCGAAGCGAAGACGGTACTCAATTCAACGGCTGATGACTGTGCGGATGGAGTCGAAGGAGTCGCCACAGAGGTCACCAAAGTGCTTGAACCCAACACGGTAACAGTAGCAGTCTTTTCCACAGCCGTCGTAGACGAAATGACCAACACGGTAGCGGAGCCTCCAGCGTTCTGCTCATTGCCGTCACAAGGAGCCATGACAAGGTTCTCAGTCCCCTCGGGATGTTCAACCGAATCCCCAGGATGAGGAAAAGAGATGGCCTTGTTCTGCTTTTGGATATCTGCGACCGAGCACCCATCACTCACTTCTCCCATGTTCGTCATAAACAGCCCGGGAAAACCAGCCCGCTTTGAGACGTGATCTATCCGCTCCTTGGACTCACGGCTCTCCGCCTTCTTGCCGGCTGTGGCAACAATAGGCGCACAGTTCATGTAGAATTCGGCCGGATCCCCACCAATACGAGCCACCCAAGTCCAAGCAAACGTCCACTCTCCAGGGGTAATGCCATCCGGGATCGTGAAGTCATACTTGTCAGGCGTCTCGCCATCATTGAGGTTGCCGCCCTCGTTGGCTTTGGGACAGCCGCCTTCGATGGAGTGGATCACCTTCCAGACGGACGATTTGGTGGGCTCAAACCCTTCGGTCACTGAAAATTGACAGCTGCCGCCACCGTGGACTGCTTTTCCCGTGAAGGAGGCGGTTTGGGTCTCCCCAATGGCCATTTCGGTTGGGGAGCCGTCGATTTCGAGTTTGGTGACTCCCGGTGGGATCTTGCAGGGGAAGTCGGCGCCATCTTCGGTGATTGGGTTCGCGGGGCCATAGGCAGCAAACTTGAAAGGACGGGGGCTCTCGAGGATGACGTGGCTGCTGGCGATGCTGAAGAGGGTCGTTGCGGCGATGGTGAATGTTGGAAAATGCATGTTGATTAAAATTTCTTCGCTTATAGTTGGGTGCACTGAGCTGAGTGTAGTTTGTGTGTTGGATGTTTGCAAAGTCGTTTCTGCATTTACGTTGAATATATTCAACGGTGTGGCAATTGAGAGGGTTAAGCAGTCCTTATTAAATCCGCTTATCATCCGTGAGGCATGGGCCGAAACGCACAACTCCCCAGTACGATACGTCGACCTCGACCCTTGTGGAAAGCAGGCAAAGAATAAATAAGGGGTACAAGAGAATCAAGGGAATATAAATGGACATGTACATGTTGTTCAATAAGCAGTATCTTCCACAAAGGGGCTGGAATTAAGCATAGTAACGTGAGCATGTGAAACAAGTACCACAAAGAGCTTGTTATGTTGCTATTGATACAGAATCAGAACAAGCAGTGCAATTTTCCATGACTACTTAGCAAGTCGTAGGTCCATATGTCACCTGTCAAAGCTGACATTCAAAAAGTCGATCTATAAAACCCTAATGGAATCTTTCCTTATATGTGCGTATGTATCACTCACAAAGCAACTAACATACGAGTAGTTCTTGATGCTAGGTGTTCGTCTTTTTACCAAAGTACATTTCTCATTTGCAACTAATTCTCAGAAGTACAGATTTTAAAGGTATCATTGAGATACATAATGGCTGGCTCATAACTTAGCAATACGGCTATATAAGGGGTTTCACACCAAGAACCGATGTATGCCATTGTCTGAGGTTCATGTCCATTCCCTACTACTTGCTGGGGGCTCTTGGTTAAACTCAAGAACCAAAAGGGCGCACCTATAACGCTCGTTGCGGTCAACAGTGAATATCTCCTTACAATTCCATGCCGGCTTGATCATTGCAGGTATCATTGCTTGTCACCTTATCCAGAATAAGAGATTGAAAAGGAGTTGTAGATTCCCAGATGGTAGAAGGAATAAAACACAAGGAATTAAAGAAAACTATGGCTCTACCCTAGCCAGATGCAGATCTTAGTGAGTAATGAATAAACTTATCTAATGTTGGTACCTTTCACCTCGAGAAACGCACATAGCGATACTTGTTGTAGTGCAACGGCTAGTGCAACGGCCGCGGGGACGGCTCTATCATCCGACGTAGATACGGAAGTTGTGCAACGAGGGCGGAGTCAGACCACCCCTTCCGGGACAGGAATTTTCACTTGGCAGCTTCCGACTGGTGGTGACACTGGGTTCGGCCACTAGCGGCCGTGTGGGATAAGGAAGTTCAGTTATTGCTGCCCAACAGTGTTTCAGGCTCATTTCACGACGCTGATGCCGGTAGGCTTTCCATCAATCTCATGCTTCTGAGCATGAATCAAGCCTGTTATCCCGGGCAAAGGTGGGAACATCAGGCTACTTGTGACCATATCTGTGCCTTGATAGAATAGGACAGGGTAGCCTTTGTGTTGATGAGCGAGTACCAGCAGATAGGGGAATCAAAGAAGTCCGACTTTAGTCAAGTTTTCATAGGACTACAGTTGACTTGCAGAATATAATGTCACGGACTTTTCAAAAAGTTACATACAATTTACCCTTAATATTAGGAGGGGGGATGCGGAAGTCGTTCCTATAGGGCTCAAGCTTCTCCTCATCCACTGGCCAAGTACAGACAAAACTAGCTCCTCTGTTGTGTGACCATCTGGCCACATCATATAAAGATCAAATGCGACCAGCGAAGGTTCTAGCCCACATGTGTATCATAGATTTAGGGGTTGATTGCTTTCACCACGAGGTGTTTGGTGTCCAACTTGCGTGGTAGACGTATCATACGATAGCATGCTGCCAAAATAATACATGACCACACGTGGACAAATCATCGGTTTCATGAACATCCAGATCAGCACAACGCTGCATTTAAAATTCCGAATCGCATAATGACTTCCTCGTTGGTTAACGGATATCGGAGGCAATGCGAGTTACCAAGGTCACCTCTGACTACTTCACGCGATCTCGCGGCTTCCTGCTTATATAACGCGTTATTTCATCAATATCCTAATTGGGTGATCGTATAGAAGTGCAGCAAGAAGAGATAGAATACTAGGGCCTCACTTGGAAAGGAGACATGGTGGATCCGATGCGGTATTCCCGCCTCTCAGGGCCTTGACTGGGCATTTGCGAAACACTAATTACCAAGCCGACCTGCATCCGACAGTCGATCAATTTTCCTAATCTATTTAGACATGTGGCTTCATGTTAATGAAGAAGACATCCGAGAACTTGCTGAGTGTGATTCTACTCATCATGATGCGCACTGCACCTCAAGCTGTCTCTAGTATCTGTCTTATCACTTGCGCATGTCTTTGAACGAGCCTGTGTAGGGTATAACCGGAAAGGTATACATCGCAAAGACACTGCGACGATTGTTGCCTGTTATGGAACCCTTGCCAGATCTGAGAAAGACATTTCTTCTGTACGAGGTTGAACACATCCTTTTAGGACAGTTCCTTGCGTATTCGCACTCCTGCAGCGGGTATTGGTATCCGCGTGCCGATATATCAGATAGTGGTCACCCGGCTTCCGGGGATACACGAACACCAACGTCCCAATCGGATCGCTAATGGATACCTAACCTTTCAACAGACTCCAGTATAGTCGCCATGATAAAAGGCTCCCCAATACCACTCCTAAACCCGACTGGCTAACATGGCCTGACAACCAATTTGACAGACCCCTGAAACCTTGGTCGCTGTTACCTACATCCCACATACACTGCTACGTAATTCGTTAATCTGCGAACCACAACATGTAAGCCAATCCATTGTTCCATCGTGAACCATAGCACCCAGGCCACGTCACATTTCAATGACGCTACATCAGCCACATTGCGGGAGCGGCGCACGGAACTGCCCAACGAAGTCTAGGTTTGGGAGTCCATCCTGTCATACTCGCGTGCATATGCGTGGCGCTCCCCTTCCGGAGTCGAGTGGTCACACAAATTCAGGAACATGTAATTAATCCACGTTCAGAGATTTCGCATGTGTCGACAACAGAATCCAGTAACCCGTCATCGGAGCAATGCTCTCTTTCTACGAACAGTAATAGCCAACGCCTCACCGAAACTTGAAGCAATGCAATTAACCCGATATGAGACCAAATCAAGCGGTCTGTCGTCCGGCTGCCGGTTGCGTACGTTGCCACTATAATGATTGTTATGCATACCGGGAATAACATATCACTTCCGATCCCGCCGTGGCTTGCTGCACTAACGGGTAGATGTGCAAGTCCCCTAAATGGCACCGGTAGCCCGGAAACTGGGGACAACCGCGACATGGGGAGTATGGTCTCAGTATTGTCCCATGGTATTAAACACCATTAGCTCATGTGTGACAAGTAACCAGAGAACGATACACCAAACCTGACTGGGTCATTAATTTCTGCAGATCCTTTCGGGAGAGGTTGGTCTATAGCTTCTTCAAACACTAAACGGAAAGATCACATACATCTGTTCCGGCCACTGCAGGAGCGCGAGATCCGAAGCCACGAGGGGTATAAAACAGGAAAGACACTCAAGTGCTAGGGAAAAGGCACAATCAATCATTTTCTCTCCTACAACCCGGACAAAGCAGCACAACACGTAAAAGAACTGTCAACGAGACTACTTTATCTCTCCACAACACTCCCTGACACTGTCGAAAAGCATGTCTCATGGCGTAAGTAAGATTCTATCCGCCCATGAAGCACACCAACTTACATTCACACTGCCTGATAGGATAGTAATCATCACGTCAGACGCCAACGGAGGGCCGCAGGACAACAACGTCGAGTTCACAACGGCCACTATTCGTCTACCCACGCTGGGACGAGCGATGCAAACGAGGCTCGTAGGCGTCATCATGCTCCTCAGACAAGCCAACTGGGTATCGCAGGAGATCGCCAGTCAGCAAATGCAACGGCCATGGCTGTAGATCCCGCATGTCTACCTCAGACCTTCTCCAGCCTGCATATCTCAACCAGCAGCATGCAAGGACAACAAGCCAGCTACCCAGGAATCACGACACAGTATCAGTATACCGCAGCGAATCAGAACTTCGAACAACCTTCTGTGGTTGCTGCTCATGCGTATAATCGAGTTTCTACAGATGCTGAAGAATATGCTGCGAATGGAGACTCGCTTGCATCAGTCAACTACAACTGGCAGGAAACCGAATACCCTAGATATGATGAGCAAAACCAAGGATACGGGGATCAAGTACACCACCCTATCAGTGTGTGGGCCAACACTCCGAGAGAGAACGAAGCGTGGACACCGGAGGGAGTCTGGCAAGTACCGCAAGTCATGGTGCAGGCAGCTACTCGAAGACAGGTCAATGACGGCGGTGACGCGTGGAGCGACACTAGTACGAATGGTGACATCACACCGAATGGACACTGTATATGAAAATAATACGGACATGGAGTTCTGGTAAGGATTCTAGAAACTGGTTTGTGTGCAGACTGCGGAAAGACAGGACTCACAAGAGGATACGGAGTAACGAGCATCAATTCACTCGTCCACTTCTATAACCTGTCCATGCTCAGGGGTTGACATTACCATGGCTCCGAGGATACGCATTGAACTGGAAAAATAAACAAATGAACCGACCTAGATTGTGCTCAAGAAATTTGAACGTACACCAGCATCAATAAAGGTGATTCCGACAGTCCAAAACTTATTATTAGAGAGTAACAAGCGCTTGCAATGGCTCCCTAACAACCTCATCCGGCGTCTTCCTTGGCAACTCTAACCTCTCATTCATCATCTCCCCCTCCATCTGCAGATGGCTCCCAATTCTCCCCGTCACAAACCCCGTTTCGATGAGCGTATACATTTCCCCCTAATTCCCATCCGTCACCTCCCAGAGCTTCTCCTCGATGTAATTCTGACTATGAATTCTCACCACTCGATACTCCACCCTCTGGATCCTCTCAATAGCACCCAACAACTCCTTCTGCGAAACCGCGAAGTCACTCAGATATAAATTCCGATTCCTCGTCTCTTCGTGTCTCAACAACGCCCTCACCCACCCTAACGCGGTGTTTTTCTGTCGTGCACAAGAATTTGCCCACCCGTCATCCCACAACACGGACCTTCGGGAAGTAACATGCATACCGAGGAATGAGTGCGTCATGCTCCATTTCAACCACATCCGCAACACACGCTCGTTCACTCGATCATGCCTTCCTCTGCCTTAGACTGCAGATAAGCCTGCACGCAACCCCTGTTACGGAACACTGTGTTCAGCGCCTGCGCGTCGGGCCGGGCGTTGTTGAGGTCATACTCGCTAGGGACGTAGCGACTTACGCTCACGGCGATGAGAGCGTCTACTATACGGAATTGGACAGATACTGAGAAGGAGGTCATGCGGTTGACGATTACATCTTGACTCTTAAAGGCGAGGATGAGAGCTTCGGTGGGGTAGGTGTCTGGCACAGTGATGATTTTGAGGTGGGACGGGGCAGCCTGGAATCGGAAGAGGTGCGTTGGAGGAGGGTAAGGTTAAAGGTAGACTGTTTCCAGGGTGGAGAGCACGCCGCCGCCGATAGAGTCTGTGGCGCCGATGAGAAGGATGTACTTGAAAGATGACATATTTTTAATGGATTTAGCTGTCGGGTTGTTGCATAATTTTCTGCAATATCGTTTTGCTCGATAGATGAGATGCTTCTTTAGCCAAGGTGTGGACAACGTTGATACAGTACACCCAAGCTCGGGAGGAGAGGGACGGAGCCGTCTCTAAATAGCTGTTCTGTTCAGTGAGAGACTGTCGCTCTATTCCAACCATCGATTGTCTCAACAGGCAAATATTAGAACCATAATCAACTGGAAGAAATGATTATTCAGTGCTAAAGTGGCCACACAAGTATGGCACAACAGCAATCCCGACGTTTGAATTGAATGGGTACTAATATCTTGACGAGCCGAAAAGATTGTTTACGGAACCGGCGCCGAGCAGCACACTGTAGTCGCACTACATCTGCAACGGTCATAGTCTGTTGCTTACTTGAAATTGAAGTCGGACAGATGACATTTTACTTTGAACTCTAGTCTCGACATTGCGGACGGTTATATCAGAGATAAAATGCAGTATCATTCAAACAATGACTGTGTAACTCTGATCATGGTTATCCGTGGTCATCTCAACCTAGCGTCTTCCAGTCTCCGTGTCATTTGACTGGAGCCTGCCAAACTTTGCCATCATGGAATGTTCTCAAAATGTCGATTTGATACCTACCTGATGACTGGCAACGGACTTCTCTTTAGCACACTCGTCCTTCACTCTGTACTTGGAATACCCGTGACAGTAATGTAGGAATACAATCGGTCACTTACGACGTCCTTTCTCGGGGCAATTTGAATATCCTCCAAGAGCTCGCTGGTTTTGCTGGCGAAGGTAGCCTCCCCCTTGTATTGGAATATGCAGCTCCTTGGGGGAGGAGGGAGATGCGGGTATTAGGTAGATCATCCTGGAGCCAATTGCACTCGATTAATAGGCAGTAACTCAGCGACGAGGACCTTACGAAGTCCAACCAACGTAATATAGCAGAAAAAAAACGCTAGTTGCAACAGTGACTTAAGATGCCTCTCCGTACGTGAAACCGGCTTTTGTCGTACTGACCTTATGGCCCAGAATCTTGCTCGACCAGGATGAAAGGCTTATTCCAGCAACATCGGACTCGTGGTCCACTGGCCGGAATCATTTATCACTATAAGTGGTTTATGAGAATATGGCTGATACCACCATTTTAATAGTTAGCAGGCCGTCTCCTAGTACCGTAGACACCTTAAAACGCTTTTCATGTCGGGGAATTTGGTGTAGAAAACGTCAGAGTATTGTATGGGAACATCTCTGCATAACTCCAGAGTACCCCGCCGCAGCTAATTTTCCCGCTACTAACTTACGTCTATAAATCTGTAAAGAAGAACCAAATTAAACTCTGATATATGGTTTCATAGGTTCGGTACATCCTATTCTAGGACCATAAGTATGATATTCGGGAGGCCCTAGATAGCAGAAACTCAAGATACTTACTATATTTCTAGAAATATCAGAAACCCTTGAAGTAGGCCGAACGTACAAGGCGAGTTTCTAATACACATTAAGTACATACAGTGATTACCTGACTAGTCGGGTACAGAAAGCTTCAACCCCACGATTATTTCTATCCTGGTGCTAATCTTACCGTTCAACCCGAACGTCTGATTGACCCACGAGGATGTTTGTCCATCTTGGCTCCGCCTAACTCTGGTTCAAAAGACTGATCCTTAAGTATTTCTCACGGTCAAGTCAGTCCCCTGGTAGAAAGTTTTGACAAAGCTACATAGAGCCCTTCATCTCATAATTATGCCAGTATTTTCCTAATCACTGCGCAGCCCGCAGATTCAAGCCCTCGTTGTTAGCCGGGAGTTCCACCTGTGGTTGCACCCAAAACTCCGACCTACGCACCCAGATCCGGCCAGCTCTGCCACAGGAGGCAGTCCAGCAGCTTCTTTGTCATACTTTTTCTATAATTCAAATATGTTACTTTTGTCTTGTCCATTCGTCGCCCATGGTGCTCTGTGGCGTCGACCGTATATCCACAAGAAAATTCCAGCAAGGCCCGGGGCTATGACACCAAAACTGATCCCCACCCCAAGGCCGACCTTTGTACTGAGGCTCAGTCCAGAGGAGCTGACGCTGGTCTGCACTGGTGATGTGGTGGGCGGAAGCTGGGTTGAGGTTGCCGCGCCGACTCTGATACTTGTCTTGGAGGGCTCGGATGTGGTCACAACCGAGCCCTGTCCTGATGATGTCGACATAGCTCCTGATGTTGGGACTGGAGTTTCTGTAATAGACGGGGATGAATCGCTTGTAGTCAATATGGATTTAGCAGAGGAAATAATCGAAGCTGTTGCCTTAGTGGCCCACTCCAAAAATTCGTCCACCGAGACAGCAAGCGCATCCCCAGTGCCAGCACAGTTGGTTTGCAGTGTGCTCCAAACCGATCTAAGGTCTTCTGGACTCTTCTTCGCTATACAATGTGCCGAGTTGTAAACGAAATCGCCTTCATTGACTCATAAACACGAGTTCAGCTCGTGCCCCGCGTCGCTGGTGCAGCCACTGTTAGCGGCAGCCTTGTAGAGACAACTCTGCGAGCCGCTGGGATAAGCGTCGAAGCTGGGTTCTAGCGCCATAACTGGTACGATAAGGAGGATCCAAGACACTAGTAAAGCCATGAATACAGTGCAATTTGTAAATTGCAAGGGTAAACACTACGTAGCTTCCGTCCAACAGCATGGCAGATAACGTCCACATCTGCCTCGATAATCTCGCGGTTGCGGGTAGGCTCATCTGTCCAAGTCCCGGAAGCAGTCAAGCAAAGTTCACCGCCTTCCAAGAGCTGTCCAAAACCTGGTCACAGAGAGAGCGAAAACCCTGGACATCCCCGGGACAAGTGTATATCTGGTGGTGCCCAGGACACGTAGGCATCCCCGGAAACGAAGAGGCAGATGTCCAGGCCAAAGCGGCCTGTGAGCAACCACCCAAGACACAACACCCGGCCTCATTCGCACATATAAAGAGAATCGCGAGATCCTACACTTGGAAGAGTTTCAACGATCGATGGGCCACTACCTGCCCTCAACAGTATCGAGATCTAGGGATCGCTATCCACCCGCGACCCCCCGAACTTGGCCTGCCCCGGCAACACCTAGGCAGATTACTCGCAGCGAGGTCGCACCACGGGGATTCCGTGACCTACCACGAGAGACTCCAGCGTTGCGACGCACTGCTCAACTGCGGGTGTGGAAAGACAAAGACACCAGTCCACTTCTACTTTTGCAAGCGCGGCCGCAAGGCCACGCCCGGTCATCTAAAAGCGCATATGGCCAAGAATAGTATAGATTCCCTCCTAGGCACAGCCAAGGGAGCTCGTTTGTTTTGCCAATGGGCGGAGGAGACCAATTTCTTTACTGAGATCTGCCCATCGCACTGAACAGGAATGTTAGATGAAGACAGTCCCCTGTAACATAGATTCGACTAGCATAGACCATGCCGGCACTGCGCCCGGCACGTCTCACGTGATGAGACGTTAAACTTTCAATCAATCAATCAATCAATCAACCAAGAAGGATAAGAAGGAATGGATATGTTGGATATGTTGGTTGTCCAACATATCCAAGTGGGGATCAGTGAAGGAGAGATGGGTATATAAGGGACAGGACTCCCAGGCATTTCATAGATAGACAGTCTCTGTCACGACCTGGGTTGCATCGCATTGGTAGAAACCTCGATTAGGTGCTATCGACGAAGATTCTACTCTAAGGAGCGAAGGAAAGAAGATCACAAACTTAGGTTTGAGGGAGCGCGACTAAGTCGTCCACGCTTGGCGGGGCTCCTGCAGGGGTTATGATTGGCTTCCCATCTGGCACTGCCATGGCAGGTGTTCCAGCTGTAAGTCACCTGGTTGTAGTGAGTCTGCGAGGGTTGACCTTCACAGTCTCTACTTCAGTGATCAATCTAAGCATCAATCTAGCCCATTGGTGAGGCAAACTGCCTTGACGACTCTATTCCCAGTTACCCTACTTGAATACTTCAGTTACCCAGAGCCCTATACTCCATACGTCAAACCCCGATATTATTGCTTGAGGACTCCGCAGCAGGGCTTACTTACTAGCACAAACCCTTACAGACTCTTTAGTGGTTTACGCAGCTAGACTATTAGAGGTTTCGTTACATCCTAGAACAAGACCATTTGATGCTCTACCTTCTAGAATACCTGTCTTATCCATATTATATCGATTCGAGGCCTTAATAGCTTTAATCTCAGGGATAGCGAGGTATCTGAACTATTGCCTAATCACTGTAACGGATGCAGTACAATGTAACGAGCCTGTTGTACTACCCTGATATATCTATCATACTATGCAGAGGGAAGGAGGAAGGAGGAAGGGAAGGAATGGCGGTGAGGTAGGGTAGCGCTGATTGTATGCTCTTAGGTAGTGGGGCGTTTGATCTGTGCTCCCCAGAGCCAGATTCCTGCGCACAGGCCAAGCCTGTCACAATCACATTAGCTGAGGCTCTATTAATACGCTGGGAATCGATAGCTCTGCTTCTCTGGACCTTGACTGAAGGGTTCCTCTTGATAAAAGCCTGGACCCAGTTCTTTCCAAGTGGTTCGGTGTCTCCGTGAATCTGTAGGATACGCTCGGCGAAGTCTTTGAGCTGTTGATAGGTTGGTGGGAGGCCTAGGGCAGCCTGGATTCGAACCTATTCAGCCAGATAGGATTCCTGGGCTGGAGAGAGCCTCTGGTAGTCAGAAAAGGCTATATCTCTTGACTGGGCTCCCTGAATCCGTCGTGAAAGAGTAGACCTTGGGACACCATGCTCATATGCTGCTTTTCGGAGGCTTTGACCGGTAGCTATTGCTTGAAGAGCTCGATAAATATCATCTTCGGTATATTGACTCATATTAGTGTATAGAAGACGTACGTAAAATTTCGTAACGATTGAATCGATATTGGTAAAGAAAAAAGAGGTTGAAGTTAGAGGCTAGCGGTGTTGATAAGGTATTTTTGGGTGTCCCACATGTGAGGGTGTCCTGGATGTGGGTGTGGAACGTTATAGTATAAAACACGACCAAATGGCTGGAAAATCCCAGTCCCTTGCTCTGTTACCATTTGTACCATTTCTATTCCCGTGACTTCCTCGATTCTGGTTTCTGTCACAACTCACAGCGGCCTCATTGGCCCTTTTTACTTATGGGCGAACCTCGATGGCAGCCCGTATAGCTTCTGGAGATTGGTTACTGACTGGGACACCCGAAGTGTCTGCCCATTGGTTATGGGACGTGCCATTGGTACCATTACCCTAAGTTTGACTGCCTTGATCATTGCTCGACATGGTCATTGGATGAAGCAGGATGTACCCAGACTGACCAGTTAATCAGGTGTTTCCGAGCCTGAGGTGGATGCAGGTGTGATTGAACGAATTCGACAATACATGAGCCAACTTGTCAGGAGCTCAGGATAAGAAATTTTCTAGGATGGAGAGATACGGCTCACAATCCATAATGACGAGTATGTAGATGAGCAAGCTCATAGAGAAACAAAGAAATGGTTAAACGAGAGTTCAACGGTCATTATGTTGGTGTTGTTGGTGTTGGTGTTGGACCAGAGGCATCTCCCAACACCATCAACCTAACTATCCCGAGAATATGTATCCAGAATTTACGAGAAGTTGATTTGCTGTCATATATCACGGTCCTGCTTGCGTACAGAAGTCCCCTTGTTCTTCAGTTGACATATTTTATCTCAATCAACAAGCATCACCGGAAGCAGCTTGGATGCATTGGAAGCTCATCGGCCACTCAAGTATCATAGATACAGCCTGGATTATTCGCATTGGTCGAGCGCCTGCTAGAAGGTCGGCTAGCCAATACTTAACAAGCATGGCCGGAAGCAGCTTAGGTAGTGGTTGCACACTTGTGGTCATGATTGAAACTTGAAAACCCTGGCGAACTCCAAGTAGTCAATATCATACGTGCTGGTCATCTTTCAACTTTTTGATTTTCCAATACTTATCAGTGTAGGGTTCTGTGAGGAGAGTTCCAGCCAGAAAATAAGCTAGCGCTCGCATACTTACTTTACTTCACGGCATGTGGGGCTCACAGTGTGTGAAACAAGCTGGCTGGATTGCAAAGACAGCTGAGGCTAAATGGTTTGTTGGACGGGACAAGAATCTATCCCCATTGACGGCGAGAAATTGAAGGCCAAGGTCGAGCACAATCAGGCGGCTCGGTAGGACGCCGTTGGGACTCGGAGAACAAAAGCGAGCAAGCCGTCCCTAAGTGTAGGACGTACGCTGTCCCTCAGATCATGGAAGAGGTTGTTCCTCGATCAGACACTCCACTTTCCCAGGCTGTCACTTTCCGAGCGAAATGACACACCATAGCACTAACCTAGTGAAATACCCGTACAAGCATGTAGCATCGAGCTTTACGTAAAGGGGGAGGGGGGAGGGGGAGGGGTGAAATTGAAAGCTGCTTTCGTGCGCTTTCGGCGGAGATGGTTCTCGCCCAAACGATCAGCATTGGGGGCTGTAGTTACCGTGACCCCACCTCTCGGGATATTAGATGCAGAGATGCAACTCTGTAGGGCATGATATACACCAGAGGCTCGTGACAGCTCATATGGGTAGACTTCATATATAGACACCCTCGCAAACGTTCAGAATTTGAGGCAGAAGGCTTTCTGGAAATCTCTTGTGACTTTGTGCTACTTTCTCCGAGCCACTGGAAAGTTGGAAATGGCCCACGTGCGCTGAAACATCGTTGAGAAGAATCGAAACAATTGACTTGAGTTTGGTAGCACACAGTGCCATTGTGGCTGCGATGGATACTAGCCACAGCTGTTCAGAAGCTTGGCCATTCAGGCTTCAGCAAAAGGCAAAAGTGTCACAAGTCTCCTTCCGTGAGCCCAAGTCGACTGACGCTAATTATGTCGATTACTTCTTCCAATCCCCATATACTGCATGCTTAGGATCTTACCTCGGACGTCTGCAGTGGGCACACGTTTTCACCATAGCACCGTCGAACTTTCCCGCGAATCCCTCCTCTTTCCGCGACACATTTCCTGCGCACCAAGCTTCCCACCACAACCACCAAACCCCCACGAGCTTGAAGGATAGAGGGGGGAGTTCAGCTGCTGCCATTCCTGAGGAGGCCTACGAACTCGTCGACTACAGCAACATCAAACAGTGTGCTGAGAAAGACGCCAGAGAGATCCGAAGACGAGAGAAACGCGACGAAAAGAGGCGCCGGCTTGACGAACGCGACGAAATGAAGTTCTCGCACAGCATCCAATTCAATGCTGTTCCGGACTGGAGCAGCCACTACATCGCTTACAGCAACCTTAAAAAGCTTATCTACACGTTGGAGAAGACAGTACACCAGCCAGGCACCTCAGATGTCGAGACGCGACCACTGCTTCGAGGCGAAGACCCCGACGCCATCTTCAGCCGTGCCCTCGACGTCGAGCTCGAGAAGATCACCTCCTTCTACCAGATCAAGGAGAAGGAACTGCTAGACGAGGTGGAAGGCCTGCTTCGTGACGTGGGATCGTTTGACGAGCGCGGAGACAACGGTTTCGACGCCCAGCCAAGGTCCAATATCCAGCCCACCTCTGATAACCTGAGACGGATTACCAGCAGCCGGAGTGCCACTAGCGCCCGATCGACCGAAGACGGCATCGAGGACAGCGACAGTGGCGATGACGACGAGACAGCCGCCCTGACGAAGAAGCGCCGGCCAAGTCTCCTCGGCCCTGGAAGGCGGAAGACAACTGGTAACGCCTTGCTGGGCTCCTCCGACATGGCTGCTTCGACCGAGTTCACCAAATCCCTACGAAGAGGCAGCACCGTGGGCTACGAAGACTTTGCCGACATTGGCCAGATGTTTTCGTCCGGAATCATGATCAAGAAGCGTATCATCAGCCTCTATGTGCAGCTTTGCGAGCTCAAGTCGTATGTGCAATTGAACAAGACTGGCTTCCGAAAGGTCCTGAAGAAGTTCGACAAAATCATCGACAGGGAACTACGAACCAAATACATGTCCGCCGCTGTTGAACCGGCGTATCCCTTCCGCCCTGACACCATGGACAGCATCGAGGACCACATCTCCAAGATGGAACTAGCGTATGCTGAGATTGTCACCCAGGGTGATCAGGAAATGGCCAAGAAAGACTTACGATCGCATCTGCGAGAACACGTTGTTTGGGAAAGGAACACGGTTTGGCGAGACTTGATTGGTCTCGAGCGGCGTGCCGAAGCCGCAAGCCTCGCAAGGGGTTTGCTAGGGACAACGAATGACGGCATGAAGACGAGGTTGCAAGGTAACGATATTCCTCCACCTCCCATGAAGGAGTTCTTCACGCCCATTGGACGCTTTACCTGTCCAACCTGGGTGCTGGGCAAGCCAATGGTCACGTTACTTGTCATCGTCGTCATCTTCGTCGTTCTGCTGATTGTCCCTGTTATGGAAGCCCCTGAACAGCAAAATTGCCTAGCCGAACTTGTCTTTGTCAGTTTGCTCTGGGCGACAGAGGTAGGCTTACCAATTTTTCCTGAACCCAACTTACAAGTATCTAAATGTGGTCCAGGCAATTCCCCTTTTCGTGACTTCACTTCTGATCCCATTCCTCTCGGTCCTCCTCAATGTTGTGCGATCCGATTCCCCACCTCATGAGCGACTGGGTTCAAAAGCGGCCACGGCTTACGTCTTTGCTTCCATGTGGACACCCGTCATCATGCTGCTGCTCGGCGGGTTCACCATTGCCGCTGCTCTGTCCAAATCCAGCATCGACAAGCGCGTTGCCACGTTTGTCCTTAGCAAGGCAGGAACCCGCCCGCGAACAGTCTTGATTGCCAACATGCTTGTGGCGGCGTTTGCCAGTATGCTCGTTAGCAATGTGGCCGCGCCAGTACTGTGCTTTTCCATCATCGAGGTAAGTATTCTCACACTTGAGCAACAGCACGTGCTGCGCTAACATACCACAGCCAATGTTGCGGAACCTTCCCTCTGACTCCAACATGTCCAAGGCCGTCATAATGGGCATTGCCCTGGCCTCTAACATCGGTGGAATGCTGTCGCCTATCGCCTCGCCCCAGAATGTCGTCGCCGTGGGCATCATGGAGCCGGCACCGACTTGGCTTCAGTGGTTCTTTATCGTGATCCCGGTCGGCCTCGTGTCCATCGTGCTGATTTGGCTCTTGCTACTCACCACTTTCCAACCCGGTAAGGGGACCACCATTGTCCCCATCCGCGCCGTCAAAGAGCCCTTCACAGCGGGGCAATGGTTCGTCTCGATTATCTGTCTTACCACTATTGGTCTTTGGTGCGCGTCCCACCAGCTGGAGTCCACTTTTGGCGACATGGGTGTCATTGCCATCCTTCCCATGGTCATCTTTTTCGGCACCGGCATCTTGACTAAGGAGGATTTCAATAACTTTCCATGGACCATTATTATCCTTGCTGCCGGCGGACTGTCGCTTGGCAAATCGGTCAATTCATCGGGCCTCCTGCACACCGTTGCCGAGGGCATCTCCAGAGAGGTCAACGGAATGGACTTGTACAGCGTGCTGCTGATCTTCAGTTCCTTGACACTGATGATTGCAACCTTTATAAGCCACACGGTCGCGGCGCTCATCATCCTGCCACTAGTGAGCGACATTGGCAAGTCGATGGAAGAGCCGCACCCGAACCTGTTGATCATGGGTGCGACGTTGATGTGTTCAGCTGCGATGGCCTTGCCGACTTCTGGCTTCCCGAACATGAGTAAGTGACCGTTCTTCGAAATCAATTGACGCTATACTGACAGTTTTTATCCAGCCGCCATTATGAAGGAAGATGCCACGGGCCAGCGCTATCTCCAAGTGAAGCATTTCATCAGTCGAGGTGTACCCAGTAGTTTGATCACGCTGGCGGTTGTGGTCACTCTGGGCTATGGCGCCATGCGGATTATTGGCTTATAGATGAGTATATACAACAAGGAAATTTATGTACACTCGAGCCCAGTTTATAGATTTGTTTTCATGATATTGATTGGGTGGCTGTCTAGATTTGAGTCATATAGGTTGGAATAGCGGTTACGGCTGCGTTTTGTTGAGGCTGCGTTCCATAGCCATCTAGAATGAGATAGTAACAGGGAAGCAGTCCTCCGCATGTGGCGTTAGTAGTTTCTATATCACATGCCATGTCACCGAAGTGTTGTATCATCTTGTGTATGATCCGGCAACTGCGAGCTTAGTTGAACTGTAAGTGGAGGCCCGAAACATCAAATGGATCATCACTGTGGAAGTGACGGCCCGAGGGGTCATGGAGAGGTATACTTGAGGTACTTTCGGGCTTGGGCGGCTTGGCCACCTCCCCTCCGGCCCCCAACTACCTGTATTTCCCCCTTTCACCTTCGTATGTAGCCAGAATGCCAGTACCTGCGCAATCCTAAAGCTATTGACTACTTACAACTAATCTAGTTTCGCTTCTGAATCTCTTTTGGGATGCGGGGCGGACTTTCCGAAACGGTGACCGCACCCATGCGGTGTAATCGAGGTTGACGCTTTCCTGGCATACGCAAATCCGGCCCATTCACCTGCCTCTAACCTAAGACCATAGTTTCTAAGTATTCAGAAACCACCGACAGATATCAAGCACTTCCAATAGGGCAAAGAAGAAGCATGGCAGATTGTCCTGATGCTGCCGAGCGCGAGGAACAAAGCCGAAGCCTGGTCCCAGCCCCTTCCTGGTTCAGCCTTTTCTTCACGAAAGGCATTAATATCAACATCCACTTTCATGAATTTCCATCCATTCTTTTCTTAGCCACCGATGTCATCATCCTTACCCCCAGCGGCAGCACCTCTCTTCCCGCGCTCCCTGCGCACTCCTCATCCCCATAATCCACAAATTCATTCGTCCATCTTGCAAGGTACTTGTGAAAGCTCCTCGCATTGACAAACCGCATGACCTCGTCCTTGGCCTCTTGGCCTGTCTTCTCGTCCTCCTCCAGCATCTTCAGCAGTGCGTTCCGAACACGCGGAAGAACCATATCGTTGACGAACCCGCAGACACCGACGGCTTTGCACAGTTCCGTGCCGGAGAGGGAGGTAGAATCCGTATTCGACACAAGGAGGATATCGCCAACTCCTTCGTTCCATTCTGCGGGAATGGTGCCCCAAGTAGGAGATGACGGGTCGAGATCCAGCATTAGAGAGGCGGCGTAGTGATTCTTCTCATCCTTGGTGTCGTTGTCGCCGTGCTTTCGAATCCGCAGCGGAATTCCCAAAAGGCTCGAAACAAGGGATGCCGCTCCCCCACCGTTACGAATCGGGTGCTCCGCCACGATACTCACAGGGCACACAGCGTGTCCTTCCTGCAACAATCCCTTCGTGCCATGGACGCGGACAGCGGCAATGCTCTCTTCCACCGATATCAATCTCCGCCGGGGCGCTTCCAAGATACGCGGTTCTTCGCCCTGGATCCGTAAATACGCTTTCAGCGAGGTGAGGGAGGGGGCGAGGGATGATCCGGCCCAGGAAAAGTCAGTGTCGTGGATAGAGTCGATCGCGTGGCGCAGGTCTGAGAGAGTGATGTCAACTGCGGAGCCGTTCGGGTCGTAGGCGGCAAGGAGCGAGGGGCCCGGGTACCATCTCAGGGGACGGTGCGGGCCGGAGGGGTGGGATTGAAAAGTTGTTAGAAAGCTTTGGCATTTCTTGGTGCGAGAGGTGGTTGTGTTCTTGCTCTTGCCATCACTTTGGCCACTACTGCGGTGGGATTCGAATAGCCTCTTCGGGGACAAGGCGGACATGGATAACAAAGAAGAGTTGCAGTGAAAGACAACCAGTGTTCGTTGCAACGGCTTCGCCAACCGCGCATTCCAGATGAAGAACTTGGTTCCGGAAACCTCCTTCCCGTCCAGCTCGAGCAGTTTGTTGAGCTTGGAGTTCCAGTTCTGCACAATCGAGGCATAGTTGCCGTCTGTCCACCGCGTCGGGATTGAGGTCCGCGGCGCCCAGACTAGGGCTGGTTTGTCTTGCTCGGGCGAGAAGAGGATGGCGAGTTGGTATTTTGCTGAGGGACGGGGCAACTGCTTGGGGAAGGCGCTGCAGAGGAGTTTGTGCGAGGGCCAGTCCGACAGTTGGCAGGCACGAGAGCAGTACGAGGTTGACTTGCAGCGCGCGCAGAGGTTGGCTGTTGGGTTGAGGCAGATTAGACAGCTTGAGGGGAACGTCATTTTGCGGGTTGGAAAGGGCTTGTGATGTGTGATTACTAATGACGGGCGGTCAGTACGTTGAAGTTGCAGATGAAGTAAAGACGGGTATAGGAACCAACTTGAAGATCTCTTCAGCCGTGAATGTCGACACCTCAAGTGTGACTGTGCCCTGGCTAGAGGAAGGGATGAAGAAGATGTTTAGAGATGTTCGACATCAGCTGTTCAAGTTGATATAACGTGCGAGGAAGACTGGAAGAACAGAATGCGTTGGTGCAGAAATTTGGGACTTATCAGAATGTCGTAATTGGAGGCTGACTTGATGAAGCATCCATCGCCTTCCGGAATCTAAATAGGCAACCGCGACAACATCACAGTTCATGCAAAGATAGGTGGGATGCTTTGGGCATGAAAGCGGCAGAATATGGGGATTTCTAAGCAATCACCAAGGACAAAGGTAATTGCGAGGTTGTCTTAGAAATAACAGATGAGTTAGTATGCCCCGAAACAATGCCGAGAGACACGCTTGTGATATATCACGACGATGAAGAGATGTGATCCAAGTTAGACATATTCTCCCTGATCAACCCAGTTGGCAACTCAAGCTGTCACGTAGGGCACAACCAATCACAAAGGTTAGAGGATCATTTCACACATGGCAAGTCAAGATACCCAGATATTTCACTAGAGTACACTTACATTATCCAGTAGTATCAACTAGTTATTCACCCCCCACAGGTTACGAGGTAGATCTGAATCGCATCATGGGCGAAGCTAGGCGAGTTACTATTATTCAAGGAATGTCCTATCTTCCTTTTCTCCTGGCCAACTGGTGCAAAAGGGAAGGTGACGTGGCCAACAACCCAAACTGGACAACAGGCTGGGATAGTAGTGCAAATCAAATCAAAATTCCAGCATAAAAATATAGAAGAATAAAACGAGGAGCCCTCCATCAGCATTTGATCAATATTTGAGGTTGCGGTACGACTACAATTAAGCCTCTGGGACTAGAAATAGTAACTGCCTTAGTCACACCCCGAGACCGAGCCAAATGTACGAATCGGGTCAAGATCCTTGTTGCCCAAATTTCAGACAGGAAATGCGCTTTATGACGGCTTGAACAAAGCTACAATTTGGGACGTGCCACCCTAAAAGAAGGATTGAACTTTTGTGTGTCTCTCTAACAAGGTTTTTTCAGGGTTTGGTGGTCTTTGCAATCCCTCAAACTCCAAAGTGAGACCCTTGAGCTAGCATCACTGTGGCTGTGGACATGACTAACTCCCTCCCCTGTCCTTAACCGCTGCCCACATCCTCACCAGCACCTTCACCAAAATTTGCTTCCAGGATATGCTACCAACATCCCGACAGTCAATCTCTGATCATCAGACCAGCCCAGTCTTCTCTCTCAGTCTGCTGATATCTATTTGACTATGTTCATGACTGCATACTAGATCAGGCGATCAGGCGCCTTGAGATGATTCTCATCTAGGTGGCTAGTCCCGTTCATACAGATGGGACATACTCTAGTTCTTGGTTGCTCTATTCAAGTGACGTAGTGCTTGAGGTTAGACGAAATACTCGGCCAAAGCAAAACAAAGAACTAAGGAGCCCTGTGTATCTTGCCGCGTATCATGACCACACTTATTAGTGGTTTATTATTCTGCTGACGCTATTACTCGTCAAATCCCGAATGCGCTTTATCAAAAAAAAATATTAAATACGCCGTAGGTGTTAACCCTCGGTACCTCTACAAGTACTCCCTTAAGGGGCTATAGATGATATAGCGGGCCCTTAAGCCGCGTCGGGCGGTTATACAGGTAAACTTGTAGCCAAATGACTACTAAACCTCCTGTCCCTCCCTAAGTCTGTGCTACAACCCCTGCCTGAACTACCGATAAGTGTGGTAATGTGGCACTTAAATTCGTCCTCAGGGGTGGGATGCTGCTGATGTGCAGAAGATGCTCGACTATTTTTTTGTCGCGACAAGTCGTAGTATCTGCTAATTGGGGTTCTCGTCGAGCGTATACATCTCAACCATACGCTCAAGTGGATAGACCGTAACGTGGTCAGACGCTCGCAAGAATCGCGGCGAGAGGGCGTGCTGCGCGCCTTCTATCGTGAGGGGACGGGTTCGCCGACGAGCGTTATCGGAAAGGCGAGGTCCGATAAGGGGTCGGATTAACGATTCGAATTCTGGACCGGCTGTCGAGTTATATTCCGCCGACGTAGTGCTTGACGGTCGACTGGCTAGGATGCTCGTAATCCTAAACTGCACCAATCTCCCTATTATCGCTAGGTAGGCGAAGTCAACAAGGTGGGCAGCGCGCCGTAAGGGTTGACTAAACCCCCTTGTGTGTCAGCTGCGGGATTCGAACCCGCGACTCGTCACCGACCCAAGTGGGCGAGGCTCAAATCGGGACTTATCTACCAGCGAAGTGACCAACTACACCAGCCGACCAAGTGATAGAAAGCACCTGGAGCTGGGTATGTAGTGGAGAATGCGCTTTATCAAAGACAATGGCCAAAAATTGCAGCCTAAAAGCTGGGCAGGTCTTGGCTTGATTTTTCTAGAGACGTGTCCCAGGGACTTGGGATCACCTACGAGACTAAAGACACTGTTGTTACGGTCCAGACAATATTGCATCGGGTTCATATGATGAGCGACATTAAAAACAGAGCCTGCTGTCCAACGCATATATGTCACCAGCACCCAAAGCACCTATGTGACGTTGTTGGAGCTGTCAAAACAGGACTATTTGACTCTAAGTTCTTTGATCAATCGGGTGAGGAGTTGGGTCCGCCCGAGGATCCGCCCAAGGAAATAGCTGCTGAAGCTGCACAGCGGTGGCACTACACTCGTTCCTTTGCAAATGCAACATATTTTCTCGAAGCTGCCGATCACGAAAGTTTGATACGCAACTTCTAAGAAGATGAACATGAACAACCACAACCTGACCAGAAGTTCCTACGGAAGTTTTACATTACCATTGACACCAATGTTAATGATAATGAGAACACAACTGACTAGCCTATGACAGTCATTTCTTGCGTTGCCTGACCTTCAAATATTCTTCGAATCTTTGGAGTTGCAGTCCTCGAGGGTAAACGAGAATATATTGTTGATAATACGGTTACCAATCTGGTCGAGCAGAAAGCGCCTGGCTCAGTATTCCAAGCTGTTCAACAGCTCACAGTTATCAGCAATAAGCTGGGTGTTCGAGGTTACCAGATATTAATCCAGATTCATTCTTATAACTTGTCCTCCGGGCCTCGTCAATTCTCCACTACATACCCAGCTCCAGGTGCTTTCTATCACTTACCGATGAAGTTGCCCTGGAGCATAGACGTATAGTGCTATAGAGCAGACTATTCCGTAAGGTGCCTCACCATAGTCTATTACAGTACCTAATCTAGTAGACCCTATATACCCCAATACAACCCCAAATACTCAAGTAGGGCCTCGCTTATCTTTCATGAGTATGAACCCCAGCATAGTGATATTTCTTATCTCATAGCCGCCTTAACGTTTTACTAGCATTTTATTAGTTACTTAGTGTGGAATTCTTTTGCTGGCATGCTAGCTACATCGTCGGTTAGTTTATGCAAGTCCCAGAATAGCCTGCGGGGACGCCACGAAATACATGCACAACCTTCAACAAGTACACTAGGTACCTAAAGCTACCAAATTGCCTCATTTAATCTAATAATAATAGTTTCAAGTTATAATCTAGAAGCTGCGAGTTTAAGATATAGGTTAAGCTAAGTATAAAGATAGGAGTCCTTAACCCTACTAATGACTTAACAATTATAACTGGGCTTAATGCCCATAACGTAGTCCACGGTCCAATTGCATACTTTGGCAGACCTTATACGACAATGTATAAGTTAATTCAACCACAACGCCTATCATCAATTGAAACTACTCAGAATCGTTATCTTCAGACGTCTCTACATCATTTCCACAAGTGCGCGCATTATGTCCGGGCTCGCCGCAGATTCTACAGCGCCGTACACGGTTATTTTAATTTATATTTTAATCATAAACGCCTCGTACGACCACCAATTTGACGAAATTCGTCATGTAACTGCCCATCAACCTCTCGTTGAGACTGTAGGTCCTGTCCATCTCGTATACGAAGTGACCCTCCACTCTGTAGCTGTTTTTTCTTCGCACGGCGACGTCGACGTAAGGTCTCATTTGCCTTTCGAAGTGATTCGACCTCGCCTTCTAAAAGGGCAAGCCGATGCATAACCTTCGTTGTACCTCGCGCAATCTGATCTATTCCAGCAAAAATTGACGTTGGTGAGCTATTTTGATGTCGTACAATCCTATTTTTCACATAATCGGTTTGTGATTGGGCTTCGGTTGGGTTGTTCGGAGTCTTTGATTCCCAAGGGACGGGGAGACCAGCCGAGCTACCCGGAGGTGTTGGCGTATGTAATCTCACATCGAGCTGTGATATGACATAATCTGCATCGTACGGAACTATTCCTACCCCTCGGAAACCTCCTTGGATATTTCAAACCGTGAAAGTTGCGTTGTACGCGTTTAAAAACGCCGGTAAAAAGTCTTCTTTCGAGATATGACTTATATGTGCTCGCATGAGATCTTCGATTTCTTTTCCGTACGCTCTTTTTAATCCGCGAAAACAACCAACATCAAGAGGCTGGAGCTTATGCGACGAATGAGGAGGCATAAAAAGCATGACGATATTGTTAGCTTTGCAATATACCTCGAAATCGGTCGAGTGATGGCTGTCGTGACCGTCGAGGATCAATAGGCGATGAGTACCTTTCGTACGACACTTGGTGTGATGATCGAAGTTTTTATCCAATCTTCGCCTCTCTAGTTCGTATTACAGCCATTTTTAGTAACTGCGATAACCCAATCAGGCGGTAATGGGCTGTTTTCGTACCGTGACGAGAGGTGGGTTTTGCCCGCGAAAATGATGTACGGAGGGAGGGCATAACCGGACGACCCAACGCCTTGAATAACTGTAACCCATTCCCGATTTCCTTGCTGGGCTGCTCTAGGCCTTCCGCGCCGATCAGAAGTCGTCACGACCATTTCGGACGAGATTTGGCCCATCACAAAACCGGTCTCGTCGAGGTTGTAGATATCCTCCTCCTGGATCGCGTATTTCGCAATTGTATTCCGTACCAGGTCAAACCACGCGCGATACGCGTCGGGGTCTTCGCAGAGGACTCTCTGATAGTCGATCCTTCGATACGCAAGGGTTCTAAAAGGTACGTTATAGATCTGACCAGCGCGACGTACACTTAATTTTGGATCAGATTGAAGCGCATGTAATGCTAGAATCATATCACTTTCATTCCAAGAACCAACCATAGTTATGTGGTGAAAAACCGCAGGTCAAAGTGGTAGCGTACGAAAATCTGCCGAAGTGTGCAATTGGACCGTGGACTACGTTACATATATCTGTAAGACAAAAAACAGCGCCAGCCAAAGACCCCGTTGATCGAAGATTTAACTAGATCAGTCTTGTGTAATGAGAGTTGCAAGTGCTACTGTCAGTATCTTCGCTGAGGCATAGCCGTTTAACACGGGTGGTTAGGACCGAGCGCGTTTTAATGTGACTCCACAAATCGGTGCCAATACCCTTACCCATTCGAAAGCTACATGAGTTTGGGTACAAGGTCGATGACTGCCTCATCAATCCTTATACTCTTAACCCCCACTTCCCCTACTGTAGACTTGCTAGACTTCTTCAAATATCCATCATTAACGCTACGAGTTGTCAGACCTTATAACTACCAAAAATACCTCATTCTACAACGAGTGGGTCCCTCGTCTTTTGACGGTCAATTTGGTCCAACACGAGTCACGAGAGGTCATGATCAGGTTCGGGTCAGTTCCTAAATCAAAAGTCCAAGATGATTGAAAAATATGTACATGATAACCCCAGGAAACCCCAAACTCCTCGCTAATATGTCGATTAATTCAGGTACTCCAACCGCGAGCCTGCCAACCTTTTATCAATCCGAGTCGTCCACTCTAATAGCCTGTCTAGTTGTATCTCGGGCCATATCTATATTATATATTCAATGAAAACGCCTCTGTACCCTCTTTGCCGAGCCCGATGTGATCATGATCTAGCGTGATGCGAAATGCCACAAATCCATCCCAAGTACTCCTATACAGTAGCATAACCCACTAATCCGTGGTGAGTTTCGCATCTGCGGCTCCCAGCATTAACGGTGTGGTTTGAAGTCCCCTCTTGGTCCCAGTCATGGATACCAGGCCCCTTGTCCCCCCCGCTCCCCTTTCGGACCACAATCGTCCGCTCAACCTGAATACCGCCCGTCTCACACTCGAGTCCCAGCGTACCCACAACTTGCTCCTCGCGTGTGGAAGTGGCGACACCCAACTGCGTCTCGTCCAACTGCGTCTCGTCCTTCCCCGCGCTCTCGCTCGACGTGTTGCCCATCTCGATGTCATTGTTGAATGAATCAAGACTCGTTGGCCTTGAGGGGCGATTCTGACTTGGCGACAAAACCAACCCGATCTGGCGCGCGGGATTGCCGGACTCGAGCGCCACGCTGCCCTTGCGATACTGCTTCCGCCCCGCACCCGAGTTGGGCTGGTAACTCCCGTTGCTTGAGCCGATAGAGCGCAGGAAGGGGAACCACTCGCGCAGCAGCGGCCAGATCATGGGTAGGTTACTGACGTAGACGGCGACGGAGGCCTCGCGCGTATACCAGAGCATGTAGCTAGGGTCCCAGACATCGTTCAGGTTGAAGACCTTGGTGAGCAGAGCCACGACGATGACAAAACTACCGAGCGAGAAAATGAAGAGCAAGACGACCTTCTTGCGCCAGGGGATATTGACACGCAGCACGAGCGGGATGGGGATCCCTAGCATAAGCAGGTCAGAGCTAATGTTGAAGCACCCCGTGACGATGGCGTAGTACTGCAGCGTGGTGCACTGCGGGTCCGGTGGCGGCATGCCCCAGTAGCCCTCAAAGGGCCTGCAGGCGGTGAAGAAAGTGATTTCCGAGGCGAGCCAGCCGCAGGCGACATAGATGGCGAGGTAGTGCACGGCTTGGAGCTGGTTGAGGCCGAGGGTCAGTCGGGTGTACATGATGAGCATGCACGTCTTGATGGTGTAGATGAGGTTGAGCATGGCCTGCTCCGAGACGATGACAATCTTGGAGCCGTAGATGCGCTCGCGCACTTCTTCGGCGGTGAAGGTGCCGTCGAGTTCGGGAGGGTAAAGGTTCGAGCCACCGCCTTTGGCGATGGTGTTGAGGCAGACTATCAATGCTGTGAAGAGGCCCTGGATATTGTCCGTTAGATGCTAAGATATCCAACATGACTGAGTTGGGGAAGACCAACTCCTGCCAGCATCATGAGATAATCGTCGATTTGGTAGTGTGTCACGCCACTCAGACGCCTCGCCCGAGAGTACCTGCAACGCCGTTAGTGGGATGGGATTGGCGAGCCTGGTAGTTGGAGATGCACACAGCCTAAGCATAATAATGAACACGCCGACGCCGTAAAGTGACCAACTCGACGTACTGAGCTCATCCTGGAATCCGCGGTCGAAGTCGCCCATAATGGCGGCTTCTCAGCCAGCTCGGCCGGGGGTCCGGAATCAAAAAAGCGTCACGGCACCGAAGACGAATCGGAGAACCCGGACCGTCGCCTGCAAAACATTGGAACAAGAAAGAGATAATCAACGGAAACAAAAACAGCAACAGACAGGGCGATTGACGAGGGTATCCCAGGGACAGATATGCGCGAACCGAAGAAGCATGGTAATAAAATGGGAGATAAGACATGAAGGAGACAGAGAGCGGCTCCGTAGCGCCGCGATGTGCCAAATTCGACCATAAACCCTTCATGATGATGCAGAGGCAAGTTGACAGCGGGCGCCAGGACGAGCACCATGCTGAGCCACCAATATCGTGGCAGACGGGGATGGCCGATCGCATCAAGTGCGCGTCAATTTTCTGTACGCCCCGGTCTTGACAGGAGCAATAAATTCGTGTTCGACCTATCATGTGGATTGAAACACTTGTTCCGACGTCGAATCGGGGACGCGGTGAACAGAACACGCGCTCCACGCGAACGGGAGCAGACTGTCTGGTTAAGCGGTGAGGCGTGTCGCCCAGTTCTCATCCCTTGTCGAAATGAAAATGCCTGTCATATCTGTGCAGAGAGAGTACCTGTTTCATTGGATATTTATTATTTCGAGGCAATCACTGGTCGTTACGTGAAGGAGCGACGATTGCCGGTCAAGGTGGCAGGATTCTCACATTGTAATTTGTCAATTGGTGGTTTGGGGGAACGTCCAATTTTACCCTTTCTTCCCTTTTTGAGGAGCCCTCATTCCAATAAGATGGTGCATGTACCACCTAGACGGCATGGGGGTGGACTCGTTGAGAGTGGAGTCTATCTCCACGTTTGTATCTCTCTGTGACAGTCACGTCAATGTGCATTCCCTGGAGATAGGAGAGTTGCGTGATTGGAATACTTTTTGGGCTTGTAGTTATATTACCGCCAGATCTGTCTGACTGGCAGATATTGCGTGAAAGTCGTTGACAGAAAAGCTTGGGCTCACTATGAATGTTTCCCACAATCGGGTCGGGTCAGGTCAGCTGCAAGTCATCATCATGGCCTTGCGATCGGCCTGTCAGTAGTCGGCCCTTGTTTACCACACTGGTCGGTGGCCAAAGATCGATAGCGACAGGATCCGGCTAACCAGGAAGATGCAACATATAAACATACCCACAACTTCCGTCGGCAACTGAACTTGTGTAATCTAGCTTTGTGAAGCTGCACCTGTCATGTAGCACATGAAGAACATAACCTGTGGGCTTACAAGCGCTGCGCCATGTCATGAGTACCGCGCATGGCTGGATGGATGGTTCGGGGTTACTTGAACCCAGCGTGAGAAGACGTCAACTGCCAAAGTTTCGATGAGGGCGCCTACGGCTTTCCTGGTATCGGCGAATCAAGGGTACCAGTTGTACAGGCAACCGGGGCTATAATGTAGTATTGATGTTTTGCATACCTATCTTGAGGCGGCCGATACGTAAGTTCGGGAACAATACTAATTTGAACATGATGGTGGAGACGAGAAGATAAATTGCTTGGGGTTGTGGATCTCTCATCTGCCAACTTCAAGGTATGGATATGGATACTTGCAAGTACCCTCGGTTGATTGCAGAGACAGCAATCAAAAGCCTTTGGGCAAAGAAGCATATCAGGCACTTGCTCGTATATGTGTGCAGAACTTGACTCGCCATTGTCCCCATGAACTTGGAGTATATCACAGCAGTATGTTCTCCCATTGCTAGTAGTAAATTGAAAGGACCATGACCACCAAGGCAATTACATCCAATCAAGCAGAGTCAACCTTGAATCCTCCATGCATCCCTTCTCTTGATGTTGTGATCTCTATGCAGTCGAGTCTAGTACTACTCATGACAGATTCGCCGCACATAAAACTATGGTCATCGACAGGAAGACCAATAGAAACTAGGTCCGAGGTAATTCCGTTGTTGCCATAGTATGGTCCACCTGCAACGGATGGAGTATTAGTCAAACATTTGGAAGAGATGGGCTCGAGTAGAGATAGAACTAACCACTCCACTCACCACAGCACAGCAATCCTCCGTTGTAGGAAGACCTGTCCTAGATGATGTACTATGTGCAGCTTTTCCAGTCAATTATGCAAAGAAATCTGTGAGCTAGAAGACCAGAAAAAAACAATCATATCCATGTCAAGCTCTGCCCAGCCTCTTCCAACATCGGCTCGCGGGCATCGGCACATGAAGGCATTGTGCTGGTCATCGCCAGGCATTGGGTGTACTGGCCGCGCTTCTCCTTCATTCCGTGCCTATGAGAAATTGATTTGTGAGCTCATGGATTCATTTTCAAAGGATGGAAGCAGCAGAGAAGTTGCAACATCAGACAATAGATGGCGAGAGATTTACTAGGGCCAGTTGTCAGTTGCAAGCTCGCCCTGGTCGGTGACGGTCTGACAGTCGTCAAGATCAATGCTCATCTACCGGCCAGTGCTGACGCCGTTTTTGTTGCACTTTCAATACATCCAAGTCGGGGCCTGGAAATTCCAGTCCTCATCGCGGCCGTCGACGGAGGGAACGTCGCTGTCAGCCAGGGTGGACAACGCCATGAACGTGGGCAAAATGACGTCGGCGATTGCCATGAGGGCTCGATGATGAAGTTGGGTCACATTGTGCAGGTGTGTGGAATGCTTGTATGTTGATTTGTGTCGATTTGTGGTACACAAAATGTGCAAAAGGAGTAGGATATGGGAGATGCGAAGGTACGGCCAGGTGCCAGGTCAAAAGCCTACAAAGCCCCGCACCAATCCAGGAGTAGCCATCAGACCAAAACAAAACACAATATATATTTTTGGCCTTCGCATCAATCTACGGGGAGAGATGAATTTGCTCAGTAGGCGAGGCGTTGTCCGATCACTAATGGCTGACGGAAACAATGGAAGGTCAAAAAGAGTTGCGTCAGTAGCTGTCATCAAACGCATCAAGGCCGTTGAAATATTGGTCAGGCACAAGTTGATCGGCTATATGCTTATTATTTGGTTCCCCCTGTTGGAAATAGAGCACACGCTCCCTACACGCATTGGGCAAGTGCCTACGAGCAGTCAATGTCGCCTTCTGGCATTTGATCTTATCATGGAGGCAATATCAATAGTGTTATGAATGCTGGAGAACACTACCAGGGGAATGACAGGTGCTCTGCTGTGGAGCAGTGACAGCAGTGCTTGTATCTGAAGCTCTTCGTTTGATAAAATTGTTGCATGCTACATGATTTGTTGTAGCCTGACCCATTGCCTTAGTTGTCGCGAGTGATAACCCTGAAAAATATCGATTCACATGTCTTCCGACTTTCTATGTTCACATTGAGCTGTGAGCCGCATTTGCAGGTATAGCGTGAAGTCGTTCGGCAGTCTATATCATGGTCTTGGAGATCTCAATATTTCTCATATCAAGATCCAAAGATTACAGCGACGCAATGCTCCAGCTGTTTAAGTCTCTGTAGAGTGTGAACTCTTCCTGCCATTATCAGATACATTGGAGAGCATGACTCTAGGGCATACAATATGAGACCGGAGCCCAGGTAACATGGATAATCAGACGGCAAGCCACTGCTGGCTATTATAGCTTGTAAGGTATTACTACGATTCTAGGATCCCACCTGATTGTGTATCTTGTAGTCAAATATTTGCAATATTCCGATGGCGCAAGGATTCGATCCTTCCTGGATACTCTGGTTTCTCGATGGTATGCTTGTGAGGCCCAATTGTAGATTGGGGGTTGACACAACACTTGTCTACTAAATACAGTAGCCACGTAAGTCAGCATCCTGAAAGAACGCTTTTCTATGCGATTCCGTCTGCATGCTTCCGGCATTGTGAAAAGAAAAGGACGCTCCATGCTCCCTGTGTGACGACTTGAACCATCCCAGGACCCTATGACCCCCCTAATATGGAAGATCGAATCCATTAACGTCCCACACCCACATCCGGGACTCCCAAAAATGCCTCAACACCGCTAGCCTCTAACTTCAACCTCTTTTTTCTTTACCAATATCGATTCAATCGTTACGAAATTTTACGTACGTCTTCTTTACACTAATATGAGTCAATATACCGAAGATGATATTTATCGAGCTCTTCAAGCAATAGCTACCGGTCAAAGCCTCCGAAAAGCAGCATATGAGCATGGTGTCCCAAGGTCTACTCTTTCGCGATGGATTCAGGGAGCCCAGTCAAGAGATATAGCCTTCGCTGACTACCAGAGGCTCTCTCCAGCCCAGGAATCCTATATGGCTGAATAGGTTCGAATCCAGGCTGCCCTAGGCCTCCCACCAACCTATCAACAGCTCAAAGACTTCGCCGAGCGTATCCTACAGATCCACGGAGACACCGAACCACTTGGAAAGAACTGGGTCCAGGCTTTTATCAAGAGGAACCCTTCAGTCAAGGTCCAGAGAAGCAGAGCTATCGATTCCCAGCGTATTAATGGAGCCTCAGCTAATGTGATCAGGCAATGGTTCAAATACCTCGCTATCCCTGAGATCAAAGCTATTAAGGCCTCGAATCGATACAATATGGATGAGACAGGTATTCTAGAAGGTAGAGGATTAAATGGTCTTGTTCTAGGATCATCTGAGACTCGTTCTATACGGAAGAAGCAGCCTGGATCTCGAGCTTGGACATCTCTTATAGAGTGTATCTCTGCGACTGGTACTTGTCAGAGACACTGAACGCAGGACACCGGTGGGGTTCCGGTGGGGTGTTTCGGACAAAAGCCTCCCGAGTCATGATTACAATCTATGTGAAGTTTCGGGATGCCGAGAGTCAGGATTCCCGGCATCGCCAAACCTGCGGCTACGCCGGGTCCAAGCGGCGGCCTAGCTATCTATTTAAGGACCATCTCGAAGTAGGATAGGGAAGGAGTAGAGATCAATGCATCATCGTGGGCACCCCTACCTGAGACCGCCCGTGACCACCCGGTGCTACGTAGGAGGGACGCCCATTACTCCCCATCACTCTGTACTATTGCCTTCGGCCTAGCCGTACCCTGACAGTACTGCACTACCCCCACTTGTGATATACAAGGGAAAGTCTGTCCAGCAGCAGTGGTTTCCTCTGGACTTGATTCCATACGAAGCCTGGAGGTTTACAGCAACAGAGAATGGGTGGACGTCAGACTCTACGGCTATTGAGTGGCTACAAAAGATCTTTATTCCTTTGACTCAACCAGAGGACCCTGAAGAGACTAGGTTACTTATCCTAGATGGGCATAGTAGCCACGAAACGACAGAGTTTATGTACCTCTGCTTTATAAACAAGATACACTTGCTTTTATTACCGCCACACACATCCCACGTTCTCCAGCCTCTCGATCAGTCAGTGTTTGGACCCCTCAAGGCAGCCTATAAGAAGGAGCTTGGTTACCTTGACCGATGGGATACTACTACTGTCGTAGGGAAGAGAAAGTTTCTCCTTTGCTCTAGAAAGGCACGTCTAGCAGCATTGACCTCTAAGAACACTATCAGTGGATGGAAATATACTGGTCTCTGGCTTTCGAGCATAGCTAGACTCCTTCTGAGCCCCCTGCTCCTTGAGAATACGTCAGCACCAATCAGACAGCCTAGTCAGACTTGCAAAGGGTACTTTGATAGTAAGGGTAGTCAGGACTGGGCGTTAGAGACATCAGCAGTAGCCTGGTCAACGCCTAAGAGGAGAGATAAGCTCTAAGATCAACTCAGCTTATTCAGCAAGCTTGATAGTGATCCAAATACCCAGCGGCTACTTTTTCGGAAAGTTCAAAAGGGCTTTGATGAGAAGGACTACTAGTTAGCTGTCGCACAGCGAAATATTGAGGCAATAGAAGCAGATCTTGAGGCTAGTAGGGCTAGGAAGCGGAGGAAGGTCAAGATGAGCCCAAATTCGAAGTTTACTAATATCAAGGCTATTCGGAAGGCTCAAATCGAGGCTGGTGAAATTGAGGATAGTACAGATGAGTCTAGCGAGTCTGAAAATCCTAGTAACGGTGAAAGCTGTATTGTAGTCGCATTAGAATAAGCGTAAAAAAAGGTTGAAGTTAATGGTTATAATATACAGTGTCATTTTTAGGGCGTCCCACATGTGGGGGTGTCCCGGATGTAGGTGTGGGACGTTAACCTACCACAACATCGGGATTTGTGGATTCACCTGATAATCGGGCATATCCGCATTAAAGTTCAGTTGTGTCCATGGCCAGTGTGACATGGACAGATTTTCCCTCGAACCTCAAACGAACTGTAGGCTTTGGCCGTCTTGGCTCCTGTACAACGCTTTCGGTGATCACCTTCGGTGCCAGCAACCAGACGTTATCATCGATATCACATCGCATCTGTAGATATCCATGTTCCCCACGACCTCAGTTGAAGTATATTCGCATTGATGGAGATATAAATATAGAACTGTAGTGTCGGGTGTTTTTGCAGTCTTGCAGTCGTCCGAAGCATTAGTCACCCCAGATGGTTCATAAGTCTTCCTCATCAGGCGAAGTGACAACAGTGATGGCCTCAAGTCCAGCAGGAGACGAGTCGTCCTTGTATGGACGAGGTGATGTTTGATAACAATTTGCAAATCATCGTCATGAGATGCCCAAACGGACACTAGCCCATTTGACAGAAGCTTACCACAGGCACGACATTGTCGCGGTTGGTGTAAGCTGGCAGCCCATAAATGAAGGCTCAAAACTCTCTCCACACTAAGCGCTAACTAGTGAGCTCTTGGCAACCTGGGGAAAATCATATGTCGTACTAGTGCATCATAATTGTCCGATGCTGAATGACTCCTGACAGACGAGCGATAGTTGGCTGGGTGTTTGGCAATATATTGAAACTAGTCGGCTCCAAGGCAAATGGCTCAGTGACTGTTCCAGGTTTGCGGGGCTCTAGAGCTTTTAATAGTGCTGGCGGCAGTAGCTTATACCCCACATCACAACTTCGACAGGGGTGCCTGCGTTGATGTTTCCAGATTGGCTCTGAAACAGGTTGAGATCAGATTAATAAATGGTCGACTGGTCTCGGCCACACTGGGACCTGTCAGCGTCTGTTACGAAAACCGGGCTTGTCACGACCTGATTGGAGCCGCGCTAGGAGTCTCTTGCCTCTGCAGGCCCCGTGCTTTTCTGAGGAACTAGCCTCAATGGCTTTGGGGAACGCAGGACATCTGACAGCGGGAGCGGCAGCAATGACGTTGGCCGGAAGGCAAAGAACAGACTCACCCTGAAAGCCGAAACGCGTTTATCGCCATCAGGCTTGAACTTGTCAAACGGCCGCCGGGGTAGGATGCTCATTCGGTCTGATGATAATGTTTCTACAATGCAGCATCCTGACGTCCATGTGCCGGCCGTCGTGATGACGCAGACTGAGCAGTAAGACTTCAGCGGAGGAACATGGTATATAAACTGCCATCCCATCGTTGATACGAGGACGTTCGAATGATCATCAACGGGCGAGGCCTTGAGTCTAGCATTCTTACACTCTTGTACATCTTCTATCTCATTCTTCGTCGCCGGTTCGACTCTTTTATTAGCCAATTTTTTCACTTGTTCATCTTATCCACTTTCAAGCCGCCCATCCCATCCCAGATCGCCCGATCAATCTAAATCCCTACCACCAAGATGCAACTGTCCAACATCTTTGTTTCTATGATCCTCGCCGCGGCGGTATCCGCCAAGGGCGACAATAATGGCGATAGCGTCAAGTCCCAGTGCAAGTCGTACGCCAGGCTCACCAAGGCGACGGAGCTCGCCGCCAACGCCACCAAGCTGGCCGACAAGTTCGACAACAACCAGACCGAGATCGATGCCTTCAAGGCCAAGGTCGCCGATAAGCAGACCGAGCTGGCCACCCTCGCGTCCAACTCGACCCTCATGAGCTCGTGCGCCGTTGTGCAGGCCGTGGAGGATGACAAGGACGCCTGTGACGACATGGAGGACATGGAGAAGATGATTGAGAAGGCCAGCAATCCCACCAAGCTTGCCGACAAATTTGACGTGTGTCACCCGATATCTCTTGCCCATATTTGATGGCCATTATGACTAACATCAAGATATAGAACAACGCAACCAAGATTGCTGAGTTCAAGGCCAAGGCTAGCGATGCCGTTACCAAGCTCGCCGATATGCAGGGCAACACCACCCTCCTCGCCTTCTGCTCCGTTCAGAATGACATTTCCAGCTGCAAGAAGATGGCCAAGCTTGAGAAGACTATCGCCAAGGCGGGTAACACGACCTATTTGAATTCAAAGTTCGATGGTATGTACATTCAAACCTCCGTCACCCTTGTTTTGTTCCCTGACTAACCAAATACAGGCAACGCCACCAAGATCGCGGAGTTCCAGGACAAGGCCGCGAAGGCCCAGATCAAGCTCGATGCCCTCATGGCCAACTCGTCTCTCATGGACACCTGTAGACGCCTGGCCCAAGGTAATATACCCCACCATGTTATAATGATAGGCATACGCTGATAACGCATGATTAGCTGGCACCAGCGCATCCGACAATAGCTCTCTCGCCGGTCACATCGAGATCGTCGGCGGCCTGGTCACCATGCTGGCCGTTGCTACCGCCATGTTCATGCTGTAAGCATGTTCGGGATAGGAACTTGGTGCACTGATGGATTCTGTGGACTGTGGAGGGGAATTCGCGAAGGATTAAAAATGGAGAAAAGGTCAGGACGGTGCAATGTACATAATTACCAGCGAGTTAAGCGGTATCCATTGTTTATAATGATTATGTTTGAATTTGGAAACGACAGTTGCTGCCTTCACATCTTGTGCCTGTCTCGCATCGATGGTCAAAACGAAGCGTGTGAACCGATGGATCCTCCCATATCTCGTGCATTGCCAGGGTTGAACTTGGAAAACAGAGTTCAAGTTCTCCACTGGCACCACCACTTTTACATGAATACCATATCCGGTACCCAGCATCCCAGATCTATCAGCAGCGACAAATTGGACCATCCCAAAACTGGGCCATTGGCCCTGATATATATTCAAGGCTATATGTGAGCTCATATGTGTCTTTCTTTCACGTGCTTTCAGAGGTCTTGTAACTGAAGCAATGTCGAGAACTAAGGAGCCACCGATATAGTAACCATAGTATGCGACCAGTGTTAAGAGAACTCAGGAATGCAAACTCGAATGCCAAGCTACCTGCGGTTACTTCAGCAGTCAGCAGTCAACGGCCTAATAATTATCAAAAGACCGACTTGTGCATATCCACAGAGATGATGTGGTATCCATGAAAACACCTATGTAGAATTGTGCCCTACGAACCCCATACGGGCGGGTTTGATGGTTTATGTTGTGTGATGTGTGTTCATGGAGAGGATTAGCTTGCCAAAGGGGCAGGCCTGTATATTACAGGCAGCGCACGAGCCACTATCCCGACAGTTTATGATATCCATTTCATGAAGTTTAAATGAACCCCTTGCTATAACCGTGTCCTCCAAGAGTTGAGCCACCCCTATGTTATCGCGTCTTCGTTTGTTGCAGCCCTGCCCTTTGGACTGATGACGTCATAACATCTGTTTATGACTAGCGTGACTACCAGTTTTGGTTGTTCAAGACTCAGCCACACCATTGTGGCAACGTTCCCCGGATCTTCTCTTGCAGCATCCCTTGTCAGTATCCCTTGTCAAAATCCGATCGCGTATCATCGTGTCTTATCGTGCACCGAATCCAGTTATTGTTATTGTTATCTCCAAGATGCCATCCAAGACGCTCACAAGCACGCAGTTGCGGGCGTTGTTCGACATTCTTACCCACTACGAGACCTACAGAGAAGTTGTCAGCTTTCGCGATCCGGCCGCCATCTCCAAGTATGGATACCCCTTCGACAAGGAGCCTGACAAGGATGTACCGCAAGTTGATGGCGCCGAGACGTCGTTCCCTTTGTTGCAACTCCTGCTCACCAGCATCATTCTGCCGGTGCCAGTGGTTCGCGTCATCCCCCGCGACTTCTGGAATGTTCATCTCCAGGGCATCATGGCCAGGTTTGCCCAGGTCGAATTGTCCGAAAGCTATGACAAGTCCGGTCTGGGAACTAGGAAAACTTTGGCGACGGCGGCTTCAGTCATACACGAGAGCATTACCCGCGGCATTCTGGGCGGTGTATCTGAGCGCGGTAGACGGGGATTTCAGGAATACTACGATGCGACAACAGCAGAGGGGGTGATCGCAGCTTGGGACGACGCCATCCATGAGCTCACTCATGGCAATCTGATTGATGAGCTCTTTGATCATGTTACTGCATCGACCAACTTCGAAGACCATTCACCAGCGGTAAAGACTGCTGTCGATTATGCCATCGTTCATATCGCCACGCTACTTCATCAAGTGCTTGTTGTCTCCCCAAAGGGCCAATACATGCGTAGACTCCTTGAAAGCACGCACAAGGTGATACCCTACTCTGTGGTCGGACAAACACTCCGTGTTGGAAATGCTGCCACAATGATGAGTGCCATGTTGAGGTTGCTATTGGGTAAGGTCAGCATCGGGGGGTTTACGAACTGGATGGGCATTACACAGAACGCCGCCGACGGCAGTAACCTCCTTCAGAAGTAATGTTGACACCCTTGACTCATTCAACATAGCCCGCTGACATGGTCCAGGATCATATCGGTAGTTTTGGATTGGGATGCAGGGGACTTCCGGAAAGCTGTCGAGAAGATCAAGAAGTCCAAGAACGGAGCAAGTAACGACCACTTGGCTGCTCTAGATGATCATCTGCAGGCAACTAGAGATCAACACGATCTGATTCGGGCACAAAGCATAAAGCAACAAGAATCCATTGTGGTGTCCATTCTCAAGTCACGAGATCCGGCCCTCACCAAAGACTTCACAGAAGCACAGCACACCCAATGCTTGGAGTACTATGCTGCCAAGCTCGCCGTACGCGATCGCGAAAAAATCATCGAAGTCCTCTGTCAATCGAGCCCCGACTACTTCACAAGCATGATTAAAGAGGGCATGACCGCCATCGATCCCCTGATACGGAATATCCACGCCAACATGGACCTCCGCAGGTATCTGGGCGACGCGCAGAAGTTTCTCGATGACCTCATCCAGACAAGCAAGCCCAAGGAAGCTGAAAATCCCAAGAAAGATGCCGCTATTCCCCCGTCTGTAGAGGACTACGTGGCTTTATTACGTCGAAATCGGCAGCTCCTCTTTGACTGGCTACACGACATTGCCAAGGATTGTCCGGATATCCGTGACGACTTCCGCGGCTGGGCGAAGGAGACCATCAAAATCTTCCGAGCAGATACTACGCCGGAGGATCCAAGTAAGGAGAAAGATGAGCACACGGTCAGATCAGACAAGACGCACAGGGACGATACCTCTGCATCGGGCGCAGGTGCAATAAGCGGCAACTTGGAGTCGATATTCTCCGATCTTTCACCAGACACCCGAGAGGCTGTTCTTACTGCGCTCGATGCCCATGCTGAATACTTGGCATCTCTTGATGCCCTTTCAAAAATGCGAATGCAGCAAATCCTTAACAGATCCGAGAAGGCTTTCGACCAATCCACTGGCAAAGCCAGCAGCAGTAATAGCGAAAGTGGCAGTATGAGTGGACCTGGCACGTATCTCTTGCGATGGCAGTCTTTGCTTGACGAAGCCCTCATCACAACGGCTACCATGTCGGGGCCACCTAGGCGAGGCAAGGAAGTCGCGGAAGTCAAGACGTGGGACAAGAAAGAGAAAATCACTGTAGAACCCAAGGGCTCCTGGGATTCTGACGCTATCGCTACGATGGAAGCGCGCAGTGTTCCGGAAGCTCCTGATGTTGGGGTTGTGACGGAAGCGCTTGGAAAGCCATTCAAGGATATCGTGGCCGATGTAAGTAGCCGAGGTATACGTAACTCGCCGGTTGGCCCTTAGTTAGCTAGAAGAAACAATTTTAGGTTACAGTTCTATAGTTTTATTTCAGTATACGGAAAGCCGGAATCCAAGGACCCCATAGGCTGACATGGAGCCAAAAGATGTTATTTATACACTCAAGGACCGTTGCTGCCATGCTCATCATGTAACACAATTTTCGAATTGCATGTACAACCTCGCATCGGAACTCGCCTGCTCCCGTTGGGGTGTAACCTTGATGATGCCCAGGTAACACTCGACGAAGGTCCAGATAATGATGTTGGCGATGCCATCTAGTTGCGGTTAGTACGTGTTAATCGGTGTACCTTCGATTGGCGGGGAATTGTTGGTGGTCGTCGTTGAGGCAAAAGGGGCTTGTTATTGACATAATTGGTTGGTCGGTTCGTCATAGACAGTCGAGGACGATATTCGAATGAAGATGGAGGCAGAAGCCCTATAGTGACAGTCTTGGTATCATTTGTTGTGAATCAACTCATTGGCAGTGGTATACTTACAAAACACCAATTCCTCGGATCATGGACGTCGTGATCTTAGTTTACGCCGTAGCTGCACATTCCACAGCATGAAAATGGGTATGATAGCAACGGGCTATTCCGTGACCATATTCACGGCCGAAACGGCCTTAGTGAAGACCACGACGACCGTCGGATCGATACAAGTGCTCAAACTGCGATCCCAGGAGGTCGCGACGGGCTCTTGTCGCACTGGTACGACAGTCATGGCCATCAACGTCGTCAAAACCGACATGGCTAGCAAGGCATACAGAAAAAAAAGCAATCTATCTGCGCGGTGATACGTATCAAGGTGAAGCAGATTCTCGAATTGATAAAGACGGAACTGGTCACGTAAAAGACTTGCCACAGCAGCACCAACCCCCTTCCCCAAACGAAAAACAGTGTCAACTTCTTCAATGGCTCAAATTCAACGCTTGAGCGGCCTCCATCATGTTCAATAGGCTGGTTTATCATCCGGTGCACCTATTCCTATGAAAATGCCGTCCATGACGATGGCAGAGTGCATTGTGTTCCACAACTATTGGCATTCCCCGCTTCAAGTCGTCCCGTCTCCAACAGTTGAAATCAGCAGCATTAACTATTCATACTACATCGATTATACTTGTAGTACGTATTCTAATACTCCTTAGGTGGGTTATCTGGCCGGAACTACAAGATTCATGATCTCTGCGCTCAGTTCTCTTCTTGCTCGCTAGCAGGGGCAGCATCGTTGATCTTTACGTTAGAGTATAACTATAAAGACCGAGGATTGAGGCCTCGAGAAGATGGCCAATCTGTTCATTCGCGCCTGCATTTGATCCATGTCGGGTCAATCCTAGCTGCGCTTTGCTACGATAAATTGGGCTTGTTGCGACCTAGAAGCTGGCGTGTTCCTCCGCATATCATATCAAGACGTATGTATTGGTATAGAGGAAAAGGCTAGCTAAGCTGGCAGAAGTAAAGTTGGGCTAAAACGCAAATGCAGGTGCACGCATCAGCAACATATCAGCTAGTCTGGGATGCTATGTCCATTCCATCCAGACGCCCATGTTTTATTGTCATAGCAAATCAGCTGTCTTCGCGTGATCAAGACACATTCGCCGTTGAGGAAGCGTCTCAGTCTCAAGAACGTTTGTGTCTGTCCGGGTCTCGTCGACGTAGGTCTTGTCGCAGTCTCACCATCTGTCCGCTCTCTTCACTCTACACATATAACCATACACCATCACTATTCCCTGTGACTGTCTCCCTTATACGTCACACTGCGTGCTGACTCCTTTGTGGCATCACAGACCCCCATATTCCACCCCGAATACTGCAAAAACCGCGTGCGCGCTGAAGACCTGAAACGAACGCCCGCGCAGTATGCCCAGGTGGCCCAGGACGTCCTAACCAAGGTCGAATAGGGCGACGTTGACGTCATCCAGACGGTGCTAGTGGGCACCAAGGCCGACCGCAACGTCGACGTGCGGGACGTTCCGATGGAGGCTCTCTAACCCACCGCCGGTCCCGTCGTTCAGGACAAACATCTATTGATTGCGGAGGAGAAGCTGATCAAGGAGACGATAGAGAGTGCCAGGGGAAGTCTTGATCGTTCCATTTGGAATGTGTTGCCAATACAGGCAAGAGGTTGTATTCGTGATGATGATGTTAAGACGAAGTTCCAAAGGCTGCAGCTACGGAAGTGCCATCTATGAGCAATTGGCCCAACCGCTGCGCCCAGCACACAGGCGATGTGCCTGTGGCACGCAACAGAATGAGGCTCTTGAAATAAGCACAAAAGAATATTGGAACAAGCTTTCTTGATATTACAATGATAAAAAACCTTCTCTATTTAATAATTTCTAATTAAAACCCAAAAACCCACATACACCAAGCTCACGTCATGCAAGTATATCACCACCCTCTGGCCCCTTCTGCGCCCTTTCAATCCTCTCCTTTGTAGTCTTCAACAACAACGGCATCCCAGTCTCCTCAAATCCCTTTCCACGCACAATCATCTCCGCCAGTCCCTTCGCCGCCAACCAAATAATCGGCATGCCATGCCCGTTAAACCCAGAAATAATCAGCTGCCCCTCCTTCCCGGGCACATGTCCCACATGGGGATTCGAATCCCACGAGTAGCCCATGACCCCCGTCCAAATATCCGTCACCCTCGCCCCGCTATCCTCCCACCCCCGGAAGTTCTTTTGCATGAAACTTTCGTAATAGTCCTTGGCAGACTCGATCAGCACCGTGTCGTCGATATTGTCATACCATTGCTCCAAGTGAGGCCGGAAGATGGAACTAGCGCCGCCGACTACAATCCCGCCGTCGCCGCGCGGGACCAGGTAGCTCAACACGCTTGGGTTGCCTGATTCGCGAATGATGAAGGAGTTTTGGACGTGTGGCGGGGTGGAACCTTGGGGCACGGCGATGTGGCAGCAGATGCCCTTGCAGGGGACGATATTCTTGGCGTATTCGGGGAGGAGGGCTTTGGTATAGGCGTTGGTGGCGTGGACTACCTTCCCAGCCTTGATGTGGCCCCGAGGAGTGGAAACAGTCCAGCTTCCGTCTTCGTTGGGAGTTACAGAGGTGACGGGGGTGTGCGTCTGTATGTTCAGCCCGCGCTTATGAAGCAGCCCGACGAGGTGCAGGATGAACTTGTATGGGAACATGGTCCCAGCCGTGTAGGTTGTGCACGCCTTGGCATTCTTGATACCGCTCACGCCCTCTGCAGCCTTCTGGCCGTAAGTGAAGTGCACGTCGTCCATGTACTTCAGTCCATGGCCGACCATCATTTCGTAGACGGCTTTGGCCCTGTCGGCAGCGTCTTGGTCGCACCATACGTCCGTTGTTCGGGTGAGGGTGAACTCGCAGTCGATCTTCTCCTTCTCTACTACCGCTTTGATGGCCTGCACGTGGGCGATCTCGAACTCGGCAAGGGAGCTGCCAATTTCGAGGCCGAAGCGCTTGATGTATTTGGGAATGTGACCGTAGAGGTCTGGGCGCATGTGACCGCCTGAATATGCGTTAGAGTAAAAGTCTTACGGGGAATCTGTTTCGGCTGAATTTCTAACCATTGCGTCCCGTGGCACCAGAACATGCGCCGCGCGCCTCAACAAGGGTTATCGACGCCGTACTTCCAAGTTCTAGGAGATGGTATGCCGTCGCTACGCCGGCGTATCCCCCGCCTACGATAACGACATCAGATGTTTCTGGCAGAATTTCAGTCGACCTCAAGTCGTCCAACTCGTGTAAATTCTTGCGCCAGAATGATGTATTGCCGCCACTGGCCACTGGTAAAGCCGAGGATGTGACAGGCGCATCGCCATTAGTCGCATTGGGTACATTGTCTGATGATGAGGCTCCCATTCTGTTTCACCGAGATAATTAGGAGTGAGTGATGGTGCTAAGTGATGAGATTGATAAGATATAACTAGTCCCTGGACTGGTCCGCCATGCTCGGATCTCTGCCGATGTAGGAGTGGGTCGACGCGTCCCGATCATTCGGTACTGATCTGACAGCGTGACTTAGCTCGAAGCTATCGTCACGGATTCCGGCGGTGTACGTATTTGGTGGCTCAAGCTTTCGTAGGGAGCCACCTCTCAACAGAGGTGGGGGAGATAATTTGAGACTAAGGGTCCGTGTGGCTCGAATTTTCTATAGTAAATTAATGAATGGGTAAGCCGTTGACCTTAGGGTGTTTGTTATACCTATACTATATATACCCGAAATGAAGTATAGATCTTACATAAAATAGCCGAACCTGCCAAGTGTTACAAATCGCTATGGTCACTATAGCTAGAATACAGCGTATTCGCATCCTTGTTAACTACCTCCTTATCTTGCTATCGCATCACCATTGCCTCTCAGTAGCGGATTCCAGGGCGGTAAGGCCTCCTGGCCCTATACTGACGTAGGGACAGGGATTTTTGGAGGGTCATATCGGATGGAATTATGCAATAAGCCTGTTTCTGCAAGGATCTGAGGAAGTCCCCGGACGCACTGTTGATAAGGAGAGGTGCAGAGGACAACATAAGAGGATAACAACAGAAAACAACAAGCAGAGAGAGAAGACGACCAGAGAGAGAGGATTTCTTTGATTATCGCTAACCGGCCGCTTCCGCTTGCCCCTATCCTATAGTAGACTAGCCGGCGGATAACCGTACATAATATCCAGTGATTTCACATTCGAAATATTAGTAACATCGATATCACGGCCGCTTCAGTTAAGGGCTTATGTTCTATCGGAACATGTCAACTATGAAGGTAGCGGTAAGGGTGTCATGGCTTAGGCGTGGGGTGAACTATTGTATTATGTTGTACCGTGAGGAAGGGAGGTCAAAAGTCTTGCCCAATCCTCCAGCTATGTACATGTTCGCATGCAAATATCTAGGTTAAAGGGTCGACAAATCTAGCATCCGGTGGGCCACCTCCAGGGCCATGACAAAGGGGCTATTTCGGTCCATATTGAGTGACCGCTGCTAAAGGGGACACAGTTATCCGCGCGGCCGATATACTACAGCTGGTCCTTCTACTTCACATCACCCTTTACTTCCAGGCGCTATGTAGTATATAACCATACCTCCTCTTTACATACATCCTTCCATATGTATAACTTCTCTCAACGTATAACGTACCATACAAGCAAGTTAGCTACTTTGTCTTAGTACCGTACGAGTGACTTTCATAACTTAACTGTAAAGAATCAATTTAAACTAATCGGAATTCTCTTCCTCGTACTTATCTTTATTATTCTAAGAAGTACGAGCATTATGTCTGGGCTCTCCGTAGATCCTACAGCGCTATTGGCGAGCTAATTGAGTTTAATTGGGTCAGGCAGCATTATTGGAACCGCACGCCTCACCATACAATAATAATTCCTTCCCCTATCTAATCTTAGGTAAAGTGTGTTTCTAAGTTCAAGCAAAGCTATCTCGAGAGCTGGCCCTTTGGGCGCCTTATAAGTCATGTTACAATTTTACAATTATTGAAATGGGTCCTCTAACAACTTTCAAGTCTGGGATAATCCATTACTGGTGGTCTCTGCGTCGGTGTGGTCATGGCTACTCGGAACTCAGTGGAGCTCTACCGCTTCCCAAACTGTTCCGACGGAGACTGATTTCTCCGGTGTTTTGGTCCTCTGAAGTGATGGCATCATTGACATGCCGAAATATTCGTCATCCAGCCCTCCCCTTTGCCAATGGCTGGAACCAAGTGGACTCGTCCCTGATCAGTATCCCCGCTGAACTCGTCGCCGCCGCTACCCTGGTCTTGTGTTGACCCACCGCGGTCAACAAAGCTGTATGGATCGTCATACTCCGCCTTTTGCTCCTGATGAGCAAGATCAACCTCATCCGTATCTACGTACAGGTTGAATTCATCTGTCCTATACTCAATATCATTCTCGTTGTCAGTATTATCATCGTGGCTCCTATTCAGGTATCCAAAACCTCTCCGTCGCAACATTCCCAAGGCCGCCCGCCGTGTAATCTGGCGTGCGTGCATCTTCTACGTTCTGACGAGCCCCTGGAGTTCAGGCAACAGTACTCTGCTTTGCGGCTCGCGCTTCCTCTACGGTATAGCTCGCAACGGCCAAGCCCCCAAGATCTTTACCCACACTATTCGCTGGGGCACTCCCTATATCTCCGTGTCCTTCTTCTGCACCTTCATGAGTTTGGTCTTCATGTCCCTCTCGACGGGTGCCGACCTAGCATTTACGTGCTTGCAAGACCTTGTCAGCGTGTCCTTAGTCTGCAACTGAATTATTATCTTCAGCGTCTATCTACGCTTCTACTACGCATGCAGAAACAGGGAATCGACCGATCCGAGCTACCCTGAGCTTTACCGTTGCAGCCCTTGCCTCGCTTGGGTTGCTACGATCTCTTGTTCTGTCCTCTTGCTGACGGGAGAATATGTGGATTTATGAATAGGTTCATTTCAAGCTATCTGAACCATTCTTATCCTGTTCTTCTTGTACTTCGGCCATAATTTACGCACAAGATCTCTATCCTAGTGGTCAAAGATCTGCCAATTCGCAAGTATATTGATATTGCTAATGCGAATATGTACCCTGGGCCCGAGAAGCCACACAAGCCGGGATGGCATAATATCAGTTTCTGGTGGGAGTAAGATGCTTACTGGGGCATTGAATATGAGGATATCTGAGATTGTGGGATTTATGTGTATTGGGATCTAGGTAACTATAAGAAAACGGATATTTTTATGAAGTGAATAAATTACTTTGTGCACGGCCTAGGATAAACACCAACAAATTTGTGCTGTGGGGTTGTAGATTATTTATAGAACATCACCAAGTTGCGGTGAGCGGTGCAAAATTGTTGAATACTGAACAAGGCCTGCCAAAACAGCCACTTAATTCCAACTTACAGTGAGATTTGATTAGCATCACGAGGAAACACGCCTCCGTAAAACCTTACGTAGAATCCTCTCAAAGAGCACAGCTCCAATTGAAAGCACACAAAAATGTATCAGTAAAGATATTAGTCGAACAGCGTGCTGTTCTTCCCTGGTTCCCAGCTCCCTTGACCGGGGTCCAGGGAAAAACTCCTCAGAGAATGACACCGGGCCGGCGCCTGCTCTTCTTCCCAGAACCGCTGGTTAGTTCGGCCGGCCGGTTCGCCAGGCCGACCCGATCAAGAACAAGATGATTACGTTTTAGCATTTACAAGAAATCAAATGACAGGTGGGTTGTACCCCAAGAACTCGGGGAAATATCTCCACTCGGCTTGGAGTTGACTCTTGGACAATCCAGATATCGGAAATCTCCACTAGGGATTCGTCCTATTCGCGACGCAGGGCGATGCTCGGAGGGCAAGGTTACGCGAGTATTTTCGGTCAGGCGCAGTGGCATTTAGAGTTCAGAATTTCATCGTGAGTATAAGCATCAAACAACTTGCCAGCCAAGCATATCGTGAATAACTCTGAGTTTCCCTTACTCAAATTCATTCGTGCTTGAAAAATTAAATTCGGCTCCGCTATTTTCACTCACTCTGCCCATCGCTCTCGCCCTATCGTACACCCACACAAACCATCACCTTACGGCCACCATGTCGAAGCACGTGGTTTTCGACGTAGTTGGCACCTGCGTCGGCTACGGCGCCTTCTTCGCCGGCATCGAGAAGCACATCGGTCCACGCCTTCGCGAGCACGGTATCCCTTCCCAACTCTTCGGGTTCGCCTGGATGGAGTCCTCCGAACGGGAATTCACTTTCCTCTCTATCTCAGAGCGCTACGTCCCTTACAAGGACGTCTTCAAATCGCTTTTCTACCGGGTTCTATGGATGTCTGGTATTTCCGATCCACGATCTTTTGCTACCGATGCCGAGCGCGACGCCATCTGCGCGACATACTCAGACTTGGAATTGCGGGAGGGTGTTAAAGAAACATTTGAGTTGTTGAGGAAGAATGGCTTTACGGTTTGGTGTTTAACGACGGGGGATGTGGAGAGGGTTAGGGGATACTTTTTGAGGGCAAGAGTAGACATGCCGATGGAGAACTTCAAGTCGTGCGATGCTGGGGGTGTGGCTAAGCCGGCGTTGGCGGCTTACCGACCACTGTTTAGGGAGTTTAAAGAAGAGGATGAGAAGTGGTTTGCTGCGGCTCATTACTGGGATGTGAGCGCGGCCAAGAAAATTGGGCAAGTCGTCCGCCATCCGCGCTTGTTAGTTGTTTTTGATCAGTTGCAGAGTGCTAACTTCTTTGACTTTGCGCAGATTTAAGGGGGCATATTGCTCCGTGTACGAAAAGGAAGATTGCGCGGAGTTGTTTGGGGAGAAAATGGATGTCATGTCGGACACTCTTCCTGAAATGGCGAGAAAGATTATTGAAGCGTGTGGGAAATAGAGTTGGATGGTCCCAAGCACTGGACTTTAGAATAGTGAAATACCGACATCGTAAAACGAGAATACGTAAGAGGCTTCGCCGATAGAATAATCTGAACATGTGTGAGACTCGGCAAGACCCAGCTGTCATATATAAAGTCAAAATAACCAATTCAGATACGGTAGCCTCTTTGGTGGAATGGAGAACCATGAATAATAGATTCCGAAATGGCTATGGAACTCTAGAAAGGGTGTTGGGCACATAGTCACAGGTGAGTCTTCAAACCCTAAGGTCTTGCCGATCCAGTGCTTGTAACGCAGCTGATGGCCATGGGGGGAATATTGACTATTGCACAACTCAAAGTACCTCCATATACCGTGGACAAGTTTGTTTGTCGGTTCGCCATTGACAGGGCTAGGGATCGGTACCTCTACCGCGTCACTGTGTCTTGATTCAGAGGCATGTTTTGAAAGTGCGTCATGTTCCTTCACTGAAAATCCGGCCATAGTTGATTAGTCAGGTGCTTGGCTTGCATCTTCGGTAGCTGGACAAACCGTGGCGAAAGCGACGTTTTCATCACGAGGATGAATCAGAGGTTGGATCTCTTCAAGCTCAAATGACAAGTCGCCAATCCTTGAGGCAAAAACTGAAAACCATCTGCGTAAACTTCGCGCTGATTATCAAACATCCGGTCGAAAGCAGACGAACATTTCACATCTGAATAAGCGTCACTCAAATCTACTCGTTCGACATGGACATCGATTACCCAACGAGCATTAGTGGAAATCAGTATACTTCAGCGCCAGCAGCATTATTCATCTTCTGTAGCTCCCTGTTAAGATTTTTGAGTTGCTTGCACACTTCAACCTGTCTTCGATAACCCTCTAAATTTATCGGAGAAGGCTGATTGGCAACGGTGTTCCATTCGGACTCGTCACTGCTGGCTGTAGGATTGACAACTTCACCTACCTTGCCTATTCTAGTTTTCTCACAGTTCTGTCAAGTTGTACTGCATTGACTGCTGTATTCACTAGCCTGACAACGTTACTGTCGGTATTGCTAGTACCAGCTTCTCCAATCTTGATGGTGTCCAGTCCAGTCTGGAGGCTGATGCAGAATGCCTATGTAGGATGATTCAGTTTCGGGAAATATCTGGCCAACTTTTTCGAAAGCGAAGGGTTATAAAAACGACTATAGAACAATCTGCGCCCCGCCCCTTCCCTCGTCTCCTCGCCGTACATGGTTAAGGTCGTCCCGATTATGACTTTCCTTGACTCCGGGCTTGGCTATTCAATACGATCAACATTGAGGAATCAACTAACGTAACCATTGTATCGATGACTTCATCTTCGTCTTCAGGAATGCGTTGATGGCTATACCCCACAGGCTAAATGGTCGGGCAACGCTATCTACGAGTACGAGTCCGTCCTCCAGCACAATTAGTACCATGACAGAGTCCATTAACTACATCCTCACCTATCCTGCCGGTGAACCATGAACAACAAGTGACTTCAAGATCCAGAGTTCCGGCCCGCACGCAGTCTGCCAACCTTTTCTAGAGGCAAAAAGCGCGTTGTTCAATTGGATCAAGCTGTTGGATTATGGGCAAATGGTCTTGTATTGAAAGTGTCATGATCTCTGGAGAGTCCTGAACGAAGTGAACGGCGGCCATAAGGGCCTTATATAGACAGTGATGACTGGTGCCTGTCCCACAGGCAGGACTTGTGTGGTTCGATGGGTGGTGGTCATATTGGCCCATAACGTACGGTGCGTGGCCATATGTCCTTCCAAGACTGGCAGTCTTGATGTAGTAGCCTTGAAAGTCCAACACAAGCTCGTACTGCCCCGTCTCACAATGACAACGCACAACTTCGTGCATAGTTTGTTCAGGTACCAAATGCCTCGATGATATGAAGTGTTTGAAGTGGCCAGAATCCCAGCCACAACGAAAGATTCATCAGCAACAGCGGTTGGGTCGCCAAACCACGCATACATCAGCCAAGCCAATGCCTCGACTTCTGTGTCAAATTTCGATGCATTAAAAGCCCCAAAGCAACACTTTCCCTCGTTCACCATCGACCTCAAAAGTTCCAATCTGATGCTTCCGCCCAGATCCTCAATGCATGCCACTTATGTCAAAGACCCAAGCCATGGAACCAAATTTGGCCGAAAGTAGTTTGACTGACCTGAGGAAATAGATAAACGGCGGATAAGCTAGTCTCCCACTAGGTGATCCGGTGCATATCGATATCTCCACCGCAGACATTCCCAATCTCCAGTTTGAAAACGACTCGCTGCGGGCTATTAGAACCCTCTTGGAGATGGCATTCATAGTGATTCCGAGCGCTGATATAGGTCAAGGACTTGACATCTCCGTAAGTCCGTTTGGGACAGCATTGAGCTTGTGCCTTATGGAGAGATTCAGATGGCAATCATGAATTGCCCTTGGAGAAAACTCGGGACGAAATCGTGACCGTTGCTGGATTTGAGGCACAATGACGGACGAACTCTTTTCAAGGCGGATGAGGGGAAACGAGAGTTGCCCAACTATATGAACGTGCTAATGACTACCGGGCGATTCGCCTAATTTTATGTGCTTGAAAACACTGTAGAATAATACGACTATTGATAAGAACTTCTGTCGCTGACAATGAACTTTGAGTTGGTCATGGTGTATATACTCATGCGCAGCGTCACAATCTATGTGGTCGCTTGCCGGTTCTCTTCGGGCAAAATCATCCGAAGGTGTTATCACATGGTGACTTCTCCAAGACCAGCATGCTGAGATAAGGGGATCTTCGACATCCCAGGCATCATTGTTTGGTCCCTGACTTCCATCCGACCCTTCGGAATGGATATCTATTTACTGGTCCTGATGAGGAGACCTCCATCCAGTACACATGCTACGAGACGCTGTAGGCGGTCTTCTGGGACGGATTTTAGTCAAATATCCGGGTCGCCAAGAGGGCTGAGTGGCAACGAATCAAGTACTTGGCTGAATTAGTTAGTAAGCTAGAGATCAACGGTCGGTTGGATTCAATTGGGAGTTGAGTGGCAGAATCACCGACCGGCCGATCGAGGTCGATCTAGCTAAGCTTCGCGATTAGTTTGGCTAAAGAATCTCAGCTCAATGACTAGAGGGGAAGAAACTCTTGATCTGTGTCGAGGAATGGCCATTTCTCAGGTGAAAGAAGTGGTAGCAACTGAAAGGAGTAGCGATGGGTACCATAATTGGTCTTAAGTTGACTCAATTCAGACGCTGGAGTTATGTAAACGTCTAAAAACTTATTAACGATGACTAGCCAGCCAGTGGAGCCATCACATCTGCCCAAATAGCGCGGCATCTGTTTGCAATTATGTACAGCCTCATCTCAATCAACCAATAGGGGTATATCGCACCACCATCGCCAACCTCCACAATTACCATACTCTATTCTCCAAGCTCTTCCACAACAATCACCGTCAATCTGGCAAGCCCATTTCCTCAATTCAACCAAGCCCAGCTCATAACAACCCTGCCACTGGCCTCCAGGGCCAACTGCGTAAAGACACTTATCGTGACATCCAAATCCGTCTGCAAACACCCCACACATCGATCGACAACCGTGACGTCCACACTTGTGTTCCCTTTGTCCGCCTCACTGAATTCCCTCGTAATCCGTATCTTCTTCCCACACAACGGATTCGCATTCGGATTGCTCCCTGTACTTGCCGCATCAAATAGAATATGGCTGACTGAGACAATACTATCGCTATCCGAAGACGTGGCCCCACACGCGCCCAGCCCAGGGTCGTAGTACGTCAGGTCACCAGTGAACACGTCGGCATTGGACGGTAGGGAGAGGTTCTGGGATTTCGAGGAGGCGCGGCGCGAGAGGCCGACACCCAGACCCACGGCGAGGGCGAGGACGACGAGAAAGAGGATCAGGAGCGGTATGGCAATGCGTTGGAGGAAGAAGCGGCGGGAGCGGCCGAGGTAGGTGCGGTCGATGGGCATGAGCTTGTCGAAGCGCGCGTACATGGATTCGGCAAAGGTTGGTTTCGCGCCATCGTATGGACCGGGGAGTGTGGTGGTGTGGGCTTGGAAGGTTTGGGTCGCGGGTGTTGTTTTGTCGACCGGGTTGGCGGATGCGCCTGCGGCAGCCTTGGAAGGGAGAAATCGTGTCCAGAAAGAGCGTTTGGGATCGGTGGGAGTCTCCCATTCGGGCGTTTGAAAGGTCGCCGCTGGTTGAGGGGCTTGAGGGAGCCCATTATCTGCCATTGTGCTAGAGAATGCTGTCGCCACCTATGGTGGGCTGGTTCGGCGCGTTGCAAGAGAAAGTGGGAAGACTCAAGATCCCTGGATGAGACTCTTCGCGTTGACGATCAATGCGGAGATGGACGCTGGCTCTTATATATTCATTGAGTAAGTGAGTGTCCAGAGCCGCGACAAGGTAGTGCATAAAGAGGGAGACGGGAACAAAGGTGGCAATACGAATTTGGTCTTGGAAATGAAGTCGCGATGCATGATGCCGATCTCTAGTAAAATCTGGGGTTGGCGCCACTCAATCCCAACTGAGTTTTAAGCCAAGATTTAAGTTGGGATGCCCCGTATACAAGCTAGTGCGCTTAGGCGCTTAGCCATATTAGGCATAGACCTTCTCGCGAAACGGGTGCTTCCGATCTCCTATTAATAATCTACAGCGTCAAGTTTGCCGGCATTCATGATAGTCACATGGATTCATGTTTGGTAACGAGAAAAATTATAAGACTTCGCGATACATTTGCGGCCTACGTGCGGCACTTGAAACTAACAGCTTGACACCAGCTTTTTGTGCCGCTTCTCAGGGGTGGTATGGGCATCACGGAAACACCCAACCCCCACGAGTCACGAAGCTTGCATGTTCCGGCACTGTGCGCCATTGAGTCACAGGACTAGCAGTGAGGCTATCAGTTGAGGCGTGTTGGACTCTAAAACATTCTCCATGCTGGCTCACGATCAGAGGCCTCTGGAAGCCCAAGCGGTGGAATTAACGTAGTGAGGATGCCACAGATTGCTCCGGGGGGTCTACTGTATTGCTAGTTGGGTTAGTGCGCCGCGGCTTCGGGCTTTCAGGTTATCTGAATTGCTGGCCACATGCTTTGCTCGTTGTCTTGGCCACCAGAATCATGCAGTATTGGCTGAAGGTAATTGGGCCGTCTGCCTGTTTATGGTAGTTTTGGGTTGTGTCCTACGTAAAAGCCTGATGAATCCAACCAACGGCAATGCAGTAAAGTACGCATTCCGAAGATTGATTGTTTCTATACGGTATGCTTAACAACAGAGGCCTTTAAGGCCGTCGAAAGATGACATGACCTTGGATACTTGGTATGAGCTGTAAGTGTATTGGCCGGACTCATCAATCTAGTTCACCATCGAATAGTTCCCGGTGATTCAACGGGAACTTCTGACAAGACAACTTTGTGAACTATAGGGGAATATAACAAGGTCCATTCAATAAGCTCTTACACAGTACGATTTTTTAGTAGATGACGTGGACTGATATGGGTGAGAGTACTAGGCGTCCGACTTATACTGTCCTATAACGTGAATGTACACCGAGCTGGCCATGACACCGAGCTGGCCACCCTTACATAACCTCTCATAGAAATTTTACGATAGTAAAACCACAACGCCGTAAATCAATTGAAACTACTCTGAATCTTCCTCTCCAGAAGATGGCAATGCGATCTTACAAGTTCGCGCATTATGCCCAGTCCCGTTGCAAATACCACAGCGCCTCGGGCGCGTTTCAACACGCTTTGCGCGACCACCATTTCGGCGCTCTTCTTGCTGTATCTGCGTCGCCAACTCCCTAGAGTCCCGTAGGTCCTGTCCTTCTTGGAAAATAAGTGATTCTCCTTCCCGTAATTGCATTTTTTTAGTCCTCCGGCGCCGGCTTAGCATCTTATTTGCCTCTCGAAGCTCAGCGCACTCGGCCCGTACGAGGGCGAGCCGCCGTTTTTACGCGTTTGGAGGGTGCTTCGGGGGACTTGGTACGTTTTTGCCGCTTGTCGGAGACTAAGTTTTTGGTCATTTTTGAGAGCTTGAAGGGCTAGCATTAAGTCTGCTTCGTTGTATGACTTTGCCATAATTGGTTGTTGAGAAAATCAAACATTAAGTTGGCCGGTCGCGTTGGCGCATCAAAGTGGCCAGCTCGGTGTCATGGCCAGCTCGGTGTACATTCACGTTACACGATAAAAATAATCGTGGGAAATACAGGAAAGAGAGCTGTATTGGTGATGATGATGACGGGACTGACTCCCGGGAATTTGCAACTAATTACGGAAGAGATATCTATAAGCAGCGGGCCCAAGTTCAGCACCCAGCACACAATTGGTGCCTGGGATATCCAACAGTAACTATCATCATTTACAAATATATTACCCCGAGCCTACATTATAGAGGTTGACGAGAAATGTAGTTGGATTTCACGTGTTTAATCAATGTAGCAGGCTTATGTGAAGGGTGTCTTTCTCTTAAGCTTCCAGTGGCATTTTACTTGGGGTGTGAACTTCGATTGCAATGCACACTTGCTTCTTGGATAAAACAGTCGTCCTGTGCTCATATTATAGCTGTGATGTAGTCTGTACACATTCATACGGCATGCGGAGTATCAATAGAGTCGATGGCGGTTGCTCCCATGGATCGTGCAATGGTGCAAATGACACAAAATTTGCCCTGTGGAAATCCAAATTCCAAGATTTGAGATTTGAGATTTGAGGAACCAGGAAAGGCTTTGTAGAGTGCCACTAACACCATCGCTGTGTCGCTGTTGTGTCTCTTTGTGTCTAGTCCAGTTGAACCGAGTTCGAAATAGATTGGTCGACTTCCGTTGTCAGACGCTACACTGCAGATTCCACGAAAAGAGCTATAATCCACACCATATGCAATGCAGTGCATGTTCATACAACACCGTCGGATTAGGAAAGGCTCCGTCTACCATGTTAATCTGGGTCGTTAGGCATCACTCCCATGCCCCCGCCCCCCCCCCCCCTCCATCGATTTTTCTAACGCAAATTTACCAATTTTACCCAGTCTATTTCAGCATATCTTCATGCAAATGGTCCTGCCCTGCGCGGAAGTCGTCTCAACCCCACAATGGCAAGCGCATCTCCTGACTGCGCCAGTCTATTCCGGTGCACACAGCCTAGAGTGCCACGCGCATAGGGAGTTGGGGCTGGAATTGACTGGTCGGTGGCTGGGGAGGATCTCCGAATCGGCGTCTTGCGATCTCCAACTCAGCTCTGCGAGCTTTTTGGACCTGATACCTAAGACTCATGGGTCAAAGAAGAAGCAAGTAGTGCTCTGGGATTGCGTGGGTTGCGAAACAGCTCCTTAAATAAATTGCACACTGACAGTATTTGTGCCTCAGTGTCAATGCGGCAATACAAGTATGTCTATTCGCGTGGACTCTTGCAGTTATTGTCACGAACCCAGGTGTCCGTACTGTCCCGTGTCGAAGGTAAAAGTGAAGGGGCGTGATGGTACCTCACTCCAGTTGGATTCGGCATCGGCACTGGGTTTCGACAGATGCGAAGAAGATGGTGTGAAGGGCCGCGTGGCAAGCGAGGTATGGATCCCATAGATGACTGCATATGCTTGATGTCCCTTCATTATCTGCTAACACATCGAGGATGTTAGATTGGTTGTCAAACGCTTTTCCGTCGTTAGCCCTACTGGAAGAGCAGATGTTGCCTCACACCATGATTGGATGCGAAACGTTAATGGTGTCAAGGCGATAGGGAAAAGAACTATTCTGCTCATACGTTGAGATACGAGAATCGTTGGGCACTCACTAGCACCTTCAAAAATCCAGTCATGTTAACCTCTATTGGCCGGTATAAGTGTCGCCCGAGGCCGTACTTTTTACCCAACCTGCTGCAACTCAAGTGTCTCAGGATTCCAGCCTATTGCATATGACCGCGTTTTTGAGGTTAGCTGTCCTGCCGCGGCCCATTCAATTAAAGGATGCCTGATGGATGCCACTCGGTGGTGCAAGGAAGGCCTAGGTGTGTGTCTATTTATCACCGTTTGCACAAGATACCAGCCCGTCCTGCGCCACGTGGAGAGGTACACCTTGTGTTGATTCTTGAAATTGCACTTTAATCCAAGGTCTCTCTCCAACCAGTTTTTCTGGCATTAATGTGAGTGGCTCGCTAAAGTCAAGAAGTTGTGGAGGCCCAATTTACTCCCGATGTCATATAAAGCATCGATTTGGATACCCTGTGACCCGGGATGCCTGCGGGCTTTGCATTGTGATCGTGATTTGACATATTATCTTGTGAGACCTCGCAGCAGGGATGACGATTATTTATATTATGAGCTTGTTTCTCATAACGTTCAGCATCAAATGTCCTGATTCCGCCACTGACTGATGCCCAATAGTCCCACATAACTCGTATGTGGCAAAACTTATATCCATTCACACTTGGACCATGGCTAGTGTAACGTCACCCGCGCTTTGATATGGATCTACGTCAAGTGCGGACCCATCCGCATGATATGTTCGACTGGGAGAGCACGAATGTCAACAAGGCCATCACGAACGACACATGGATCGAAGAACTCCAAAACCTAGACGAAGAGACACCACTAGCGCTGATAGATCAGTTTTTAGAGATACCCCGGCACTCGGAACGGTGGTTTTCTCAAGCACGAGTCATCGAATCCATATGCTCAGATGCAACCCTATCGGCTCTTCGAACTAGGACTACGAAGGCCTCATCGGAGTTAGCAGTATGGATAGATGACCGAAACACAAAAGGGCAGCCACGTGAATACAACGGACCCCTACCACTATTAGAGTGGGTCGAAAAACTAAAGTTGCGAGTGAGTAACACGCCGTATAACCACTAGATACCTCATGGGAAAGTTGGCTTCGTTGCTAAAGCTAACACGGAGAGTAGAGATTCGGTGACGACGACCACATAGATGCGGATGTTAGGCGCATGTAAGGCCATGTTTCCTTCAATGCCCTTGCATCAGCCATGCTTACCAGACACTAGACAAATCCCAAACCCTACTTCGTTGACGGTTGGCGTTCTCATCCTCAGTGCATCCAAATATCAGAAGCCTGTAATCAGGGACCTGCTCTGGAGACACCTTGGTGGCCACGCATCTTTCCAGTCACACTTCGTCGTATGGATATCCACACCCGCATTCGAGACGTATACTAACTCTTATCGCAACTAGGGTGGTGGGAGGTTCTTCGTTTTGGAATTTCACCTTCCATTCTTTGTTTGGAGGGACACTCAAGAAGCTCGGAAGGACACGCGTCAAAAAGGCGATGGTTCGCCTTTGAGACATTCAACAAACTTGGCGTTCCTGTCAAAGCCTGATCCATCATCTGGCTATGAGATAAAACAAGATTTCCTGCACGAGGCTCAGTTCTCCCATGTAACTACGGGCTGTAACAACTCGATGTGGACTTCATGTTCCCTCTCAGATACCTATTTCTATGATGACCAGGAGGATCCTGAGAATCCAGACTTGCTAGCATACTATGAAGATGAGGACGAAACATGCGATATGCCTACAATGGGGGTGTTTGATACCGAATACCCGGTGTTGGATCCAAGGGAGTACCATTTGATCGGCTTGAAAACACGTCTGGGACAAGTAGCCGATGAGTGGGATAACATTGTCGCGAGATTGAAGTATAAAATCAGATCCCATGTAAGTACTGCTGCTGCTGCCTTGGTACCTTCTCTGGTGAGCCCTCTCATGGGGTTTTACGGACTTGGGGGATCTAATTTGATTTGTAGCTTCAACCACCCATGCCGATAAAGGAACAAGCTTCCATTTTCAACGCAAACGGAGATAATGAAAACGTCGAGAGTGATTACAAATGGATCAAAGGTGTCAGAGCTCTGTTGGCACAACTGACGGCCACGCTCTCCAGGACGAACGAGGCGTGGATATCGTTTGAAAGAAACGATATGTCTCAGTTCGACAACATAGGAACATCGAGGCGAATCATGCTTTCCCTTCACGAGGTTCGAAAAGTCGCAGACAGGCTCAGGAGTGCGAGTCTTGAGCTCGAACATCTGGGACGCGAGGCCCAAACCTTTAAGGAAGAGGTGAGCCATAACCAAAATTAGACTAGAAACATCCGTCAATACTGACTACACTCAGCTGGAGCTGCGGTTGAACATCATGGGGAACCGGAACGTCGTCCTACAGCAGTGGAATGTACGTCAACTCCCAAACCCCCCACCAACTCCTACATGGAAAGAGGCGAGCTTGCTAACTCATCTTCGACGTTCAGTTACACTTCCTGTGCACGCCAGCACTGGCAGCCGCTATGATGCAGTCAAACATTATTGCATTTGAGCCGTCGTTCTTCTGCTTCATACTTTTGACACTTGCCGTCGCCGTCATGGGCAAGGCCCTTCCACCAGCTCTGACTTGGTACTCACAAACACGGTTCGCCCGGCAGCTCAAGGAAAGTTCGACTCGTTATCTCCCCCAAAGTTTCATCGCGCCATACAAACAAGAGTATATGGGATTTAATTTCGGGAAAGACGTGACTCCAAGGTCATCGATGGCACGTTATTGTGATGTCCATTAACTTCTCGAAAAGCTCTGGGGTTATCTAGATGAGTAGTGGCCTTGCATCTAGGCTTATGATCTAATGAATCCACGAGATGGACATTTTCTCTTAATTCTATATTTTCCAAAACCCTTTTATGAGTCTTGAAGTAATGGTGGTTGCGTTCTGCTGTAGTGGGAATGGATGTGTCGGACCTTTACAGCTAACTTGCCGTTATTTCCTTCTTTTCCAACTTTCCCAGCTTCTCCAACCCGTTGGGCCGATTGACCCCCTTTTCTTGTCCCTGGTGATGATCCATGACGGATTTAACGGATCTCTAGTTTAATATGTATATCAGTACTGAATCTGGAACTACTGGTTATTCCTTGATGTATTGGAGCGCCTTGAGGCCAAGCTCGCTCACTTCGTATTTCGGACTCCTTGGAGATCACTTCAATTCAATGCTTTATTTTTGCACCAATACGTCTGATAGATTGTGATTTGTACCGGTTTAGTCTTGTCTCGTGGCTGGTGACGTTGTGCGTGTCAGCTTTCAATTGGACTTGATAAAATGCATCCGTGATGACATCGGATGGATATAACCAATCACATGTTTCACGGGACATGTTGCAGTATCGCAGGCGCCAATCCAACGTTGGCTGCATGTATGCTGCCTCACTAATCTCCAACTCCCAAATATTCCTGCCCAAGTTCCCAGTGCCCAAATTCATGCGGCTCTGTTGGCGAGTTTTGGGCTTGCGGGACATTTCGCCCCTTTTCTTTCCGCAAGGGATAGTATGGTAAGCCATGTGCGGCTTTCTCATGTACATATTCTCATGACTGAGTACGCTTTGGGTAGTATTAACTCACACTTTACACGATCAAGACACACGCGCATAAAGCCACCCACCCACACCTATACAGATCATGGATAAGCTCCAGGTGCAACTGCAAGCCCTCGGATTGGGCCCGGACTTACCAGAGATCGGTACGTCAGATGTCTCGACGAAGCCAATCGACATCTACCGATTGCATCTAGCCGGACTTCTGGCATCGGGTCTCGGCTGTGATGCCGGCACAGCCTACGAGGCCATCAATTTGGCTACCGACCTGGAACTAGGCGATCTGTTCGTCATCTTACCCAAACTCAAATTGCAAGGCTTGCCGCCAGCGGCCGAGTGTATCAGGAATGTAAGTTGTTTTGTGATTCACTGCTTAATACAATCTAAATCTGACGCACGTCCTAGCTCCCAAACAGCCCCCTATTCTCTACCCCCTATGTGGATGGTGTTCAACTGCGGTTCTTCTTCGGAAATAGAAAACTCGCGAGCCTCCTGCTGCCATACATAGCGGAGAGGAACACATCGTACGGTCGCAAAGATGTCCTTGGGCTCAGAGATTCCACGGATCCCGGTGCGGGCAAAAAGAGGATCGTCGTCGAGTTCTCATCGCCCAACATACCAGGCAAGTTCAACGGCAATCATCTTCGCAGCACGCTTCTGGGACAGTTCGTAGCGAACATTTACGAGTCCATGGGATGGGAAGTCGTCAGACTGAATTACCTCGGGGATTGGGGCAAACCCTACGCCTTATTTGCCGTCGGCTGGGAGCGGTTTGGTGATGAAGAGAAGCTGCAACAAGACCCCTTGGGTCACATTCTGGAAGTCTACACGAAGATTGAGGACGAGTTCAAGCCGGAAATGGACGCGAGCAGACAAGCCAAGAAGGATGGACACAGTACCGAGGACATTGAATCAAAGGGCATCTTTGCTGAGAGGGACGAAATCTTCAGGAAGATGGAGGCAGGAGACGAGAAGACCCTGGCGCTTTGGCAGAGACTCCGTGACTACGCTATCGGAAGCCTAGGCACCGCCTACCAGCGACTGGGCATCGAATTCACCGAATATGATGGCGAATCACAAGTCAAGTCAGAAACCATGGACGAGATCGAGGCCAAGCTACGTGATAACGGAGTGTACGAAGAAAGTGACGGCTCCTGGGTCATCAACTTCGACAAACACGGCGTCAAAGGCCTCGGCACCCAGATCATTAGGGGCCGCACTGGGTCGAGCACTTACCTTCTCAGAGACATCGCAGCTGTGCTGGATCGCGACAAAAAATACAACTTTGACGAGATGATCTACGTCGTCTCTTCCAGGCAGAACTCGCACTTCCTACAAGTCTTCAAGGCCTTGGAACTCATCGGACGCGCCGACCTAGCTGGCAAACTAAGACACGAGAGCTTCGGAGAGATCCGAGGACTGACCGACCACCTGCACAAACCGCTCTTGCTGGGCAACATCTTGGACGAATGTGGTGACATCATGTGCGGTGTTGCCAAAAAGGATCTGGGCGACGACATTAGCGAGCACGCCCTCGCGGTGATGGGAGACCCCACGGCCATCGCTGGACTCGTGGCCCAGGATATGTTTGGCAAGCGAGCGCAGGGTTACATCTTCACTCCAGGCCGAATGACCTCGCTTGAGGGAGAATCAGGGCTCAAGCTGCAGCAGCATCACTTGCTTCTTTCATCTGCGATCTCGGAACTACGAGCACAGGTGGAGGTCATGGCGACCGAGCTGAACTACGCCGCGCTGGAGGACGAAGGGAGCACGAATCTGCTGCGCATCTTGGCGCAGTACCCGGATGTCACGGCGGCTACGTATAAGTCGTTGGAGCCGCACGCGCTATTGACGTATTTATCGCGGCTTGCCGACGCCATCACGGATATTCTAGGCGAGGAGAGCGACGATGAGTACGAGGACGAAGCTGGGCCGAGTGATGCTCAGGCGACGGAGGATGGACCAGAGGTGTTGAAAGTAAAGTTGGCTTTGTACGAGAGCGCCAAGGTTGTTCTCGAGGGCGGGATGGGGCTGCTCGGCTTTCCTGTCGTTATTGCTTGAATTAACGACGATGAACAGCTCTGTAGTAGTTTGATGCATCACAGCAAGGCAACGTAGGTGCAGCCTAACGGAAACTTTAGGATCTAAATTGCCTCCGAGAATCGCATCACGACGTCCCTAACGCTTGGATATATTGGTGAGATGTAAAATGCCTGGATCTCTCGACTACATCGGGGATGGAAAGAGTATGGTTGCTTCTGTGGCAGGTTTGGCTTAACGCATTGGACTCCTTTCATGGAACTCCGTTTCATTAAGGGTTAGGGCTATGAGATCATTGTCGCCCAGGGATAGGCCTCGCAGAGCATGTAGGTTAAACACTTAATCATGACCTCTCGAGAAATGCCAATTTGATAAGTTTTCTTTTTGTCAACTCTGATTGTTGAACAATGCCCCTATTAAGTGTACAAGTGAAGGTGTTCCCCTATGATTACTCTTAGAAGGTTACGAGTATACAGCGTAACCACCGAGTATGTTAACTAAAAGAGTAATTGATACGTGACCCCATGGGGGGTTACCCTATAGCTATAGATAAGATAGATAAGAGCTATAAAAGAGCTCTGCCAGGCCAGAATAGCTGACCTGGCATCCTTTTCCAATACAACAATTCACACCCCATATGCACTCGCATCAGTAATATAACGTAGTCCACGGTCCAATTGCACACTTTGGCAGACCTTATACGACAATGTATAAGTTAATTCAACCACAACGCCTATCATCAATTGAAACTACTCAGAATCGTTATCTTCAGACGTCTCTACATCATTTCCACAAGTGCGCGCATTATGTCCGGGCTCGCCGCAGATTCTACAGCGCCGTACACGCGCAATTCGCCGCCTCGTACGACCACCAATTTGACGAAATTCGGCATGTAACTGCCCATCAACCTCTCGTTGAGACTGTAGGTCCTGTCCAGCTTGTATACGAAGTGACCCTCCACTCTGTAGCTGTTTTTTCTTCGCACGGCGACGTCGACTTAAGGTCTCATTTGCCTTTCGAAGTCATTCGACCTCGCCTTCTAAAAGGGCAAGCCGATGCATAACCTTCGTTGTACCTCGCGCAATCTGATCTATTCCAGCAAAAATTGACGTTGGTGAGCTATTTTGATGTCGTACAATCCTATTTTTCACATAATCGGTTTGTGATTGGGCTTCGGAAGGAGTCAACTTTTGCGTTGGCGATCGCGTAATCGCTCGAGCGGTTTTACCGTCGCGTCGATACGCAAGGGTTCTAAAAGGTACGTTATAGATCTGACCAGCGCGACGTACACTTAATTTTGGATCAGATTGAAGCGCATGTAATGCTAGAATCATATCACTTTCATTCCAAGAACTAACCATAGTTATGTGGTAAAAAACCGCAGGTCAAAGTGGTAGCGTACGAAAATCTGCCGAAGTGTGCAATTGGACCGTGGACTACGTTAGTGTAATGAAGTATATTTAGTATTATGTATGAATTCTTTGTGGGCTAAATGTTGCGATAATCAGCAGAGCATATAACAATATATGCTGTCTTTGCGAAATGTATGCACCCTCAGTGGGGATTTGCAAATACGAATCAAAATCAAATTCTACAGCCACTATTCCTGGAAGTTCTTTATACTAACCAGCCCGAAGAAAGTCGTGAAATAAGACAAATCATTGGTTAAGAATCCCATGGGACTTCAGGACAGTCAGTCACTACATGAGACAGCCTAGGTGAAAAGACCGTTGTGGTTGGTATTATAGGAACAAAGAATTCGACTACCGTGGTAGGACAGCTGGTAAACTCTGTATCAAACAAATAACTCGTGAAATCCATGAAATCATCCAGAAGAATGAGTAGACTATGGTTTGATATCATAAATTTTCAGAAAACAAGACCCAACACATGTTCGCCCATGTGAATCCAAGCAGATAATATGAAACAGCACATCCATTTCTCACACTTCGCCAACCCCCTAACCAGCCGAAAGACGACTCGCTGGAGCCGACCGTTGCGGGATCCCGGGGAAAGACGAAGATGTGTGCTGCAGACTCTGCGGCCGAAACTGGGCACTCTCATGCTGCCGCACGAAAGGAGCAGAATCATTACTGACCATTCTCGGTATCCTGGGACTCGCGTCTGGGGTCGGAGACGCGTTTGGTGTTGGAGTGCTTGACGCCAAGCCTGGTTTTGGCGAGCCATTGGCTCCTGGGGTACTATGAGCAATGCCTATCCCAGTTGTACCGTTGGGGTGGGCTGTCACTGGCGAGACGACGGTATCGTGTCCTAGCAATGGCGAGTTGATCTGGGCGCCAGTGCCAGGAGCGCTGTGGTTTGTAGCAACACTGGGGTCCGAGCATGAAGCTATATTCACCTGGGTGTGTTTGTTGTTTGGCCAAGGTGCTGCAGACTCCAGATCCATAGTCCCAGGGGTGGCGATCTGATGTCCTGCCGCTCCATAGTAGGCTGTTTCCATCTTTCCGAAATCATAGCTTGAAGGATCGAGGAACTGAATCGTTCCAATCTGTGGTGCCTTGTTGTCATCGTCGTCTTCTGCGTGTTTGCGGGTTCCGTGGTCGGTGACTTTCTCTAGAAAGGGACATAAGAAGTGTTAGTCAAAAATGGTTAATTAGATATGAACGGTCTGGCGCTAAGCGCTGTGCGGAGTGGCTTACCGCTGAGTATCTGGAGGAAACTGAACCCGATCAAGGCACTGAGGAAAATGGGCACCAGCTGCCCGAATGAAGTAGCGTCATTCTCGGGATTCTGGTTGTTATCTGACAAGATCCAGCCCGAGTGGTCGACCCATTTCCTCAGATCGAATATATACTTGCCCGTGAATACCACGGTCACGCAACTAATGCCAACCCCGGCAATCAAGTACCATAGAAAGAAATACTTGCAAATTTTGCGGAGCAGAGTACCTGAACCGAGATGCGGCCTGAAACGATCAGCGAGCCGTTTCCTCCAGCCCCCTCTCTTCCCGCCGCGTCGCAAGTACCGGATGGCCTCCGCAATGATAGCGGCTCCATAGAAAAATAATATTATGAGGTACCAACGCCACCCCTGGATCTTGTTCTTGGGCGTTTCCTGGCCGATGGCGTCGACGAAGAAGTGGTTGGGGCTGCTGGTTGAGTCGGCAAAGATGTCCATCAAGTGAGAGCTTGAGTTCTGGAAGCATGCCGCCGGCAGGAACATGAGGCTGCTTGTCTCGTTGGTGGGAGGCAATGCCGTGGGAAACGTCAGCTTTGACTGTGCGTTTTGGTTCGACATAAGCACACCCGTTACGACGAAGACGCCGGAGACGCATATTACCCTAACAAAGGCCAGCAGGGGGTGTTTCCAATAATCTCGAATCTGACGCATATAAATTAGCCCACTTCCCTTGTGGTAAAACAAAACCCACACACATACAATCGTAACGCTCATAAGATGAGTGGCGCATGTGAGTAACAATAGGTTGGCGACGATGTTATAGTGGTAGGCGGAAATGGTGCAACCCCGCCAGTAACGCAAGGTCAGCGCATAAGCGGCAGCTGTGAAGATCTGCTGGTCGCTGCAAGCTTGCACCAGCGTCTCCATCACATCGGACCAACTTATATTCGTTGGACGCTTTACCGTCTGGGTCGACGCGCGCCGACCCCTGTGACCATGGTCAGTATCTCACAGTATCCTAAGTTCGTACAGCAGTGTGACACACTTGTTCCATATACGAATTTTGCGAATCTGCCACAACACATCGAGAACGCTGATGGCCAGTGCAAAGGACGTGACGGCTATAAAGACGCCGAGTATCTAATGTCAAGTGAGCATGAGAACGAGGTGGACGTCCAAGGCTTTTATTACTCCCACGCCTCCTATATCTGGGTCTGACTCGAAGTTCCCTTTTGTGACGCCTCCTAAACTAAGAAAGGATGTGTTGGTGTTGTCAGTGAACACGACATTACAGTCGAGGGTTATGTTGTAATGACTCTGACAGTCGGGAACCGAAACGTAGGACCCCATGATGAAGACGATGGCAGGAACTTGGTAGCCAGGAATCAGTACCGAATATGGTAGAGGATAGAGTGAACCCGGAAACCCCGTCAACCATAATAAAATATCTGAGGGCAAGCATGAGAACTATATGTTCCACCAGCCTCCATCACTGATAGAGCCGGTCCGACCCCCCATGGTCTAGAATGGAAGATATCTGCAGGGTGATGAGGCAAAGCAGCTTCCACAAACCCTGCCACCATGCAGTGCAATGTTCCATGAAGAGCCGTTCCAAGGGGATAACCTGGGGAGGTCGGGATGCTACCAACTCCACAGCCCAATAAAAGTAACATCTAGAAGGGCAATAAGCACTATTGATATGTGGGTGTGGCCCCCAACATGACAATGGACAAATAAGTCAGAGTGCTAGAAGCAGGCTGAGGATGAGGGCTTCACACCATTATCAGATAATGGACTCAAGAGAGTGTGCGTGCTGTAAGCCCCGAAAGTTCTGTTGGCGAGCTCCCTGCAGCAAGACATTGCAGGCCACCGCAGGAGCATTTCACTGTTGGGGAAGTAAAGCGTCGCTTCCTCCGAGCACTGTTGTGTTAGTCACCGACGATGTGGACCGGTTCTCTGTCGTAGAATATGCATAACGTGACTGGCGAGGCCGAGAAAACATGGTTCGGACCGCCCATCTCGGTAGGAAAACTGCCCTAGGCCGACAGAAAAAAATACAACAGGACTAAGGCAATGGCCGCACGCAATGAGTCCGTGTTTCCGTCTGATTGGACGGCGAAAGGGGTCGGGAGCTTGTGATCATTGCCTCCAGCTGTGTGACATTTGTAACCCTTAGTCCTATCTCAAACACCAACGCTGCTGCAGGGTCACATTGAATATGTGCACCATGCATCGCGGGATATAAATTTGGAACAGGCTGTGCCGCCGGGGGCGTACTGGATTGCCGACGAGCTTGCTTGAGCGGAAACCGAGGTCTATCTCAGCAACAAAAGTTCGTTCTGTCAAGTCCACGTAGTCTAAAAGACAAACCTTATAGCCACCTTACTCAAGACTTTAGATGCGTAAGTGCTTTAGGGGAGATCAGTAACGGCGCGGGGGAAGACGGAAAGAACGTAGAGACAGAGTCCACAGAGTCTTAGACCAGCAGCACATCTCCCAGCTGGGACCAACAGCTCTTTGCTCGCTGCGGTAGCGAGTCATGCGCCCTGATGCAATTGTTCTTCTGCATGAATTAGGGTTCTATGGTTGCAGTACATTACGCTTCGGGCAGGGATTCTCCTATCTCGTTGCCGTTTTCGAACCAATATGGAGGGTACGCCGTTTGCGGCTTTGGGTTTGGAGAACGGGGAATGGGGAGGAGCCTGAGCATGGTGTTGCGTCTTGCAAGAGGCAGAGGGCCTGGACGGTGTGATATTTATTGAGTCGTGATAGTAATACGTAATAGATGACTGGAATATTGACTAGATGAAAAGGAGTGCTCGGTGCTCACGGTCTGTTAGAATGAAATCTGAAGATGTGGCGAAAGTCTCCGTGAAACCCCACATCCCCCCTCTCCACCACAGAGTCTGTTACCGGCGATAAGCCCTATCACTATCGCCCAATAGACGCGAGCACTGCGCCGCGATCGTGACCCAAAGATAGAACTCAAGCACTGCCGCCTCTCCTCCCGTAGCGAGAAATCAAATGATTGTCTCAACTTGGCAGAGCTGCACTTCTGCAAGACGAGTCGCATCGTGGAACAAAATTGATAATCCTTCTGGCAGAAGTGGCTGTGACGTCCCACAGCACGCCAACAGCTACAGCAGAAGATATCCATTTGAATAACTAGAAAAGGCTCACAAGTGATTCTTGACTGTTGATCGCTGGGAGATGGTCGGGCCCGATATATTCTATTGGCACGACGAAGGACGGAACAGGATGCAACCAGAAGATATTGTTTGTGGGGGCTGTCCCAGCCTTGCTGCTCGGAGCGATGGGTTGTGATGAGATTGGAGAAGTCCGCGGCATCTTCCTCGGCACGGTTACTTCATTTCACGTTAACATCAAGCACCAAATACAAGTGCAAAGAGAAGCCCTGGGCATTAAGTTGGCAAGTGTGCCTCAGCACCTTAATTGCATATCTCCGTCGCCCTCCGCTCCCTCCTCTCGTCTCGTCGACTCGAGAGGAGCGGGGTGGCGTGGGTGGACAGCAACTCCCTCATGGACCACGGCCTGAAGGGAGTACCCAACTATATGTGTGAATAACAGCGATTAAGTGCATGAGCACAACAACCATCCATCTACCCACCCGTCACCCATCCTGTATCCAAACCGTCCAACCCGGCGCTATGTCTGGGAACCTCTATCCGCCCCTGGCAGAAATGCTTTTGAGAAATAAAATAACGCCAGTCCAACCCATCCTGAAAACGCCATGCTCGAAATGGGTATGAACAAGCAGTCACAACCTCTCGACGGACTTCGTAAGCCGCCCCCATTTTTGCCATCCCCGGACATGCAATGTACCACCGCCGTCTCGGCCGTCGTGGCCGGCGTCCACTCCTCGTGTACTTAACGTTGTATTTTTACATCTCTTATCCATATATCTCCTCGTCTCCTCAAAATGGGCACCCTGCCACCAGGAGAGCCACCACCCGTCCGTCTTCCTCCCGAGTAGTAGAACGTATCCCCACGGACCCTGCCCGCCCGGGCTTGGAAAAAGAAAACAACCGCATTGACAGGAAGAATTAGAAGAGGTGCAAGCCTGTTGAACACGAAAGGAAACTAGAAAAAAAAGAGAGGGGGGAAGGGGGGGAAGCTACGAAAAAGACCATGCGCAGATATAAACAAACCAGACGAACAGGCCACTGATGGAGGATAGCGACTGGCAGGCCGACGAGGGCCCTATGCAAGTGCCAGAGCTGCCGCTGTCGAGCCGGGCATGTGTAGCCCGGCTCTGACGTACGGGGGAACAGGGGCTGAAAATATCTACCCCAATCCCAACAGAGGGATTGGACTGAGTCGGCAGGCGGGAAGAGGGGGGAAATAGACGTTACGAATACGCAATGCTAAGAGCGTAGCGTCGCAGTGAGAAGAAGCAAAAGCCCCTCCTCGTCCACTCGCCGTTGCCATCGACATTTCTTATTTTTTGATTATTTTGATGGATTCATCATGTGCATCGTCATCATCATGATCATGGCCAAACTCCTGCGATCATGGGGAATGAATCAAAGCTAGGGGGGCTCACTGCGGGTACACCATGTCGAACTGCATATCACCCATGCTCTCTTCGATGTTGCCCATGGGCTCCACGGCTTCGTTCCACCCGTGGATCGTCGTATTGGGCGTCAGCGTGTCGCTGCCCACGCTGCCGTAGTGGTGACCCCCGTGAACCGCGTAGGGGTTGAAGCCAACGCCCGAGCCGCTGATGGGCGACCCGGAAAAGTCTCCGAAGCTGGCCGATGAGAGGGGCATGCCGGGGTAGATAGATATGCCGTTGATGTCCGTGTTGATGTTCAGTGCGGGCTGCGATGCCGGATGGAAGGAGTAAGCGTCCATATCGAGCATCCCCTGGGACACAGGCCCCGGGTTGTAGACCGCACTGTCCTCTGAGAACTCAATGTCCATGCTTGAGTCGAACGACCCGTTGATCTCTTCGTCACCCTCGTCGTCTTCTGGTTCGACGGTATCGGCGGCGCTGCCCTTCTTGACCCAGACTTCTTTCATCCAGTTCTTGAGCTCGCTCATCGGGGGCCAGTCGCCGCCTCCCTTGCCGCCGCGGCGGTCTTCATCGGCCTTGTCCTTATTCGCGGCACTGCCAGCGCCTCTGCGTCCCCGAGAAGGCTTCTCTTTGAAGTGCGTCCGTCTCAGATGTGCGGCTGCATTGTAGTAGGCGCCGTACCGTTTCTGACCCGTACAAGCCTTGCACTTGTCGAGGGGGTTGACGGCAGGGACGCCTATAGGCAGGCCCAGAGTAGACGGGTCAACGCAGATGAATTTGCGCACCTGGGATTGGTGCTTGCTTGCTTGGTGGCGACGCAGCTCGTGCTCGCCCCGGAAGCCTTCAGGATGCTCATTGCATTGTTCACAGAAAACCTTGGGCTGCTTGGGGCGCACGTACTTGGCCTTGCTGATAGCCGTTTTACCCATGCCGTTGGCGTCTTTCTCGCCGTCAGACCTAGTGTGCGAGTCGCCGTTTCGGGCGTGAAGCGACGGTTTGGGCTGTAGTCGCGTGATGGAGCTACGCTGGTTCTGCTTCTTGAGCGTCTCGGCGGCGCGCAGCTTGAGTGACGTGTTGGACTTCATACTTGACATGCTGGTGTTGGACACCGAGCGCGACATGTCTTGCGATGACGGGATAGCGAGGCTCTCGTTGGGCGTGGATGACGAGTAGGGGTATGTAAAGCTGGGCGCCAGGCTTGCACCGACGCCGGCAAACAGACCCTCCTCACTGGGACAGGCACGTTTTCCGAGAGGTGAGTTCTCTCCGCTGCTCATGTTGGACACGTTGGGGCTCTCACGGTTAGACATCATGTCGGTGCCCTGATGAGAGCCGAGAGTCATCATGTTGACAGCACCGACGGCGCCAGATACGGACTGGTTGTCGAAAGCGCTGTTTTGTCGTGTCATGGGCGCAGTTTCTAGCGTTGGCGCCGAAGTCATGGATCCGCAAACAGAAAGCTCCGTGGCATTAAACTGCGGCATGTTGGCACCGAGCTGTTGCTGTTGGTGTTGCTGTTGGCGTGGGTGTTGGTGCGAGGGCATGGAGGCGCCCAATGCAGCTGCGGATGGGTCATCGTCCAACGTCGCGAAAAAGGTCTCCGGATCCATCAGGACCGATTCGGCAACGGTGGGCATGTTGCGCGTGTCGGGGCGGTGTCGGGTGCGCGCAGACTGCGACCGGTGTATCGAATGCGCGTATGCATACGAATTCACCGGCTCGTCCTTGTTCAAGTAGTCCATCATGCCAGTCCCATTCTGATCCGAGTGACTCAGCTTCAGGGGAGCGACGGGGCCGTTCCCAACAAAGGGACCAGCGGATCGGGATGACAGATTGGAGGCCGAACGATCCATCTGATGCGACTGGGGAGCTTGTTGTGACATGGTTCGCTGCCGTTTCACAGCCGTGTGGGTAGGTTCGTTATTGGGTCGAATCTAAGGGGGCAGGGTTAGACGTGGCGATAGGGATGGGGCTCTCGCATCAACGCTTACAGAAGAAGACCGTGGGATGCTGGCCTGGCTGTGACGACCCGTCATTGACATGTGCCCCTGACCCGCCGAGGGCTTTCTTGACAATACATGTTGCCTTTCAAACGGCGGCGCAGCATGTGACGATGCACTCGACAGTTGGAACTGGTCATTATAGACGGGCGAAGGGACATCAAGACTACTCGTGCTCGACTGAGGTAGTTGACATTGACTTAAGGTACGCAGTAAAGACAGCTCCTCCTCCTTCCTTCTCAACTCATGCTGGTGTGCGAGTTCACTCTGTCGAAGCTTCTCTTCGAGCTGTTGTATTCTTAGCTTAAGCTCCGGATCCCGACTTCCATCCATCATCGTGACGATGCTAGCACAGCTTGCCCCCAAAGATGGCAAGCGAGCTGGACTTGGACGACGTGAGTCAGTGCCGCCACCGATGACGGGGCAGATGGGGAGATAAGGAGACAGAGGGGAAGACGATCTTAGTTTTCAGCGCTTGAGACAGACAGACAGACAGACAGATAGACAGCCTCGTCTTTTCTCTTCGGCGCCTTCGGGTACAGAGGGTGCGAAGGAATGAGTGTAAGGGGGGGGGGGGTGTCAAGCAAGGATGAGCGATGCTCCTCGCGACACTTGTGAGACTAGAATTCGCGGGCGGGAATGATCAAGCGATCGTTGGAGTGGAATGGTAGAAAGCGAAGCGAAGCAGGCAAAAAAACAGAAGAATGTCGAGGCCCAGTCGAGCCGGCGATCGAGGAATTATGTACCATTCAGTACGATGAGACTTGGGCTTCTGCGGATGCGCGGCAGCGGGTCTTTCCAGCCTGCAATCCCGACACACTGTTGAGTCGTTTATCAAATACGGACTTGGGGACGACGTTGGGTCGGCGTGAATAAACGTCTGCGCCAAAGGGTGTAGCCAACTTTGTTAGTGCCCATTTCATCCATGTCGACCACCTAGGCATGGCGTGGAGCATTTGATTGTGTAGGGTGGGAATATGACGCTAGTGAACGGGCTTTTTTTGCGACCGCCGGAGTGTGGTGTTTCGGTCTGCAGCCAAGTTGCAAGTTGTCACCATCGACTGGTCTGATGCAACCTGCAGTCGCACACGTTAGAGCCTCTGGCGGTGGCATCCTACAGGTCAGATTCCCGCACTTGTCCCAGCAGCCCACGCCCGAACAATGGTCACAGTGACGCACCTCCAGGACGCACACCTCCAGCACTCGCCCGGCTGGGACGCTGCTTCGTGCGACCTGTCGCATGTGGCTGTGAGGGCTATCATACCTACCAGAGTGAGTGGCTAGCTGATGCCCAAATCGAAGGAACGGGTATGCGTATGCTCCAACAACCACAGTATCGTCGTCTTGAATGGAATTTCTGGAATGACACATTTGATCAATGCCCGTGGGTGCTCCACCATTAAAGCATTGCAAGTTCCACTTAGTTACGGTCGCGAAGTGTAGATCTTGATGACATTGACAGCGACTCTTCCGGAGAATCCCTGGAAATGCCAAGTGCAGTGAGGAGAGGAGCGCCGCTGCCAAACCCGACGGTACCGATTCTGTTTCCCGGATCGTGTTAGGGCCATTTCTGGCAGTTCAACGCGCGCCGGCCAGCGAGCTTGTCCGTGTCTCCCCGAACGCAACCACCGTGATGATGGTGCAATTCGGTTTGGTGTAGGTCACCTCAGATCATGATCCCGTCTGTTGTGAAAGAACGTGGCCTGCGTGGGGTTGAAGCCGGGGGCTTCCCACACACACCCCTCTCACCGTCTGAATGATCTGGTCAATGAATCGGCACATTCGTCCTATCAGATCTGGGTGCCCCTCCACTGGAACTCGTCGTCCCACCTGTTTTGGCATCCACCGTCCACTCATCTGTGCCATCGGGGCACACCCAGCGAAGGTCCATGGAAAAAGTCCACGCCCACTGGCGCAAATGTAGAGGACTTCCTTGCTCTTGCGCAAGCCATCTGATTCGGCCGTGTTCTTGGACTGGAAGTTACGGCCAAGGGAACATGCATGCGGCAGGAGCGCTACGACCAAAGTGTTGACCCGTTTTGCCTTGTTTTAACGAATCTTCGCTGGCATCAAGACCAGCGTGGCAGTCATTGGATGGCGAGGTTTCTCAAGAGTGAGGCGGCGCCTCACGGCAGTTTGAGTGGTGGCGGATGCATGGACCACCGCCGGGCGATGTGGGCCGCCAGCAATCACATCACAGCTGAGCACACCTTGATAATGATCGTGCCGTAAAATGCAAGTCGGAGCAATGCCCATGTCACTGCCTCATCAGAGTCTTGCAGGCAGGTGACATTGGAAAATGCCGATTCTGAGCTTGCTGAGAACATTTGCATCGGTGGTTCTGCAACATGTCTGGTTCATCTCGACTGGCTTACACAGAGACTGCTTACACCCCCTTCTGCCTGGGGTAGTATGACTTGCATCAGTCTGTCCTTTCCACAGTTCGTTGACGAGCTTCAGCGTCCGGGTTATATTTCCAATTTGAATTCCAGTTTGAACGTACTAGGTTGCCAGGACGGTTGAACAACAACCCCAGTGAGCGTAATTAGACAGTCTGGGTTGCAGCATGGCATTCTACCTCGATTGTAAATGCAGAGCAGGCCCTGGTCCAATATGTTACTCGCAATGACCTTGGTCATCCAGTCGGGGGCGATCCGGACGTCTAATGTCAAAAATTGTCGCCGAGATCCCGGAAATTCTGTCAGCCATTCGGTGAAATCATTGTTGAAGGGCACGGACGACGCCGTCGCGTCATCGGGGTCCTGTACGAGGTGAACGGATTATATTTGTTTTCCATTCCTTGGGGTTTTCTCAATATATTTGACGATCGAGAGCACTCGTCGGTTTTCCGCATTGCTGGTTTTCGCGGTACCTGGGCCTGGAACTGGGATAATATGCCGGATGAGGCCATCGTCAACAGGGACGACGTAGCAGCTGCGAGAATCGACCAGGGCCGTGGACGCCGGCCAGTTCTTCTTGACGTAATGTTCCGTCGAGAATCTAGTCGTCCAGGTCTCACAGACTGACACGAGATTTCTATGCTGGACACTCATGACCAGTTCATGGCGTGGCGCGGTTTTGGTGTTCCCGATGAGCTTGATGTTTAGGTTATCTGAGATATGCAGTGCTACCTATGACACCACGCTAGGGGCTTGTGCGAGCCCAATCTCACACCCCCTACCTACTGAATCCCTGGAGAGATGAACCGGTGTGTGTCCATCAGGCATCACAGCGCCGATGGGCACAATAAGGTAAGCGAGATGGATGCCGTGTCTTCTGGTCTCGACGGTGCCGGCCGTCGTCGTTGGGCGCAGAGGCGTTTCGGTAAGGAGTGGAGCACATGGCGGAGGACATCGGTCTTGGTGTTGTCTGACATTGATAGCCATGTGTCGGCAGTCGGCAGTCAGCACTTTTTGTATTATGCGGCATTTACCATGAGGCTTGTTGGGTGTCGCTGCCGTTAATGATTGCGTTGCTGAATCAGACTGTCAAGTACGCAAATAGAAATTTTGGCTATAGTTGATTGGAGCAACAAGACGTTGCGTGGTGCTCAACGAATGAACAAAACGGTATTTACAAAGCGAGTTGCGCTGGAGCCAAGCTCTACAGGGACGGCTTGGGACTTGCAAGATCAGGGAATGGATGAGCCGGTTGCCGCGAAGACCGGGTGAGGTACTTGGTGCGCAACATGAACATTGGAATCACTTGCCAGTATTGAAGGCAAGGCTAATTACGAGCTAGTATACAAGCGTTTACAAGCGTTTATAACGGAAAAGAAGCTAAATATAAATAATATTAAATACGCCGTAGGTGTTAACCCTCGGTACCTCTACAAGTACTCCCTTAAGGGGCTATAGATGATATAGCGGGCCCTTAAGCCGCGTCGGGCGGTTATACAGGTAAACTTGTAGCCAAACGACTACTAAACCTCCTGTCCCTCCCTAAGTCTGTGCTACAACCCCTGCCTGAACTACCGATAAGTGTGGTAATGTGGCACTTAAATTCGTCCTCAGGGGTGGGATGCTGCTGATGTGCAGAACATGCTCGACTATTTTTTGTCGCGACAAGTCGTAGTATCTGCTAATAGGGGTTCTCGTCGAGCGTATACATCTCAACCATACGCTCAAGTGGATAGACCGTGACGTGGTCTAGACGCTCGCAAGAATCGCGGCGAGAGGGCGTGCTGCGTGTCACGACCTGGGTTGCATCGCATTGGTAGAGACCTCGATTAGGTGCTATCGACGAAGATTCTACTCTAAGGAGCGAAGGAAAGAAGATGACAACTTAGGTTTGAGGGAGCGCGACTAAGTCATCCACGCTTGGCGGGGCTCCTACAAGGGTTATGATTGGCTTCCCATCTGACACTGCCATGGCAGGTGTTCCAGCTGTACGTCACCTGGTTGTAGTGAGTCTGCGAGGGTTGACCTTCACACTGCGCGCCTTCTGTCGTGAGAGGACGGGTTCGCCGACGAGCGTTATCGGATAGGCGAGGTCCGATACGGGGTCGGATTAACGATTCGAATTCTGGACCGGCTGTCGAGTTATATTCCGCCGACGTAGTACTTGACGGTCGACTGGCTAGGATGCTCGTAATCCTAAACTGCACCAATCTCCCTATTATCGCTAGGTAGGTGCTGTAGTACATTTACTCCCGGCTAGGGGGGGTGGCGAAGACGAACGTCACCACCTTCCATGAGCTGGAACTGAAGAAGCATCAACCGAACCCCCAGGCCTTAATCGACCGGCTGGACATATTGTACGGTGAGCGCAACCGCAAGGCGAAAGCCATTCAGTCGCTCCATACAATCCGACAAAGAGACGACGAGCCCTTTACGGAATTTTACCCGCGATTTGAAAAAGAAATCGCAAACGCAGAAGCGGAGTCTTGGAATGACGACTCCAAAATTTCGTACCTTTGGAACGCGCTCAATCCGAAATTGAAGTCCAACCTGGTGGGAAGTTCCGATGCAGAGTTGAAAAGCTATCTCTCTTTCGCAACCAATGCGAGCTCTTCGAGAGGAAGAACAACAAGAAAGCTCCAGAGGATGGAAGTCAGGACCGTCGCAACCCAACAAAAAGCAAGGAGACACGGAGGGAAGACATGATGGAGTGGGAACCAACCCCGCCAGACCAGGTCCAGGTTGCTTCCACACGGCTAAGAAAAAACATCTACGGCTTCCCATCAAAACGGCCGGAAGACCAACCCCTACTCGGCAAACGTGCCAAATGGGTCGACGATTCCGAGATGCGAGCCCGAAGGAATGAACGAAGATGCTTGCGGTGTGGGAGAGACAACTGCCGCGTTGAGCGTTGCCCCTTGGCAGCAGCAATAAACCCCGAAGTTCGGAAACGAACTAACGTCTCACGAGTCGAGCCACGACCCCGAGTGACCGAGGCGGTGGTTGAAGAAGTCGACACTCAGACTGAGGAGGACTCTGATTAGGGATACGCGGGAGCCGTGGCCGCGTGGAGACAGTTTCAAAAGCAGGGACAAATGGATCAAGACGGCATCTATGTTAACATAGGAATCAATGGGATACATTATACCAGAGCCCTATACGATGATGGCTGTCACTGCTATGCAACGATTTCACAGAAACTGTTTTAAAGGCTACGACTCCCAAGCATCGACATCGTGCCCAGAAATCTGGCCCAGGTAGCGGACGTGCAGGAAAATGCTATCACTCAAGCTACCTACTTCGACATCGACATTGACGGACACAAGCAGCGACGAGTGTTTGCGTATGTGGTACCAAGACAACTGGACGAAGTTATCCTCGGCTTGCCATAGGCCAGGTCACAAGATATTATCCTGAGACCTGCAAGAAACGAATTTCGCATCGGAACGAGTGGCACGAGTGTTCGAATACGCGATTCACGAAGCTGGGACCCTGACCTTACCAACTGGGAAGTATCGGCCAACTCCCTTACCTCCATCATCCGAACTAGTCAAAGGAACAAACAACCAGTATAAATATTCGCCGTCAGTATAAAGGACATTAAGAAGGCCCTTGCTAAATTCCAGAAGAAACCCGAAGACCCTGCGACTAAACTCCTAGAATGTTACTACTAAATTATTAATCTTTTTAAGAAGGAAGTTGGCGATAGACTACCACCACACCGACCAGGAGTTGATCATGTCATCGAACTGGAAAAGGACGAACAAGGACGCGAGAAAGAAGTTCCATGGGGGCCCTTATACAGCAGGTCAAAAGAGGAGCTACTGGTCCTACGTAAGACCCTTACCGACCTCCTAGACAAAGGGTTTATTCGAGTCAGCAACTCTCCGGCAGCGGCACCCGTGCTTTTTGTTAAGAAGCCAGGGGGAGGGTTAAGGTTCTGCGTTGACTACCGGAAACTCAACGAGATCATACGAAAAGACCGCTACCTATTACCCCTGATTTCGGAGACCCTTCGCCAGCTGGCCAAGGCGAGATGGTTCACGAAGCTAGACGTCTCTTCCGCCTTCTGGAAGATCAGGATTAAGGAGGGAGATGAATGGAAGACAGTATTCCGCATAAGATATGGATTGTTTGAATGGCTGGTCACTCCTTTTAGCCTCACCGGTGCGCCTGTAATATTCTAACGATACATCAACCATATTCTGAGGGAGTGGTTAGATAACTTCGTCTCTGCCTACATCGAAGATGTCCTGATTTTTACAGACGGCACCCTCGACGACTATAGAGATAAGGTGATGCAGGTTATGAAAAGACTTCACGCCGCAGGACTCCAGCTCGATATCGACAAATGCGAATTCGAATAGGCAAGAGTTAAATACCTAGGTTATATTGTTAATATGAACTCTGGGATTAGTGTCGACCCCGATAAAGTTAAAGTAATTCGAGAATAGGAACCCCCTACCATATTTCGAGGAGTTCGAGGATTCATTAGGTTTGCTAACTACTACAGAGACTTTATTCCTCACTTCTTAACGGTTGCTATGCCTCTCACTCATCTGACAAAAAAGGACGTGGTATTCAATTGGACGAGCGAGTGCCAGCAGGCATTCGAAACACTGAAGGAACTGCTAGTTTGTGCCCCTGTTTTGACAAAATTCGACTCCGAAAGGGAAACCCGCGTACAACCAGACTCGTCCGGCTATACTATTGGAGGCGAGCTCTCTCAGCGATGCGAGGACAAAAAATGGCGCCCTGTCTGCTTTTATTCAAGGAAGAGCACCCCAGCAGAAGTCAATTACCCGATCCATGACAAGGAGCTTCTAGCGATAGTGAAGTGTCTCGACGAGTGGTCAAGCATGTTACGCAGTGTGAAGGAATTTGAAATCCTCTCAGACTATAAAAATCTGGAGTTTTTCATGAAGAAATAGTAACTGTCCGAACGATAGATGAGATAGGCACTGGAGCTATCGAAGTATAACTTCCGGATAATTCATCGACTAGGCGCCGAAGCTGTTGTCCCTGACGTACTCTCCCGACGTGACCAGGACTTACCGAAGGACATTACCGATGAAAGACTCCGAGCCCGTCATTAGCAAATGCTACAAGGAAGTATGGGGGACTCTGTTCGCCTGAACAAAGCCTACGTGCCCTCACTAGTTACAACACCTGGACTCCGCCATGTCAGGGTTGCAGCCGGGTGGGTTTTAGGAGGTGAAAGAGACCAAGAAAACGACGAGAATCGGACAAGTCGGACCCCCCTGAGAACCCATTTCTGGAAGACTACATCCGACGGCTCTGGGACCAAGGCCTTGAACGAAACAACCGGTATTGGCTTATCCGAGGTGCAGTGATAAGGGGCGATCGACAGTTCCCTATCCAATGGGGGCTCCCTATCTCTATTTCGGAGTGCTCTATCGATGAGGGCAGACGACTATGCTGGAAGGATAGGATATGGATCCCCTATTTTAAGCCCCTCCGCACGCGAATTATCCAGCAGTCACACGATTCAGCAGTTACCGGGCACCCTGGACGGGATTTATTCAAAGCAATCATTAGTCGACAGTTCACCTGGCCAGGATTATCGAACGACGTGCGTCAGTTCGTGCGGAATTACGATGTATGTGGGGGAAGAGCAGTATGGCGAGAGAAACGTTGAGGGCTTCTCAAACCTTTACCAATCCTAGACCAACAATAGAGCGAAATTTCTATCGACTTTATTATAGACCTACCGGATTCGGACAATAACACCTTCGTGATGGTCATCACAGATAGGCTGTTCAAAAGTGTTATCTTTGAGCCAATGAATGAGATCATAACAGAAGCAGTGGCCCGAACCTTAAAGGACTGCTTAATTCGGCATCATGGATTCCCCAAGGCTATTGTGTCTGATAGAGGGTCACAATTCGTCTCCCACATGTGGCGGCGTATTTGCAAGCTTATGAAGATCAAAAGGCGGCTGTCGACAGCATATCATCCCGAGACTGATGGTGCTACTGAGAGGATGAACCAGGAGCTCGAAGCGTACCTAAGATGTTTTACATCTTATTTCCAAGACGACTGGGCGGAAATACTAGCTATTTCTATACTAGCTATTAATAACCGAACGGCACGGTTAACCGGAATGAGTCCCTTCTTTGCAACATACGGCTATCATGTCAACCCCATCGAAACCAAGGAGAAACTACGAACGACAGGACAATCCCCCGTCGCCAAGGGAGAAGCTTTTGTGGCCAGACTTCAAGAAGCCTCGGAGATGGCACAAGCTATGATAGCCAGTGCTCAGGATCGGTACGAGGAATACGCGAACAATCATCGACAAACCTCGGAGCAATATAAGATCGGAGACAAAGTTTAGCTTAATCTTCAGAACATTAAGACAGATCGACCGTCGAAGAAACTGGACTGGAAGAACGCTAAATATATGGTAATAGAACTCGCTAGGTCGTATGCCGTCCGACTTAACACTCCCAGGGGTATCTATAACGTATTTCATGTTATGCAAATTAAACGAGCTGGTAACGACCCCTTACCATCTCAGCAAGTCCTGGAACCGCAGCCCCTGGCTATTCGACATGAAGACAACGAGGAGGTCTATTATGTCGAAAACATCTTAAAGCATAAGCAGAACCGTAGGACGAAGAAGATCATAGTGTTAGTTAAATGGAAAGGGTATACTAAGCTAACTTGGGAACCGCTGGAGGAATTCAACGAGATAACGGCCCTAGATGAATACCTCTTGAAAACCAACGACTTACGTCAACTGCTAGATGCTCATGCTGGAAAAGGAGGGGGATAATTGTCACGGTCTATGACCGGTATGTGGTCTCTGCGACGCCTTCGGCTAGAAAGACCCATAGAAATCTCCGAATAAGCTTCACTTCTCGAAGATTCCTGAAACGACGAGACGGGAGGACAGAAGGATAAAAGGGAGATGTCAGATAGGGCACCTGGTTCCTAGGTTCAGAAATAATATGGCACTAGAGAAGACTAGTGTCACTTAAAGTTCAGACGGCGAAATGAACCCCTCTTCCCGAAAGTAACTCCAAAGTTACGGTCCACTTAGGGGTCAGACACCTGAACAATGTACCTCCGACATTTTCTAAAGAATCTATAAAAGGCAGAGCAACGGGAGTTCGCGAGAACAGAACACAGAGAACAATACACCTCATTCATATACAATCTTACGCACTGCTGACTACCCGATTGGACACACGTGATATTCGACAGGAGAAGGGTTCACCACACTGAATGTATCTAATGTTTTTCTCTTTATAGATGGATAGTACTCGTAGAGTAGGCTAGGCTAATTGCATCGACATTACCCTTGACCCTTACATTAGGAAAAGGTACGCGACTTGCTTATAAACCACGTTGTATAGTCGACATGCTACTACTACTACTACTACTACTACTACTATAGTGGAATATAGAACTATTACATTTAGCCGGTTATCCGTGATGAATAAATATATTAGCAGCTACTCAGCTTATAGCAGTTCGTCATGTTCGAAAATTTGAACATCGGCAAAACATCGGTGGGTCATGATAAGGCCACATGCAAGGTTCCGTCACGCCGGTGATGGGGGAAGATGCCAAGTAAACATCTACGGTGCATCATGCCAGCTCTCGTGAGTTCTGCCGCCATTGACCATTCAAAAGTCTGATGTGAAAATCGCATTCTTGCAACGGCACGATGCGCCGTGGTGAACTTCTTTTCTTGGCTGGGCTCCAGCTCCAGCTCTGCGCAGCTCGCCAGCCCGGTTTTAGCATCCATCACGATCTGCTAGCATTTCCCCAGGTTAGTTCACTACTTTTCTGTTCTCAACTGACCAACCTACCTCAGAAGACCCATGACCATCACTAACACGCCGTGCAATCAGTTCGAAGTAGTTTTCTCGGAATCATACATCTCAGAGCCCGAAGCTAAGTCCTTGCTCGAAAGCGCCGCCGAACCGACGCAGCACCCGAGCTACGAAGCCGAGTTCGGTGACAATGATATTATATCACACGTCCAGCCCACGGCCAGTGGCGAAGCCAGCAATGATGGAGACCACACAGTCACCGAGACGTACGAAATCATGACGATGCATCCCCACCGCTATCTCTGCATCATCCCCGTCATCGAAGCTCCTCCCGCGCCAAACAAAACCGCAACCGAACTCGCCAAGGCCGAGGAGGCGCGGGAGCTGGCGCGAGCTACTACTCACGGCTGGGAGCTAGTCAATGAGCTGGATGGGACATGTCTATACTACGTATCAGGATGGTGGAGCTATAGCTTCTGCTACGGCCATGACGTGGTGCAATTTCATGCATTGCCAGGCCACAAGGGGGGACCGCCCGTGAGGGATCCCAATAGTCAAGAATACGTACTGGGGAGGGTGCAAGACTCGCAAGCAGCGGCGTCTGCAAATACGAAACGTGGCCGTGGTGGTAGGGCCGTGCCACCGGCAGTAGAGGCAGAGAGTAAGCCAGCGCCGGCAAACCCGGAGCTCCAGGTCAAGGGCGATCAACGGTACCTTGTGCAGCGGCTGGAAGACGGCACATTATGCGACTTGACCAACCGCCCGCGCACTATCGAGATCCAGTATCACTGCAGCCCGGGCGGCACGCAGGATCGCATCGGCTGGATCAAGGAGGTCACCACGTGCGCCTACCTCATGCTCGTTAACACGCCGCGCCTCTGCACGGACGTGGCCTTTCAACCCCCGCGTGAGCAGCCCGCCAACATCATCAGCTGTCGCACCATCGTGCCAGAATCGGAACAAGCAGCATGGCACGCGCAGAAGTCGCTGGAGGCGCAGGCTTCCATGGTGGGACAGCAGCAGAAGCAGGCTCAAGGTCCTGTCACAATTGGCGGCGTGGTTGTAGGCGGTCACCAACTTCTGGGAAAGGGCGAGGATGGCAAGGAAGCTACCCAGCTCAAGCCACCCCGGGGGTTTGGCAATGGGGGAGACGGTACCGTTGTCGAGATTGTGGCCATGGGCACAAGCAAGGAGGAGGGGAGCAAACTGAAGGTTCTAAGTGCCGAGGAACTCGAAGATCTTGACTTGAGTCCCGAGTTGATCGAGCAGCTCAAGGACCAGATGCAAGACTTAGCGGGTGACAGGGGTTGGAAGCTTGAAGTCGTGGAAGTCGCTGGGAACCCCGAGACAAGGGATATTCGGGGTATTGTGGAAAGTGAAGATGAAGAGGACGAGGGTGAAGGCGATGGTACCGATGCGAATAACGGTGAGGGGGGTGACGAGAGTGACGAGAGTGACAAGGGGAGTGAAGAGAAATTCTTCCAGAAGGATGAGTTGTGAAATAACTGTATGACCTATGGCATGGCACAGCATGGGCGTTATGAATAATGGAACATGAGCATGTCTTGATCCGTCTCGTCTGTTATGGAGCAAGTGACGAGGTTCACTGACAGAATCGCCTTACCCCTGGTGTATTACTATAACCTAATGGTTTCGATCTGAATCATATGTCACAGATCCACGGCGGCATTGCAGCAACTCCACAGCCACGAATGCGCTTGCTCTGGTCATTTTCAATCATCTAGAGCTAGAAACACAACGTTGCATATGGGGTAACCGATGGAGCCCTCAATCAATCTACGCGTTGATCACAATCTGTGCTAGAAAGTCGTCACAGCTGCAGCTAAGGAGCCAAAAATCCGCCACGGATGCGGCCGACTGGGCTCCTGGTGATGCTGTGGATCTTCGAAGTTTCCCAAAGGGAGTGTCTACGGCCATTGGCATAGATTACGGTCAGAAACGACCAAGCACATTACACACTACCTGGTGTGGCAGACTAGCAAATTCGGCATCGACCAACTTGGTCGCACGAAGGATAGGGGGGCCTGTCACTCGTTCCTCGTCAAGCATGATCATACCATCTCCTATTGGGATCACCCGCAAAAGATTAATGGGAAAGGGTGATAATTGAGTCTCGCCGATCACGCCTGTCATCAAGGGTTCGCGCAAGCGGGATGTCCATGGTCTGCAATTCACCGGTACAGCGGAGATCATCAACCGGCCGCAATATGGCACGAATAGGTAACACTATGCAGTATTCTTGTTACAGACCCCATCAAATAGGCTGGAAACAGGCCGGCAACAGGCCTGGAATCTTTCGAAGGAACACGAGTAGATGACAGGTCAGAGAGCACAAACAAGTCGGCGCAGATAGACGATAGACCGCCATTGAGAGAATCGCAAACAAGAATGAGGCTTGCTTCTTCTAGAGAGGACCGACCTATCAGCCATCTGGGGATTCCTATGGGTGGACATGCTGACTCAGAGTAGACTGGCAGGAGGCAAACTGCCTGACCTCGGATTCTGACTCATGGACCCAACAGCCACACGAGCAGGCAAACAGAAGTTTGCTTTGTTTCTTGTAGGACATTCCGTAGACCGCCATATTCGTGGAATTCAAATGGCAATAGCAGGGTGGAGCGGTCAGTCTATCTAGCAAGCAAGCGTGTAAGTGATTTCGGGTGATACAGGGGTCATGTGCCCACGCACGTGTTTGGCATACATCACAGGAGGATATTGCGGAAATACGATCTTTGAGTCAACTTGTCAGTATATCACAGGCTCGGAAATAGGGGTCGGAATTGACTGCATCCTGAAGTATTTGAGTAGACCCAGACACCGACTGAAATAGACAATAGTCTTGTGCGATTGAGTCTAATAATTGTGACGTGATTATTTCTACAAAGAAGCTGACTACCACTAGATACGTCCAATAATCTGAACACCATCCTCATCATTGAATCTAAAGTATAACACGGTAAGAGCCTCCGCATCTGATTAGTCGGGAAATAACTCGTGAGGCGTAGGAGAACGGTACTGCAATGCTCGGTTTCTTCCTCACTATGTGAATCCAAAGTCATGATGCGCCCGGAATCGTAGCCGATACGGGTTTGATGAAACTCCCACACCCGTTCGAGAGATTTTGTTTAAAGCTTACTTATCTAATGGGCATCTGCGTTATCTGGGCTGAAATTATGGTAGAGAAGTTATGTGAAGCTTGGCGTATAGAATTATTCTAAATTTCTACATGTATATCGCTTAGATTAACATTCCCAGTTATAATCACCTGCAATATTAGAGTATTGTAGTCAAATTTGAAACTAGACTGATGTGTAGCTATATAGTTAATATTATTGACTGGTAATGTTTGCCTTCGTACATGTAACTCTGGCTTGATCCACCACTTCTGAATAGCAAGGACCTTTTCATATGGTATTCAGTTCACGACAGAACGAGCTTCATACGTGTTTTGAGAGATTTCGATAATTCTCAAAGATGGAACTTGAATCCCTAGGTGTGAGTTGTAAGACCGAAGAGTTGGAGCTAGCCATTGGACCACCACTTCTACCAACGGGTTCATCAGAGCCGTGTTTAGCGTAGTGAAAATATGCCGCAGAGGGTATGACAACTTCGTTCGCGCAATAACCTGTACTGAGCTTCAACGGTGGAAAAAGAAAGACCAAAAGAAAAAACGAAAAAAAATAGATCAGTACGGGAGTCGGTGCGTCAGCCAATTTTGAATAGCTCAGCGACGACAGCAAATAGTCCATATTTGCGTGTATAGAATCGCCATATGAGCGACCCAGAATACAAATAAGGGACTAGCCTTCGTGTGTATTGACAGCGAACCTCGATGTTATAATGTATAGGGAATTAAACTTATGCCCATTCTTTTAGTTGTTCGAGGGTGGACTGCCTCGGGAGGAGCCGAGAAAATGGGATCGGCCCGCCCTACCTGTGCACTAGCTAACATCATAACAGTCTTGGTGCGTATCTTGCCCTTTAAGGTTTGATCTAGCCGATATGCCTGTTGGACCGCACCAGCCCTGTTCTGGGTCTTCTAGTGCCCAACGACGATATTAGAGTTTTCTTGGCTGTAGCGCGAGGTGGATGGCACGACTAAGTGCCCTACAAAACCCGGCACTTGCCGGTTTAGCTAGGTGTTAACCAAACTAAGAAAACCCATATTTTCTTGACTTTGTCCCAATTTGCGCCTGAACGTCCGGACACCTATAGCCCAGCCGACCGGCCCGGACTATCTGCTCCGATACACTCACTATGTACTCCGGGATCTTGTTTTTATCTACTCGAAACGCCCTCATGGCCCATCTGCGCTTTTGGGGGGATTTGGGGAGACCAGAGACATTTTCAATTCTATGCTTCGTTGTTTGATAATCCATTTACGCAAATAATATATCACTACGTATGGTTGTGATGGATTGCAGAGACGCGCAGTATCAGCCATTACATGTTTCATTCATTCATGTCCATGCGGTATCGTAGAGCCCATACACATTAACTCGTAGTCGTAACATTACCCCCTTGCGTCGTAGCATTGCCCGACTGCACATACTTCACGTCCATGGCCGCCCAAGTAGTCAGCAACCTCTCAAGCTCCTCATCCGTCACATTGACATTCGTTGCTCTCTTGAATGTCAAGCCGTCCGGCGCACAATCGGCAATGCCAACGAAATACTCGTCATGCGCTATGGTGTCGAACCCACTTTGTCCAGCATTGCAGTCTACATTTGCATTTCCCGAGCACACCTGCACGTCATTGATCGTGTAGTCAAGCGTCGTCGCATCCCCCGTGTAGAACCAGTATTCGGGGCTCGTATGGCGGTAACCAGTCCAGATGGGCGGCAGTCTCGGCACTGGATCGTCGGTGTGAGTGGCACGGTATTCAGCGCCGGCTTGCGCGGTGACAAAATCCGCAAAGTCGTCGTCTCCCACCCGAGGGGAGCCGTAGGTCCAGAGGTCGCAGGGGAAGCCTTGTTCACGCAGGTAGGCGGCCATGATGGTGCCGACGCTCGCGCCGAGGGAGTGGCCTGTCACGATGATCTTGTAGGACGGGTTGACCGCCATGGCCGCCGTCACGGCAGCCAGGACGGCCGACTTAGATTCCGTGAACTGTGCGTGGAAGCCCGTGTGCACATAGCCGCTTGCTACGAGGTCGAAGATGGGGCTGAAGACAAAGGATAGACTGGGTGTGTTAGTATGAGTATTTTCATCTTGACATGGTTTATCAGACCAGGTTGGTTGAAAACTTACTCGACAATCCACTGGCGGATCGATTGTGTACCCATGAACGACACTACCACCAACTCGTTCGTGGGATCAGAAGCCACGTAGACCTCGACATCTGTGAGCTTCCCTCTATCCACATAGTTGTGTTAGCTTGTGTTGACTACGGGCTAAGTGTGAATTGGCTTTTCTTACTGGTAAGTAGCTACCACGGTAGCATTTGCCGCCGTTACGTCTGAGCACACATCATTGGTGCAAGTCACGACGTCTCCCACCGCGGTATCGGCATTGCAATACGCAGCCCCAGCGTACTGAGCGTAAAAGGCAAAGTCGTTCAGTGTTGCTTCCGTGATTTCTGCAGCTACATCGTACTAGTCAGAAAACTGCATTATATCAACCAGTCAGACATACCTCGGCTCTGAAGTCTAACAACACCAGCCAGCGCAAAAGGCGTCCAGGCCGCGAAGACGGCGAGACCTGTGGGTCTCATCGTGGCCCAGGGTTCGCAAAAGAAAACTTACGGAAGAAAGCTTCAGAAGATGCAACAACCGAGTTGTCACCCATACAAGACCGCGGGATGCCTCTGGGTACTTATTGTTGCAGCGGTATCAGGAACTTGTCTCATGGCTAAGACGCGTTCGTCGCCAGTACGACATATTCCCCAGGATAACGCGGCTACAGCTCTTGCTAGCTGGCAACCGACAGTTTTCTCCACATAAATGAAATGAAAATGAAGAAAAGGGCCCAACAGCAAGAGGCCCCGCAAGCTTCGATCTTGCAGATATCAAATACCGAGCAGGGCCTATCCCGGAATATGGTGATGGATACAACACGGAGGTGGAGAACTTGGCAGGTCGGCGCCGACGGCTCACCGCCGCAGCAGCTCTTACATCAGCCCCTGCTATGAATGTGTCGATGATGGTGACACCGGAATTAACGCAATAGGCTGCCTTGTGTCAGGTCGATTGGAAAGACATCTTGAGGCAGGGCAGCGCCTACATTCTCCTGCACCAGAGCAACTGGCAACCACTGATTTCCGGCACTGCTTGACGGGATGGAACTCCCCGCATTCCCAGGCCAGGTGATCTGGATCGGAGATTTGCCAAGATCCAGGGACTACCCGAATAAAAGCTGCATACTAAGTATGCCAACATGGACAATGAGCACATTGCAGTGAGAGAACGTGGAGATTCGAGATGGGGCGGTTTGGCCAGGCTAAGCTTAAGCGAGGTATGTGTACGTAAGTAAGTGGATGCGATGCAACGTCGCTGCCACTGCCGACCGGCGCAGGCGGCGACGACGGTGGAATTCCGGGGCCTTTCACATTGCCTTGTGATATACTGCAGCCTGCAACAAGTTAGGACGTCCGAGATGTGGAAATTGTGATTTGGTATCTGTGATTTTATATGAGCTAGTCCTAGAGCATCTACGAGTACCCGCCCATGAAAATGCAAAAGCAAGACACCATGATCATGCGCACTTGTTAGCCCGGCTCCCGGCTACTCGGTATAAGTGACTCCACTTCCGCGCAATGGAGTGGCTCCACCGGGCCCCAGATAGATGTCTACTCAGAGCAGATCCCATCAATTGGTTCCCAACAAAGACAAAAATGAGCCACCAGGTTGCACCGAGGTTGAGAACATCACAGGCATCATCTGACCGTGCTGCCACCTGCGGTGGTAATTCCCATCATAACCAACCCAATCAAGTCAGGTTGGCCGAGGTCATACGCCCGAATTCATATATGACCAAGTATCATGGGCAAGCCCCAGCTGCGACAGTAGTCTTTGGGATGTCAAAAGCACCATCGGGAGTTAATTAGTTGAAGTAATTCGATGATTCTAGAGTATGCACTAAGCATTGCCCTCACCCTGCGCACATCTCACTATCTCAACCTCTGGAAACGTGCATTCCGTTCTTCCACGCGCCTTTTTGTTCTTGGTGTAGCCATATAAAGCCGTGGGCAGTGGGTTGTGGGAAGAATTGTAGGTTGATAGCTTTGCCGTTTGTCATGCCTGAGGTTAGTTATATCGGTGATATACCAATGACCAGAAACTTGGGACTGCCTTGAAAGTGGTAATATCTCAAGGCTTATGTGAGCAATGCGGGCAATAGCGCTGTATTGGTGATGATGGTGGGTAACTCCCAGGTATCTGCAACTACGGAAGGGTATCTACTATGTAAGGGCAGCTGGGCCCAAGCGCTACACACAGGTGGTGTACCTGGGCCAACACAACAGTTTAATCGCATTGACCGCCCTTTGAAACGCACCCCTACTTGCAACACTACAATCCCCCTCACGTGATGCTCCCTTTTCTCTTTCAACTCCTTTTCCTTCATAATACTATTATAAAGTACTGTCAGAGGTGGTTCGTGCGTAGCCACCACTACTACTTGGTTCCAGCCCACTAGCACTAGCCTAGCTTACCTGAATACATCACACTTCTATCTCTCTGTGTGCCCGACAAGTATTATTGTTTCATAGAGAATTAGAGCTGCTTTTGAAAGCCGTATCGGCGCATAAATACGGTATCTTACTATAACGCTCTTAAGATACGACTATAGAGTCATTTCGAAGTGAGAGTCCCAGCGCATTAATTAACGAGTATTGGCTCTTATTCGAGTTATGGAGACCCACTTACGAGATAGGTACATCCCGTTTATTCAATGAGCCTTTTTAGTGGATATAAGGATCAACTGCTAAACCTGGTTGCAAATATACAGTAACCTGTTGTAGCGGTTATATACGAAGTCCCGCGTATCCTTTCACCACTGCAGGGGCCTACCAGACAGGAATCAGGGATAACAGGTCGTCAGGGTCCAATCATATACGGCAAGAACATAATGCCCATTTAGGAGGAAGTCATAATTCTTCGAATATGTGACGATATTCGAACAGCTGGGCTTAGAAATGCGAAGCCGGAGAAACCTTGGTCATATCCTTAAGGAGTGATAGACTAGGCTTAGAGAGGATCAAATTCTACTCTATAATAGTAAGTTACCTTAGAAGACTTCTTATAAATCGACCTAAGGATAATAAAAGATAAAAGTACATACCTAATTGTACATATTTTCAAGCGTACATCTCCTTGTTTAGGTATAGCTAGTAGATGTGATTTACTAAACATATGAACCCTGTAGAATAGTCACTAAGGACTACTAATTACAACCTACGAGTTGAACTACCATTCTCTAAATGGATATTGTCCCCACAGCGCAATCCAGAAACTTGAGGGTTTCTGGTATTCGCCAGGTGGATGCTGGTGTAGTTGATCCAAGGTTTGGAGGGCACCCTCCTCGGAGACCAGGACCCATCCAACTGGTGGCAAAACTTGGGTGTGTGTGTGGGGGGAGGGCAGCCTGGCAGGTATTTCCCCACATGTCCGCATACGACACCTTGAAGCTAGTGGCGCTTGGGCAGGTCTAGTACATTACAGCTAGACGTTCGACCATCACTGCCGTGGCTTTGCATCCACATTTGCTGGAGAGGGATATAATGATGGACCAGTTCCGACTCTTTACATTTCAGACGCCGAAACTGGTAGTTGTGTTCGCGGTTTTACTGGGCGGGCTGAGAGCAAAGCTTTTGGGTGGAAGGATGGTGACAAGTCAGTGGAGCGTGGATGATTTGGTGGAAAGGTAGGAGCAATTTGTTGAAGTGGATTGTTGTGGGTGCTTTGATGGGGACGTTCCGTTCGGAGCGTTCAAGTGAATTTCTTCGAGAGATTTAAATCCGAGGTCACTTATACTCAGCGTGTAAGGGAGAGGTCAGGTTGAGTTAGAAACAGTTCTAAGGTTGCTTGTTCGGCTTCTTCTAGTGGGCTCATGACTTCCCCCTCCTTCCATTGTATTGGTGGCTCCTTTTCTGTCTCTATCTCTTTCCTGTATGTGGGACCGAACTGTCATTATGATCCCTCAGGATGACTGCTAGTAGTTTGAATTCCTGACTATGAGATATACGCCAACTTGCCACACTCAAGATAACTACCCAATTAGTAGAGCTCACACATGTAAAATATGTACTTCAGTTATCGTTGTCCGACAACTTGAAAATAACAGGAAGTATTTCGCGAGGAGTGCAGTCATACAACATACAAAATGCCGCAAGACCATTTTATAAGAACCTTAGTAATGCACAATACCGCGTGATGGAGCTGGAGTGTTTTACTACCAGGAGCCCCTGCCCTCTGATTGGCCTCTCTGCATTCTCTGCATTCCCTCAATTCTCGAACATGACGCCAACGGCGTTCCTCCCGCATCTTGCCACTAGCTCGAGGCTTCCGCTTAAACTTCCCCGCACTTCTGGGCTCTCTAGGACTTCCCGTCATGTGTAAGATGTAACTTAGATGAAAACTAGCCAGGAGTTATTTGTCGCTGAAATTATCGCTCTCTAAACTCTTTATTCTCTCGGCGCCGTTGAAGGCTTGCAGCTGGCTTGCCATCTATAAAAGTAGCTCCGGGGCACTCACAACATGCCGTGTGACGACACAAGTCCCAAGTCGCCGGTCCGCTCCACTCCCTTACCTGCCGCTGCCGTTGCTCGGGCCAAGATCAAGAGGGAGAATTCTGGCGGCAGCCTGGGGGGAGGTGGCCCAAATGAGCAGATCCAGAATCCGAGCCCGGGGAAGCGGACTGTGTGCGACCACTGTCGTCGAAGACGTGAGTGTTCTGTGTCACCCTCCTATCTCCCTATCTTCACTTGACAGCCAAGATCATACTTGCTTGCCATCTTCTGTCTCTGTCTTACCGACCAGACTTGACTCCCACGTAGTACAAGTAAATGCCAACTGATATATGCTTGCCCAGGCATACGCTGCGATGGCCAGTTTCCGTGCCAACAGTGTAACAACGCCGCGCTTACATGCAAACGCGAGCATGTCCCCAAGAAGCGAGGGCCGAAACGTGGGCACGGTCGAGTGATCAACGAGCTACGAGCTCGGGAAAAGGGTGTACGGGAACCCGACAGTGCAAGTGGCTCAGAGTAAGCTTCCTCAACTCTGTCTTCTCCTACGCAGTCCTACTGCTATATCAGGGAACCCATCCTCACAAAGACGCGTAGTGTCGAGGCAGATCCTTATCCCTCAGATCTAACGTCTACGGCCCCATCACCGCCCACACAGCCGTGGAATCCATGGACGACAGTGACCTCGGACTCGCGCAATGAAACCGAGTCCAAGGGGCCCTTTACCTGCGATACATTCCGACCTAAGAGCCGAAACTATCTCTACCTCGTCCCACAATGTGTCGACTTATACTACGAACACATCTATCCCATCATGCCTCTGCTCTACATGCCCACGATTCGAACCATCATCGCCCGCCCCATGACGCCATCGGAAAAGAATCTCATTTATGCGCTGAGTGCCCTGACCGCGCTCCATATGTCGGGTAGGTCGTTGTCAACCCCAGGTCCACCGTCTTGGGAATTGGTCGGCCGGTTCTTCCTCGACGAGTGCATATCCGCGCGGCAGTCATACGACTTCCCCGAAGACATGTCTCTCAATGCGGTAATATCCTCTTTCTGGCTAAGCACGAGCTTCTTCGAGATCAACCAGAGCCGCAAGTCCTGGTACTATCTACGAGAGGCGCTTACTCAGGCTATCGACATACGTCTGCATGACAATACATCATATGTCGGTCTACCGGTTGAGGAACAGCTTTGTCGTCAGCGGGTGTTCTGGATCCTATTCGTGACGGAAAGGAGTTTTGCGATCCTCAGGAATAAGCCCCTGACTCTGCGCAGGACGCCGAGTTTGCCGACCACGAAGCATGATTACGAAGCACCTGAAATCCATTCCGGGTTTCTGAAGCTCGTGAGCAGTTATGCGCCGCTGGACGAGAGTTTCGTAAACGCATGGAACGACGGGAATGATCCCCAAGTTAGCGCAACGACGTACCTGAACCTTCAGCAGATCCTCGCCCAGCCCCTGGATTTTCTTCGTCCGAAACGCAAAAGTCCAAGTCCGCCGCTTCCATCAGATGTACTGCCCCTATCCTCGGCTCCATATTCAACGAGAACCGTAACCTCAATCCCAGCCCCTGCCACAGCGTCAAACACAGCTGTCCAGCCCGATAACGAAGAAGACCCTGACCCAACGACGATCCAAAAAGCCGATCTCCTCGTAACCCAACAATGGCTCCGTCTCATCGTCTGGCAGTCCTCGTTCCGGCAGGGCCTCCTCTCCACCGCCGCCCCGCATGAATCCTTCACGTTTTCGTTCCCCTTAACCATCGCCCGCGACACCGCCTCGGTCCTGCACTCACTTCCCTCCCGCGCCGTCGAAGTCCACGGCATGGGCATCTTCGAGAAGATCTTTGAGATCGGAACCTGGTGCGTCAACGTCATGGGCGCGTACGATGCGGGAAGCAGTAGTCCATTACGTCCGTTTGACGGGGCTGGGGAGAATCCTGTCAGGGGGATGGATTTCGTGGGTGGAGAGCTGGCGTTTTTGGGTGGAGGGGGAGTAGGGAGGAGTGCAGCGACGGTCGACCCCGTGGAATTCTTCGTGAAGACGTTGAGTGCTAGCCCGAATAGTAGGGCCATGTTTGCTGAAAAGCTGCTGATGTTTGCCGGAGAGACACCGGGTGGGACGAGGACGACGCTGAGCCCGGGGCTGTCGAGTCTGACGGGGGTGGGGATACATACGGGGTGGAGTGATAGTGGTAGAGTGGGCCCTGGAGCGAGTGTAGAGGGGACTGTAAAACATGAACCCGAAGCCACAAGAGCATTGGCTTTAGATTTGGACCTGGAGTCGGATTTGAATTTGAATACGGATCGGGTTATGGGCAACGGTGATATCGGAATGGTCGGGGCCAGGATTGGTTTCGACATGGTCTCACGGCCTGGAACAGGGGCAACGACATATATGAATAACGACATTGGGTTGGGATTAATCAACACGCAGAATTCAGAATATAGCATGGCGGCGGAGAACGGTCCAATCTCAGCTGGTCTATCGGTATCTGCATTTTCAGAAGCGACCGAATATGGACTGGGTAATCCATTTGTTAATGGTGTTGGGCGGTCGCTCTCCAGAGACATGACGTTTTTGGGTAATGTAGATTGATTACGGGTCGGGATTTCAAGAATAGTGAGTACGATGACGAGGAAACCACTGGAAATGGTGTTCAGGCGGCATGGGCATCATCATCGGCGGGCCTTCCTGGGATTTGATGAGCAGGGCAATCAGATCAAATGCACAGGACTGTAATATAATGTAATGTCGATTCATGTATCATCGTGATTTTCACGAGATAGTGGCCTATGTTACACCGTGTAGCATCGAAATCAAGCTACTTGATACCCAGGTTTCAATAAAAACACTGCCCCCGGTACATCTTTGCCATTATATGTTGAAAGATGTGCAATCATGTGTCGTCAGTTGTTCCTGGACATCTTGACCTGTTCGCTATGCGTGAAGGTGAACCAGAGAAGACAGGTGGGAGTGAAATTGACGGTGTGCCTGCCCTGAGACCTCACTGACGTCTTCAACAAAACGTCAGTAAAAGCAAGGACTATTTTTTGATCTTGAGAAGATATACCATCAGCTGTGTCCGGGGGCATGACATTTGTGCTAGTTAGGTACGAGCGGTAGTGAAGATGATGGAAATACCTTTAGTCTTTGCATAGCGAAATATGGTACTTACGAGATCACGATGGTTCCATCCAAATATGCGGATGTTCGAAAAGCGATGCGGGGAAGCAGAACGCATATGTCGGAAATTGGTAACAGCAGAGCAGATCAAAAGCCTGCACCCGTATCTGACCTAGTGACATATTTTTTCGTGTCCCTCCCAGTCACAACGTCTGTGTGCTGGGTGCAGCGCTTGGGCTGATTGCCCATAGATAGCCCTTCCATAGCTGCAGCCTTCCGCTCTTACGTAGTAGTCCCGTCATTATCTCCAATGCAACCCTCTTGCCTGTATTGCCGACGCATATCAAGGAAGACGTCCTAAATAAATAAAGAATACCACGCTAAATTTTCCTCCGTAGGAACAGAGTCAAGGATAGGCAGAAATAATACGCATGCCGCTGTGTGCTGACGCCATGCGTTCTACATCCCCTTGTATAGGCCAGTATCAGTATATATGTAGACCAGCCAATAAGAGCCGGCAAAGTTGATGGTCTTATATAAGGATACTGGCACGGAAGAGTAAATGGCTAGCTCAAGAGCATGGGTCTATACTTGTAGTTCGTGGCCCAATGAAAAGTCGTTTGGTTAAGCAATGCCGCTGCATGCTACTGCAAAGTAACATGAAAAAGCGAAGCGCGCCCTAGATTGACATCACGTCCACTTGCGATCCCGTGAGCAGCATTGTACGAAATTATATGATGAAGCCATATATAATGATAAATCTTTTCTGCCAAGTCAACGGAGAATCTTCCACGAGCCTCATCACGAAGTAGATAGACACAATGGCGATCCCAATCCTCGAAATCCTCTCGCACCCCTACCTCCCAGCAGCGCTGGCCATTTCCACCCTCATCTACATCATATATTCATACACCAAATCCTACCTGCGCCTCTCGCATATTCCGGGCCCGCCGTTTGCCTCCCTAACGTACTTCTATCTCATCTGGCACATCACCACATACCGCCAATCCGCTCATTACCGCTCGGTCAACGAGCGCTACGGCCATCTCGCCCGCATTGGTCCCAACCAACTGCTAACCGATGACCCAGAAGTCCTCCGCCGCATGGGCGCCGCACGCTCCACCTACAGCCGCAGTGAGTGGTACGATGCAGCGCGTATGGACCCGTACCGCGACACACTCTTCTCAATCGGGGACACTGACGAGCACGACCGGCTGAAGGCCAAACTCTCGTTTGGGTATGGCGGCAAGGAGAATCCCGGGCTGGAGGACGGTATCGACGAGCAACTGAACGGGTGGGTCGCGCTGATCAGAAGGAAATACGTGTCGACCGACGAGAAGCTGCGGCCCATGGATCTCGCCACTACGACGCAGTACTTCACGCTCGATGCACTGACCAAAATTGCGTTTGGGAGAGCGTTTGGGTACCTGTCCACCGACTCAGATGTGAATGATTATATCAAGGAGGTAGCCAAATACATACTGGGGCTGGTGCTGTGCACTGAGGTGCCGTGGCTGAGGAAGATCTTGACGTTCCCTCTGCTGCTGAAATATGTGGGACCTAAGCCGACTGACAAGGCCGGCTACGGCAAGATGCTGGCGTGAGTTAGTCCATCTCTGTTCTCGAATTTGTCATTTAAAGCCAGTACAGTGTAGCAGAGGAGATTATTCGCCCACGGTTCGAGCCTGGAGCCAAAGATCACCAGGACATGCTCGTAGGTTGCTTGCGCCCGAGACGCCCCTGCGTCTGGATGACCTACTGACTTGGTTGGTGTAGGGCTCGTTCATCAGACACGGGGTATCACGCCGCGACTGCCAAGCCGAGGCGCTCTTTCAGATCATCGCCGGATCCGATACGACAGCCACGGCCATGCGAGGCACAATGCTGAACCTGATGACGGCACCTCACGCCTACTACACGCTGCAGCAGGAGATCGACGATGCAATCGCCAAGGGAGCCGTATCGAACCCCGCGAAAGCGGATGAAGGGAGGCAGCTGCCCTATTTACAGGTAACATCCCTTCATCTGTCATGAACCAACAAACTAGACCACTAAAAAGGGGCGACATAGGCCGTCATCTACGAAGGCTTGCGCATAAACATACCCTTTTCCGGCCTCGTATCAAAAAAAGTGCCTCCACGAGGCGATACCATCCTGGGGCACTTCGTTCCGGGTGGCACGAGAATCGGGCACAGTACTTTAAGTGTGCAACGATCCAAATCCGTCTTCGGCGACGATGCAGACCTGTTCAGACCTGAGCGGTGGCTGCATGTCAACACCGAGACACTAAATGAACTAAAGCAGCACGTCGAGCTGGTCTTCGGCTATGGGCGCTGGGGTTGTAGCGGAAAGTCAGTTGCGTTTATGGAACTGAACAAGGTGTACATCGAGGTATGTTGTTGACTCAGTCCCCTTCGGTTTGACAAGACAGTGGCTGAAGTATCATTATAAAGCTCTTGAGGCGTTTCAACTTCCAGCTCATTGATCCCATGCACCCCATGAATTCCTGGAATAATAACATGTTCTTCCAGGATAACATGTGGGTCAAGGTGACTGAGAGGTTCCCTGATACAAAAACTTGAGGGTGCCAATGACTGGTGGTGGTACTTGTGCGCAGAACCGACGAGTGGTAAACAGACGGCAGAGTGAGACCAAGCTGCACAGATCATGACTCCTTTAATCAAATGGAATCAAACCTCATCTTTTAATAATCAAAGTTGCGCGCTTGTGCAGCACTTGCAGCTTTTCCCAGATGGCAGTAAGAAACCGTCCCTCAACCTTGCCATCGTCGTCTCGAAGTGAGGGAAAGCTGGAGGGGGTGCCCACATAGAGCCTCACGCGTAAAAGCCAGCGCTTGGTTGATTTGACGTGAGATTCAAGTAGTAGAAGCAAAAGGCAGCCCTGGACTTGGATCAGGTTCTTACCGGGGCTTTCACTATTGGCGAACATTTGAACAGGCCAGCTCGGTTTCTCGTATATGACGATTAATGAGTGAAGCAGTAAGACCGACTTGGCGGTATCTCATTGATGTGTGCGACTTGCAGCGGCCATTCGAACCTGGTTACCATACTAGGTATCCGACACAAGCGCAAAACATCCACTCATTTGGCGCGCCAATCCACGACTGAACTAACACGTGCAACGTTGACTGCGTCGCTGATAACAAGTGGCTCGATGGGTCGTGAGCACTCGGGTGTCAACATGCACGCCCAAAGCTATGTCCCCAAGCTATGTAGCCTGCGAACGCCATGCGGAAGAACCTGGCGTCACGTCTGCAAGAACGGTGAGCAGCGCACGCCTTGACGCAGCGCCTACCGCACTCAAAGACTAGACTGCCTGGAGTAGTCAGCGCCATGTCATAGAATCCAACAGCAACACGGCGCAGGCAAAGGTTCATTTGGTTGGGAGTGAGTGTAGTTGGGGCGTATTGGACTGCACGTATGGAGACAGCTCATCAAACCGGCATTCGACGGTACCTAATGTGATTCAACTACGGTTCGTGGAGCGTAGAATTACCGACAATGACCAAGCGTTACCCAATTACTGGAGACCTGATGTGACTAGACACCGATAGTTGCTCAGTTTGCTGTAACATGGGGTCACACGGCCGGTTCGTTTGCCGAAATTCGGCGGTGACAGGCAACGCGGAGTCGCCTGGCCGAGATATCAGTTCGTGGGCGCGATGACACTTGCGCGCCGGAAGTGGCGGCAGCCGACGAGTGGCCGAAAGCTGAAGCTAATCTCGAGGGTTGTTCGAGTTTGAAGCCCCTCCGACGTTCTTGGAAGCAAGGAAGAAATGACTTGAGTGCAGCGCCGAGCAGTGGCCAAATCAGAGCCTCTACGACCCAAAGTGAGCCCAGCATTAGATTATCCATCGTACAACGTTTCCCCTCAGGTTGGGTTGCCGTAGATCTGTAACGAACCCAGCGAGCAAGTGTTGAAACATCTTGTATTACCAACCCAACCCCAGAGGGAGAGGAAACTGGAACTTGGGGCGCGGCACTCGGCGATCTGTCCAAGCTAGAGCCAGGTGAGATGAGACGCAGCTAAAATTGGCGCCGAAACTGGTCTACTATGTAAGTACGCATAGCCGAGCCTGCAGGCGCAACGAATTATGGGCCAACGCGAGTTGGACGACCGTCGCGCCGAGACTGCTTAAAGCCTTTACACTTGCTCTTTGCCGAGTGGCCATTCTCATGTTTGTTGGTGTGTCTCACTGCAGTTGCCGCGCTGGGATTCTGTCAGCACTCCCCGCATGTAAAAAATGGCCCATTGTGATGCGAAGTGAGCAGATGCAAGGGATCGCCCGCTTTGACGGCGGTGCATATGGTGTGCGATGTATTCGGACAAACGACACTAAACGGTGCGAGCAAGTCCTCCATTCACCACCGATAGTCGTGTCGAAGTCAAAGTCGTGTGTGTGTGAGTGTGTGTATGTTGCGAGGTGCAGATTGCCAATCTCATGACTCGTAATGAAAATTGAGTTGAAGCGGGACATAGAGTGGCTGTGAAGCCTGTGGTGAGGTGATGGCACCTGTGACTGGGCCCCTATCTGCATTCGCCATCACACTGCTTGTCGCAGTGAATTGAATTCGAGCTGCCAATTGCAGGGCTTTCCAGCGTCGTGGAACCTTCACCCACTCCGAGCGGATGCACCTCGACGGGTCTTAAGGTCCGTTCGAGACCGCTAAGGCCCCCTGCAACCGTCAATCACATCGCAGTGCGGGCTTACTGGTACGGTGGCCGCGATGCTTGTATCCCGTGATAGAGAGGGGAATGAATTCTGGTTGGCAGGTGTTTCGTCGTGAATCGTACACATGCAAGAAACGACCTGTCTCGGTACCGCTCCGGATACGACTGGAAGAGTCTCAAGTGGATGAGATTTGATAGCGAAGAAAGAAGTATTCGCAGAGAAGAGAACGCCGTAGCGCTGACGAAACTAGTTCAGGTGCGCAATATTGATAAAACACGACTGAGGCTAAACGCCTGGTTACCTAGCACTTCTAGAGTTGAGGAGGAACGGACCGATCGCTCTGAGTTGAAGACTGATGGTCCAAGCAAGCAAAGCCCCCTTTCATGCTTTTGAGCCAGCTCTCTTAGCGCCAGGGTCGAATTCTGGAAGATTTCGATGGGAAATTGATGCCAATTCGTTTTACTCATGCGGCATACGCCCACAACCCGGCCAAAGTGTATGTAAAGAGAAGTCATCGCGGTCCAAATTCAATGGCGGGGACACTAACAGAAACAACATGCCCCGCTAATCTCGCGTTCCTGAACGTCACTCAGCTGGTCAAAGCTGCCTTATCCTTCCAGGGATTAGAACGCGGAGGACCAGGAACTCATCAGCTCTCACCAGGCGCGGCTTCCATTGCAGCCGTACAGACCCGCTCGCCATCGATATTATTGTCGCCTGATTGGCTGCCAAAGTTGGACGCATGGGAGGTTTCGAGATGAAGCAGGCATCTCCTTGCCGTCCCTGCTATCGATACCTGGGGTGTTTCCCTTCTTCCCACACCACAGTGGGCCATCGTTGACAGGATGTCTGGCATTCCTCCTCCTCTCTCTTGTTATGACGGTTGAAATGATGACTTTTCTTTTAATCTCTGTATTTTTTAGTATTGATTCTCTACGTCCTTGGAGTAGAGATTGATGTCTCATTTTACTCCTTCTTTCCTCTTTGGCCCAGCTCCTTCTCACGACTTCTGATAGATCGCGTTTGTTGCCACGACCCACAGCTTCTTGAGACACGGCAAGACATGCTGATAATGGATGTGCCAACATCCAACTGATGATCCAACCTCTCGTCTTGTTTCGATTGCTCCAATTGCTCCAATTGAGCTAAGGTACCCTATCTGTTTACAACAACGCAGCCAGCCATTCCCCACGATCGAATTTCATGGTGGGTGGTGATGGTGGAACAACAACAACAGCAGCAACACACCGGCATTGGGCTGTAGTCCTCGATAAAGGCTTGCCGTCTCGTGCCCAACGGTAACGGCATAAGCATTGCCACGACTAGCGCTTCATCAGGCAAGGCTCGCACCGAAACCCGGTGCTGGAGCCAGACAGGCAATAAAACCTCTACTATAGACGCCGAAGCCGCCATCACGGGGTCATCCCCCGTTCAACACGGCCGGTAGTCGACCTATCACTTACAGCTGAATGTGCTCTCATGTAAAATCGACCTGCTATATTTTTCGACTTGTTAATCCCCACAACCCAAACGCTGGCTCCTCTTTCCAGCATCATCCCTACAACCCTGTCCTGCCAAAGCTGGACCAACAAGGACGTCGCCCGGCATACGTAACGGCCATCCAATCGACATCATCCTGGAGACCTGGTTTGCCTGACTTACATCCAGGCTGCTTGCATTCCCGGTGGTTCAGAACGTTTTTCTGTCTTGTAAACATACCTGAGTTAATATCCCATCAAATACGAGAGGCGAGAATTCTGCAAGCCTGGCGTAATGGATGGGAGCGGCTGCCAACGAGAGCCAAGGGATCACTCTCGCCCGCCTCCCTCTTCTCGCGCGCCGTCCCGGTCCAGCACTGTCACCAGCAGTACTACAAAAACACGCATGACTCCCCAGAGTTCAAACAGTTCCTCCTCCACAAATCTTTCACCAAAACAGCCAGCGGCTTCGCATCATACCCACAGGTATCATCACAGCCGATGCGGCGGCGACAGCAACAGCACTACTTACACAAGACCACTTTCAAGGCTGTCGAGGGAGGCAAGCGAAGAATCGAGGTTATCGGCAACACCGCAGCCAATGTCCAACTTACTTCAGGATAGACTGCAAAGGGAGAGGAAATCCGGAAGAAGGATGAGTTCGGATTTGAGCGCATCCGTGGGCGACATGGTGACCCGAGATGTCCAGATTTCGCCGGTGCGGAGAAGTGCCACCACCATCGGCCGACGGCCTCGATCGATCAATGGCGACGAGGCCTCTGCCAAGAAGAAGGGCGTGGGCTTCAAGGAGATGGAGCAGGTAGGGACAGGTCTTGGTGACACTACAGATATGACAACTAGTACTGACTTGTACCTCCACAGACCATGTCAACATTGCACAAACAGAACTTCGACCTCAAGCTGGAATTGTTCCACCGACGCGAGCGGCAGGCAATCCTGGAGGACAAAATGGAGAGATTGGAAGCACACAACGCGGAAATGATGGAGTTGCAAGAACACTTACTGGGCGAGTTGGAGAAGCGAGACAAGGCGGTCGACGAGGCAGTCGCCATGATCGCTCGGTTAGAGGAAAGGGTGGAGGAGCTGGCGAAGGAAAGGGAAATGGTTCGGCAGGTGGAGGCAGATGGGGCCTACCTGCACTCTCGACATAGTCCATCAGACCCAGACGCAACTGCGACATCGAAAGCTAAAGAATCCCCGAAGCATCAATATGCCGAACCTAAGACGCTCAATCGTATGCCCAGCTTTCTGTCGGAGCACAGGGAACACACCGAAAACTTGCGAAATGTCGTTCTAGAAAATGGTGGCAGCATGTTCCACCTGCGCAAAGTGTCCGACTCGAGCGCCGACCCGAGTGAGGTCAATCGGGTCGTCAGTCCGAGTCTCAGCGTGCTGAGTGAGAGCTCATTCACGAGCGTCTACGGTTCTAAAGGACCTGGAGACCCGATGGCGACTTCCTTGCTGGCGCAGGGTGCGGTGCAGGGTGCAGTGCCAGAGCTCAGTGACGATAATTTCGTCGTGTCGCTCACACGGGGAAAGAAGCAGAGCAAGGGAAGTTGGACAGGTCAGCAGGGTAGCGCGGCCCTGAGTCAAAGGTCCCTGGAGCCCTCTAAGGGAGGAGCCAGCCTGTCTTCTCAGCTGGCATCACTCAATAACCTGCTTGAACTCAGTTCACCCTTGCAGCAGTTGGAGATGCTGGAGAGAAGGTTTTCCATTGCGGATGATGGTTCGCGACCGTCGACATCGAACCAAGGGCGGAACATGACACGAACATCTTCTCAGCGCCCGTCCCAGACTAAGACGAAACAGGAGAAGCGCGAGGCGTTGCGCAAGGTACTCACGCCATCTTCTGCCTCGAGAGAACTTGGTACCGCACATGTGCTGCCGCCGACGCCGGACACAATATCCACATCGACACTGCGACGCTTTCGCCACTCTAACGACACACTTTCAAATGAGTCCCGTCTGACAGCCCGTGACAGCTTCCTCAACGACGGTGCGAGCGTAGCTTCAGTAGATGGGCCATCACGACCTCCAGTGCAGCAGCAGCCGCTGCACCCCGACAGGTCGCCATCTCAGCCAGCATCCATTACGGCCTTCAACAGCCGCAAGAATATTCTCCCCGCCATTGACACAAATATCTTCGCGGATTTCAGCCACGTTGGCCATCCCTTGCCTGCACGGCCACGTTCGACAGAGGAGACCACCATCTCAGGCACACAAGCTGACACGTGGGCCGGGGATTCTAATTCGGACTCGGACGGCGGCGGCGCCGATGCTCACTCGGACGACAGTAATATTAACAGCAATTTCGACCCCTGGATGCGTGAGCGCCATGGCTCGAAGGCCAAGAAGCGTAGCAACTCGCCTGATCTCTTCAGCTTCCCGGAGACTTCGGGTGGCTGGGAGACGGAAGCGCTCTTCGGGGCCATACGTAAGAACGGCTTGATGAGTCCCGTCGCCGGTCTGAAAAGAGACCCGCTAGATGAGATGGCTCCCAGCGTGAGCGGTATGATGACGCCCCGGACGGCCGTCTTCATGCCACCAGCGCCAGCCCAGAGGGATGGAGGCTTCCTGCCTCCTAATCGTAGGAGTAGCCTTCATGCTCGCACGGGATCCTTGAGCGGTAACGTCATCGCCCCCGCGGCTGGGAAGCTTAGGAAGAATCCCGCCCGGAGTGATAGCGCCAACGGGATCATGGGTGGCATGAGACGGAGCAACAGCATCGACACTGCGGCGGTGGCGATGACGGCGGCCAAAATGCAACAAAACCAAGCTTGGCCTCAGACTGGTGGACATGAACAAGGTGCAATGGTGGGAAAACGAACCCAATATCCGCCTATCTCAGGTCAGAGCCAGGGCCAGGGCCAGGGCCAGGCGAGTCATAGCAGACGGTTTTCGGGTCTTGGGAAAGGACTAGGATTGTTCAAACGCGACCGAAGCGACAGCGACAGCCAGAGCCTGGGTGTTCCGCCTTCCGCCACGACAGGTGCGACCTATGCTGCCGATGCTCGCCAGCCTTCTGTGCAGAGCCACGGCTATAACGTAAACATGTGCGCAGGACGTAGTGTGCCGCCACCATCGGCCATGTCTTGGGCCTTGCGAGCACCTGTGGCGTTTGACGACAACCTGGGCAGTGCGACGCCGCCTCCTATCATGCGCAATCGCGCCCCCGCTCGGCAGTTTGACATGGGAGTGGACGGGCACGGCGACGTTGCCATTCCGTCGATGCCGCAAGGGCAGCGGGGCGGGGACGTGAGCGGCGGAGATCCTAGGACCGGGACTGGCAATAATAACCTGCAGACTACAGGCCGGAGGAAATGGCTGAGTGGTCTGGGACGGAGGAGCAGTGTTAAAAATAAGGGCACGTGAAATGCTCACGGAGGGTGATGACCATTGAGATCTCTACCCATTTGAGCACACGGGGCCATGGAAAATTGGGTCATACGAACATGCGCAAGAATCCACTGAAGATAGACATGTGAAGTTTCCCGGTGGGGGCGTGGGTGGGGGGCAGCTCGATGACAAAAACTTGGATAGGTAAACCCAGTACATGGAATGATTTGGGGATTGGGATAAACCGGTAAGGGAGGTTGCAGCAGTCATCTCAGATTTGGACTGAACTATGGCTTCCGTGGACTGCAGACAGCCATGGCGCAACAAGATTGAATATGATGGTGGGGCCAGAAATTAGAAAAAGAATGAAGAGAGTTCCTAACTATTTTGCGTCAAGTCGCGATGCTCGAGTGCCTTAAAGCCTGGTCTCATATTGACCGAATTGATTATCGATACGGTCAATATGAGACCAGGCTTTCCGAGGGGAGTCGAGGTGTAAATGATTACCTGCTGAAAAGCTCCGTGGAATCTGCTCCAAAAGCGACGGCATCGTGTAAGTTAAGATTGGGAGAAATTTGTTTCCAGGATCTCGGGTCGCGTATCAAAGCGCGCTAGCGCAGGTCCCGGTACGGCGGAAACGGTTGACATCACCACTTTGAAGTGGCACCTTCACTCCTGCACTCATCTACATACCCACCAAAACATCGTAACTGGAGTTTGTGTGACCACGCATGTTCAGAATCTGCACGAGGTCGCACGAGGTCGATTCCAAGTTTCTGATCGCCAGCTCCAACTTTGGGAGGACAATGGCCCGAGGTGCAGTCACAGCGAGCGCGCCCAGCGTGACGCCCGCTACTCGGCGGAGTGAGAGGAACTGGAAGCAGGCCAACCAAGAGGTGACCATCAAGAAAGAAGACCCATCGTCGCCAGGAGTCCCAAAGCATTCACAACGCACAGCGTCATCTGCAACTCCAGATCGAAGGAGCAAGCGCATCAAGACGGAACATAAGTCGCCACATGTCCAGACTCCGCCAGCAAAGAGGGTGAAGGCCAAATCATCATCAACACCAACCGCTGTCGTCAAGCCAGAAACCTCCAGCGCCAAGACAAGCGACCACAAAAAGACGCAAGCAGACAAGGCAGCAGACTTACAAGCCAAGAAGCTAAAGTCCTACGCGCAGTTCGCCAACCAGTCACCCTTTCCCTCCTTCCCGCACCCGACCCCGGCAGAATGTGAACTCGCCCACCGCATCCTCTCGTCTCTCCACGGGGCGCGCACCCGCCCGGAGAAAGTTGTAGCACCGACTAACACGGCGGGCTGCGGCAACTCATCCTCGGTCCTTGACGCCCTGGTCCGAACCATCCTGTCGCAAAATACAAGCGACAAGAACAGCTCGCGCGCTAAGTTATCCATGGATAAAGTCTACGGCGGCAGTGACAAGTGGGACGCCATTGTTGAGGGCGGGCAGGCCAAACTACAGAAGACAATTGAGAGTGGGGGCCTGAGCGTCGTGAAAAGCAAGGTAATCCTTGGCATTCTGCAGCAAGCTAAGGAGAAGTACGGGAAGTACTCACTGGACCATCTGTTCGAGGCGTCGGACGAGGATGCCATGCGGGAGATGCTCGCCTTCCAGGGTGTGGGGCCCAAGACGGCGAGTTGTGTTTTGCTATTTTGTCTGAGAAGGGACAGCTTTGCTGTTGACACGCATGTGTATCGTATCACAGGGCTGTTGGGGTGGAGGCCTAAGGACAAGGAGTGCACGAGGGAGCAAGCGCAGGCGCATTTGGATGCGCGGGTACCGAGAGAGGATAAGTATGGTTTACATATCCTGCTAGTTAGTCATGGAAAAGCATGTGAGGAATGCAAGGCGGGGGGGAAGAGTGTGGGGAAATGCAAGCTGAGGAACGCGGTCAGGGGGGCTAGGATTGAGGGGTAGGTCAGCGTGGGAGACAAGAAAGAGGAAACCGAGAAAATCAAGGAGGAAGAGAGTGAAGTTGAGAGTGATTGAGATGCGGTTCAGAGCGCAGTCGAACAAGCTTTGCGACGCCACTGATGTGAGCAAGGTTGGCATTTGGATGACACGAGACAATGCAGCGTGACGCCGTGCAAGTTTGGGCTTTCATCACCGTTGAGCTCATCACCATTAGCCGAAACGAATATATTATTTGGTTTACAGCGTCGCATAAACTGACCGATCACAAGGCACGCCTGCCGTCTACAAAGGGGTGCGTTGCGCGCCCTTCAACATGATGTAACGTGCCACACCTACATCCGGGACACCCAAAAATACCTTATTAACACCGCTAGCCCCTAACTTCAACCTTCTTTATATTCACTGCAATTAATTCATTCCTTACGAAATTTTACGTATAGCTTCTTTGCACTAATATGAGTTAATATACCGAAGATAATGTTTATCGGGCTCTCCAAGTAACAACTAACGGTTGAAGCCTCCGAAAAGCGGTATATACGCATAGTATCCTAAGGTCCACTCATTTACGCCAGATTCAGGGAGCCTAGTTAAAAGATATAGCCTTCTCTAACTACTAGAGGCTCTCCCTAGCCTAGGAAGCCTATCTAGCTGAATAGTGTCGACGGGCAGTGAATGCTCGTGTGTCAGGTTACGGCCTGGACCGAAGGCGATAGTACAGAGTGAAGGGGAGAAATAGGCGTGTCCCCCTGGTGGTCACCTGGTGGTCACTGGTGGTCACTTGGTGATGGCAGGTAGGGGTGTCCACAGTAGTTCATTGATCTCTGCCCTCTCTATCTTCCTCCGTCTCGACTCCTTACTTATAGCCAGCCGAGGTTCTCTCTTGGATTCTGGATGTTTGCTTCCGTATGTCTGTGTTCCTCCGACTTCGGCCAATATCTTGGATAGCGGCTCCTTATCTGCAACCAAGCGATTCCCTATCCGCTGCAAACGGCTTCAACGGCTCTCATTCGCCACAAGCGGCTCTCTAGCCGCCACAAACGGCTTCCCGGCTCCTCATTCGCCACAAACGGCTTCCTTCCTGGTGGAAGCCGGCCCGCCTCGGATGCTCTGACATCGTGTCACGCCGCGCCAGGGGTTGCAATCCTTGCCACTACGCCACCGTACCAGATGTCTTCACCAAAAGAGACCAATACCAAAGTCCCTGACTTTGATATCTGCAACCACTTATCAATCTGTTCAGACCAGTGTGGGTCAATCACGTGACAACCGTCACAGCTTGAAGGTTCAAAGTGTGATAATAGCAACGGACAACAAGACCTTACTATCCGGGAGGTGGAAAGAATAACAAGATCGAAGCTTTCTCACTCCGATCAGAATAACAAATACCTCAACAGGTACTAACAACTGGAGCATTAGTAGGCAGAGGGAGAAAATGGCCTTAACAAGTTTTTGAGCGTATTACCTCTGAAGGTGAAAGATAGGAATAATAGCCTTGACAGGCACAAGCAGATCTATAGGGGCAAGAAAAGTACCTTAATAGGTACGTGAAACAGGATAAGACCTTAGCAGGTTATTAAAATAACAAATGGCTCCATAGGCAAAGAGAATTGAATCAAATTACTATAGAATAGGCCGCTTGATTCTCTGTTTTTGTCAGAGTGCTGGATGCATAACACCAGTTGTGCACCGGTGTAGCACCGGTATAGGGACGTGCGAGTTATAACCTAATATGGAAGTCTTGGTATACTAAAGAATCGGAGGAACTAGTGCTCTACGGCTCCGACTCCGGGCTCTAGCTAGCTGTAAGGAAAGAGCCGTTGTGGCGGGCCGGTCTCAGCTGACAAGCTGAGTCGGGAGGGATTCGCCCCGATCCGGTAAAACCCCGGAACCGCCCAGCTTAAGAGGAGAACTCGAGACGCTCGCACCTAGTTTAGATTCTTCAAGAATCAGTCTTGCAATATACGCACCCATACACTGGCCTACTTCTAGCTACCCTTTGCACTACCTGACTATTATATTGTGAGACGTGTGGTATCCTCGTTACACTAGCTATGTAAAAGAAGGTACCTGGGAAGAAGATAGCGAGGTTAGAGATCAATGAACCACTTTGGGTACCCTTACCTGAGACCGCTAGTGACCGCTAGTGATCACCCGGTGCTAACCAGGAGGGACGCCTACTACGCCCTATCACTCTGTGCTATTGCCTTCGGCCTCGCTGCAACCTGACAGTTTTTCTTTTAAAACGAGTGACTACTGTCGAACATCACGTGTGTCCAATCGAGTAGTCAGAAGTGCGTAAGATTGTATATGAATGAGGTGTGTTGTTCTCTGTGTTCTGTTCTCGCGAACTCCCATTGCTCTGCCTTTTATAGATTCTTTAGAACATGTCGGAGGTACATTGTTCAGGTGTCTGACCCCTAGGTGGACAGTAACTTTGGTGTTACTTTTGGGAAGAGGGGTTCCTTTCGCCGTCTGAACTTTAAGTGACACTAGTCTTCTCCAGTGCCATATCATTTCTGAACCTAGGAACCAGGTGCCCTATCTGACAACTACATACACAGATCCTTAAATACCGTTAAGAACACGCTTACATAATTCGTCCGAAAACAAAAAAAACACCCAAGAACCCTATCTCTAAGTCGATATATAAGGGGAAGTCTATCTACCAGTAGTAGTTTGCTCTTAATCTAGCTCTATACAAAGCCTAGAGGTTCATAATTGTAAGGAAAGAGCCGTCATGGCGGGCCGGTCTTAGCTGACTAGCTGAGTCGGGAGGGTTTCGCCCCGATCCGGTAGAACCCCGGAACCGCTTAGCTTAAGAGGAGAACTCGAGACGCTCCTACCTAGCTTAGATTCCTTAAGAATCAGTTTTATAATATACGCGCCTATATACTAGCCTATTTCTAGCTACCCTTTACACTACCTGACTATTATATTATTATTATTATTAAATACGCCGTAGGCTCGAAGCCCCCGGTACCTCTGCTAGTACTCCCGTATGTCAAACCGTGCCCTAATGGCTGGACTAAATACATACGCTGCGTCGTCGGTTCGCCCTATTGGCGACTGCGTTGCGTCCACTACCATACTACGTTGGTTCTCAACCTACCAACAAAGTCCCCCCTGAGAAGATCGATGCTATCTGGGCCTTGAAGCTGTCCGACCCGTCCCTAGCAGCCACCTTACAATAGTCCCACTAACTACTGGTTCTCCTGTTGCCGTTGCGAGGTCTCTGCGAGAGTATAGTGGCCGTGGTGCGATAGCGGCCCGTAATCGTTCCCTCGGTCCTTCCAACAGCCCGCAAAAGAGGATTACGTGCTCTGCCGTCTCAGGGGCGTCGCCACAGCGGCATAGCGGCGAGTACACGCCAAAAGCCCCTGTCTTGAATAAGAAGGCTGCTAGTCCTATTTTTTCCGTCCTGATCTGGCACAGCGTAGACGCCTCCAGTCGGTTCAGGCCGAAATACTTGCCCCTTTCGGTATCTGCATGGAAGGGCCCTCCGGTTCCTTGTCACGACCTGGGTTGCATCGCATTGGTATAGACCTCGATTAGGTGCTATCGACGAAGATTCTACTCTAAGGAGCGAAGGAAAGAAGATGACAACTTAGGTTTGAGGGATCGCGACTAAGTCATCCACGCTTGGCGGGGCTCCTACAAGGGTTATGATTGGCTTCCCATCTGACACTGCCACGGCAGGTGTTCCAGCTGTAAGTCACCTGGTTGTAGTGAGTCTGCGAGGGTTGACCGTCACATTCCTCAGCGATGGCGCGTCGCTGGCGATCGTGATGCTCTGCTCCGGTGAGCCATCTCTTCCTCCAGTGGCCGAGGAGGGCAGCCGGGACCTCCTTTTCCTCACTGATCCACTCGGAGCCCCGGGCCTCCTTCTCCATAGTGTACCCTGCCGGTCGGAGTAGCTGCGACGCCTGCTTCCTCTTCGCCGGTCTATCCTGCCGGAGTATATGTGACGCTTTAGCGCTCGCGCTGCGAAGCAAATTTCTCTTCCCGCTAAGCCGTAGCCGTTCTTCAAACTTAGCAGCCCGGGCACTAAGATAGAGGTCTAGTGGCGGGATTGCTGCTTCTGCTTCCAGGTGGCGAACCGGCGTCGCTTTGTGGGCGCCACAGACTACCCGGAGGCACTCGTTCTGTATCCCCATCAGGCTCTTAGACTATTATATTATAAGACGTGTTGTATCCTCGTTATAATAATAATAGAGAATAGGTGGACTTCAGACTCTACTACTAATGTGAATGTCAACCCTCGCAGACTCACTACAACCAGGTGACTTACAGCTGGAACACCTGCCATGGCAGTGCCAGATGGGAAGCCAATCATAACCCCTGTAGGAGCCCCGCCAAGCGTGGACGACTTAGTCGCGCTCCCTCAAACCTAAGTTGTCATCTTCTTTCCTTCGCTCCTTAGAGTAGAATCTTCGTCGATAGCACCTAATCGAGGTCTCTACCAATGCGATGCAACCCAGGTCGTGACAGGTTTCGCAAACGCTAAACAACCCGATAGAGGCCCTCTCGTAGTCCGATTTTATTCATCGCCAAATTGCCGGATATCAGGGAAGTGCTCTGACCCTAATTTATGATACTATTGGCCACCTTGCGAAGGGTATAACTCGATTAGCCTATAAGAATACCCTCTGAAGGCTGAGTGGTCTACCCTTCGCAAGGCAAATAAGGCACTAAGCAAGCAAGCGTTGCAGGGCGAAAAAATCCCGTGTCCGGCAAGGAGGTGTGAAGGTCAACCCTCGCAGACTCACTACAACCAGGTGACTTACAGCTGGAACACCTGCCATGGCAGTGTCAGATGGGAAGCCAATCATAACCCTTGTAGGAGCCCCGCCAAGCGTGGATGACTTAGTCGCGCTCCCTCAAACCTGTCAGGGTACGGCTAGGCCGAAGGCGATAGTACAGAGTGATGGGGAGTAACGGGCGTCCCTCCTACGTAATACCGGGTGGTCACTGGCGGTCTCAGGTAGGGGTGCCCACGGTGATGCATTGATCTCTACTCTCCCTCTATCTTCTTCCCGGGCCTCCGCCCCTTACATAGATAGCTAGAACCCGACGTCGGAGCCGCGGAGCACTAGTTTCCCCGATTGTTCCGCAAACCAAGACTTCCATATCGTCATGACTCGCACATTCCTACACCGGAGCCCCACCGGTGTCCCACCGGTGCCTATGGCATTCTGTTCTCTGACAAAACCTAAGTTGTGATCTTCTTTCCTTCGCTCCTTAGAGTAGAATCTTCGTCGATAGCACCTAATCGAGGTCTCTACCAATGCGATGCAACCTAGGTCGTGACAGGAGGTACACTTATTGTCGAGGATTCCCTGGATATCTTGGCCCGGAAGGACGCGGAGGCCTAGGTAAAAGAGAACGAGTGCTCTAGGGGGGCAAAGAAAAAGCTCGTCCTTCGACTATACGACGATATAATAAGTGTAAGAAGACCGGAAATAATATACAGACTTGTCGGATCGAACCAGAATTATTAGATGTATATAGCTTTGACTAATTTTCAATTAACTTTAGTCTGTTATAGCTATTTAATTGAACTTGAAATCGTAGTACGGTAAAAAGTGCGCGACTCGGTGTTAATCCGCGTTAGTAGTTTTTGTGTTTTTTTGTAAAAAAAATCTCGTTTATTATACCGTCTTATGCAAGCCTACGGCTTGTGAAGATAATAGTTCCGAAGACTCGAGGTATAGCGGGCAAACTACCCAGTCCTATACATAAGTATAACCCTGTACTGCGAATTTGTATCCTCCGTAACTATTATTTTCCCTCGCACTTTGAGCTTTCTGGATTTAAACGGGAAATTAAGTTTAATACCGGTGTAGGGCTGTAGATTCTTTAGTAAAAATCCCAACTCTACTAAATTCTTTCCTGTTACGAACCGTTGGCCCTAGACCAACATTACAGGCCCGTTGGCAGGCCAGGTGGATACAGACGCTAGGATCACGGGACCCCGCATCGGAGAAAGGAAAAGACCGACAGGTCACGTGACCTACAGAGGTGGATATGTGGATCGCTATATATCCAACATATCCAACTCACAGGATATGTTGGCAGAGAACATATCCAAGTGGGGATCAGTGAAGGAGAGACGGATATATAAGGGACAGAACTCCCAGGCATTTCATAGATAGACAGTCTCTACTTCAGTGATCAATCTAAGCATCAATCTAACCCATTGGTGAGGCAAACTGCATTGATGACTCTATTCCCAGTTACCCTACTTGAATACTTCAGTTACCCAGAGCCCTATACTCCATACGTCAGACCCCGATATTATTGCTTGAGGACTCCGCAGCAGGACTTACTTACTAGTACAAACCCTTACAGACTCTTTAGTGGTTTACGCAGCTAGACTATTAGTGGTTTCGTTACATTTCCCTATCACTTTCGTAGTAGGCATGCGTTGTCCCTATAACCGCCGCCGGATTCGAACCGAGCGTGCTCATCGCCGACCCAGACGTTAGCCTGTGTTGCAGCGGCTAATACACCAGCCAATTTTAGGACCGCTAAGTTAAGCGGGTGGCTTAGCTATTTATATACTACCAAAGGCAAAGAGTCTAGAATTCCTGGACTATTCTTTCCCTCTTTCATCCTGTAATTAGTTTTCGTTGAGTGACTTCACAATCGGGGCGGATGGCTATCATATTGATAAATATCACACAAAGTCGGATACACATCTGTAGGGCGTAGCACACGCACGTGGGCGCGGGATTTAGTTCATGACACCCCTAACCTGATTCTAATCTAAATCCTTCTGTCAATTATTAGTCAGGACCCATGCTAATTTCACCCAGTCAGCTTCATGGATATCCTGATACCTATCTTGTGTGGAGCTGATGTTACAGAGTTCTGATCCCCATTGGCACTATATGGCTGGTTCCGCGCCACCTGGGGGCATATAAATATTTGAGACTTTTTCGATCTATTGGAGATCACATGAAATTATCACGCCGCTTTGCACTTTGGGGCCAAATAATATGCCAATGAGTTGGTGCGGGTGTGTGGCTTATACCAGATAACATTATGCGGTCTTACGTCCACTTTACTGCGGCGAAAGAGTCGTGCATTAGACTCTGTTGCAATATCTACGGACCGATGCCCGCTCTACCGCGCCGAAAAGCTCGAGATATGAACTCCATAGCAAGAGAAACCCTCCCACATAGTAATCTAAAGGATATATATAACTGATTGTTCCTGATCACCTGGGCACTACATGGTGCAAACTATAGAGAATTAAGACAAATTCAGCTGGATTCCTTTGATGAATAGCTATCCGTATATAGAACTTTTAGTTTGACCTGTGGAGTGAAGCTTGGCAGTCATTTTGAATTTCCTCCTCATTCCAGACAGAAGCTGCTATTTTGTCTGATGACTGCAACATCAGGAGATCGAGGCTGTGATATCCATCCTGCAGGAATCAAGTGAACTCGTAAAGTCTCATGGTAATTTTATCATTTCTCCATTCAAGAAGCCCTCGATTCGGAGGCTTCGGAAGCCATCTATCATACCATCTGACCAGCTTTTTGTTTTCGCCATAAGCAGGCTATAGGTGAGAAACGAACGGGGCTAAGTTTAAAAGTTTGGTATTATCTATTGGCTCATATACGGATACCAATAGTGAGTCATGGACTCATACGGATTAAAAAGGGGTAGCAGGCCAAGAAGACGCGAGTCGGAACACGTAACATTCAACCATCGCGTCCATCCCGTTGTGGCAGGATCCGAGCTAGAGGTAGTTGAGGCTTATATGAGTCAGTGCAATTGACCGGTAATCGTGGGGTGGACCACGCGACTCAGCCCTGACATCGGCGTTTATTCGTGGGGCGATCCCCGATCTAAGCAGGGCGGGAACGTTGTTGATTAGCAAAAATGTCGCAAATGCCACCGTAAGCAAGGGAATTACGCCAGGCGATTTGTGGAATGTTTACTTCTCATGTATCCACTGCCACTTCCTAGAAGCCACCAGTAAACGTCTAGACCGGCCGGCCTGGCTTCTAGCATTGTTAATTATGTCAGATCTTTCTTGGCTTTTCTGGCGAATACTGCCACGCGGACCGTCTTTGCCACAGGGCTGGATCGGTTTGGTGGTCGATTCCTTAGATACTGAACGATTGGTCCATAAGATGACGTCGGTCCTAGTTAGGAAGTGCTTCCGGTAAGGGAAGGAAAGCGGCCTAGAATTCCGAATCCATCAACATGGGAATGCAAATAGCTACAAGACGAGAATATGGACACGCGAAGAATTACTCAGATATATAAACTCGTTTGGCGGAAATGATGAAATCAAAAATAAAATGTGGTATCCAGCAACAGCAACATATCCCTACGTGCAACTTGTTCGTGATGGACATCTACCTTCTTCAGTCCCCCTTTTCGATGTCGCCAGACTTCAGGGTTTGGAGGCCACCTCAAGTTCTCTATATCCTGGGACCTTCCCAACAAGAATTCTATCTGGTTACTGCTGGCGGTCTGATTCGAGATGGAGACACAGTTTATATGCTCGTGGTTCAAGACGTCTCCCTAATGGGCTGGTGTTCATGTAAAGGAAGCGGGTCATCGGCAAGACACCACTCGAGCTGCACTCCAGTATCAAAGCACATCATCTACCAACAAGATCTGCAACAAGATCCTGTGGGGCTCATCGGCTCGCTTGTTCACTATTCCATCGACCAAGGATACGGGCTTGTCCGCGTAAACCCCGAGTGGTTCGCCGGCGACGAGGAAGCCGTGGCACAAGAAGCCATTCCTATCGAGCAGCTAGAGGCACACACCGACGAGCCTGAAATAATGGACTTTATCGAGTTCACCACCGCAAGTGGTGAGGAGGTTACTGGTGTCATTGTGGCCTCGCAGAATCATTGCGTGCAGTCTGGCAGCGGTCGAAGAAGAATCGCGGCTCTCGTAGTTAACACATCGAGTTACTCTGTCAAACCCGAAGACTGCGGCGCATGGGTTCGGAGATCAATCGCATCTGATCGACCGATGTTACTCGGACATATTGTTGGATTCAGCGAAAACGAAAGTTACGGCATGCTACTTCTGCCGTTCAATCGATTCAGGGACGACATGCGCAGGACACTTCGTCGAAAGGTTTTCAACATGCTCGGCTGAAATCGAAGATAATATGGCTACATAGTGACCGCGGTGGTCAGCAAAACGGGTAATAACTGGCACTGTCTGAAATAACTGGGATCTGAGAAAATTAGATGACAAGAAGCGTCACCGCTGCATGGAGAATTGGGATTAGCATTGTATCACACGGCAAGGCATTGTCGGTTTTAACATCGGCAGGTATACGATGTTTTTTTCCACTGTTTATCGGTTGCACATTCGTTCAATTTTTTTCTGCGTCACATTTACCAGAGAGAGTTAGAAAGCCAGATAGAATAAATATCTCATCGCCAACACTGAAGCAAAGAGATGATGGGGTAAAATAAGTACTTGTACTTCAAAATGCCCCATAGAGATAAACAACCTTTGAAAAGATGTTCATAACTGCTGCAATATATGAACTTTTAGATCAGCTGCGCAACGCCTTTTCCAGTGATGAGCAAGAAGACGCGAAAGAGGATATAAAAGAGCGGGTTAATGCCATTTAAACTAGGATGCGAGTTCTCTTCATTTCTCGTCTTATATTATTACTAGAAGGGTTACCGGCATTATTAAGGCTGCATGTTTCTCTTTTCTGTTGAAAGTGGTTCGGCGGGATGAGACTTATCGCGAGAAAACCCAAACCATCACGTCAAATCGACGCGGCACAGCCCCATGGCACCCCAGAACTTGATGGGGACATTTCCCAGCGAGCGCTAATATGCACATCGCTCTTTTTCTGAGACGTTATTTCGGTTCTTGAGCGTCATGAACACTGGCTCGGCAAAGGCAGTAAATTTGCGATCTTGCCCACGATACTAGCCTCCTGGCCAAACTCAGATGGTGATACTGCAGGTGAACATAGATGCGTCCTTGACCTAAATCGCCGTGCCTTGCTTCAGCAGGCCGTGTCTGGAGTGAGCTATTCGTAGAAGCCACGCCTCGCAATACCCGGCCCACTTGCAGTTCTCGAGATTATTCGGTTCCATCGGGTTCTTTGGGGTATCTACCCTCCTTTATAGCTAGGTGTAAGCTTTCTTGTCGTAATTATCCGTATAGTTATTAAATATCTGTTATATTGCTTTATATCCGAAAATAAACCTCAAGGTGAGCTACGCCCTATTTGGTCTCATGAGATGGGAGGGTGACCTTGACAACCATGCTATCTGTCCAGTGCTCCATTTTCCATCTGGCCTTTTTGTAAACCCGCATAACCATCATGTGCGTTAGGTGGTTTGTATGTTATGAAAATTATGTCAAATAATGCTGTGGGTAATCCGGGCGACTTCTCAAGCAAATTTGGGAATGGTGTAGACAAAGGCGACGACAAGCAGTAAATAGAGACAAAGACAGTGGAAAGTATGAAAAGAATACAGCGATACACAGTGATTAAAGGTAACGACAAAAACTGAACCAGACAAGAAGCAGTGAATGTGCACACAAAAGACAATATCCTGAAGGATCACATAATCACGTGCGGTTCCATGGTAAGAAGAACTGTATAAGCATAATGGTTTTTATCTATTCAATGTGGCGACCACCATTGCTGTCTTTCACTTTATAGTATTCAGAAGGTCAATGAGAGCAAGAAATACAAGGCCCGTGTTTATCCTACCGATTAACGTCCCACACCCACATCCGGGACACCCCCACATGTGGGACACCTAAAAATGCCTTATCAACACCGCTAGCCTCCAACTTCAACCTCTTTTATCTTTACTAATAACGTAGTCCACGGTCCAATTGCACACACGGTCCAACTGCACACTTCGGCAGATTTTCGTACGCTACCACTTTGACCTGCGGTTTTTCACCACATAACTATGGTTGGTTCTTGGAATGAAAGTGATATGATTCTAGCATTACATGCGCTTCAATCTGATCCAAAATTAAGTGTACGTCGCGCTGGTCAGATCTATAACGTACCTTTTAGAACCCTTGCGTATCGACGCGACGGTAAAACCGCTCGAGCGATTACGCGATCGCCAACGCAAAAGTTGACTCCTTCCGAAGAAGAGGCAATCGTACGACATATAACCGACCTAGATTCGCGAGCATTTCCTTCCCGATTGAGTGGTGTTGAAGATATGGCCAACCGATTACTTCGAAGTCGCGACGCGGGACGCGTCGGCGTCAACTGGGCCTCGAGCTTCGTAAGACGACAACCAGACCTCCGGACGCGTTTAAATCAAAGGATCGACTATCAGAGAGTCCTCTGCGAAGACCCCGATGCGTATCGCGCGTGGTTTGACCTAGTACGGAATACAATTGCGAAATACGCGATCCAGGAGGAGGATATCTACAACTTCGACGAGACCGGTTTTGTGATGGGCCAAATCTCGTCCGAAATGGTCGTGACGACTTCTGATCGGCGCGGAAGGCCTAGAGCAGCCCAGCAAGGAAATCGGGAATGGGTTACAGTTATTCAAGGCGTTGGGTCGTCCGGTTATGCCCTCCCTCTGTACATCATTTTCGCCGGCAAAACCCACCTCTCGTCATGGTACGAAAACAGCCCATTACCGCCTGATTGGGTTATCGCAGTTACTAAAAATGGCTGGACTACGAACGAGAGAGGTGAAGATTGGATTAAACACTTCGATCATCACACCAAGTCTCGTACGAAAGGTACTCATCGCCTATTGATCCTCGACGGTCACGAAAGCCATCACTCGACCGATTTCGAGGTATATTGCAAAGCTAACAATATCGTCACGCTTTGTATGCCTCCTCATTCGTCGCATAAGCTCCAGCCTCTTGATGTTGGTTGTTTTCGCGGGTTAAAAAGAGCGTACGGAAAAGAAATCGAAGATCTCATGCGAGCACATATAAGTCATATCTCGAAAGAAGACTTTTTACCGGCGTTTTTAAACGCGTACAACGCAACTTTCACGGTTTCAAATATCCAAGGAGGTTTCCGAGGGGTAGGAATAGTTCCGTACGATGCAGATTATGTCATATCACAGCTCGATGTGAAATTACATACGCCAAAACCTCCGGGTAGCTCGGCTGGTGTCAGGGTACGGCTAGGCCGAAGGCAATAGTACAGAGTGATGGGGAGTAACGGGCGTCCCTCCTACGTAGCACCGGGTGGTCACTGGCGGTCTCAGGTAGGGGTGCCCACGGTGATGCATTGATCTCTGCCCTCTCTATCTTCCTCCGTCTCGACTCCTTACTTATAGCCAGCCGAGGTTCTCTCTTGGATTCTGGATGTTTGCTTCCGTATGTCTGTGTTCCTCCGACTTTGGCCAATATCTTGGACAGCGGCTCCTTATCTGCAACCAAGCGATTCCCTATCCGCTGCAAACGGCTTCAACGGCTCTCATTCGCCACAAGCGGCTCTCTAGCCGCCACAAACGGCTTCCCGGCTCCTCATTCGCCACAAACGGCTTCCTACCTGGTGGAAGCCGGCCCGCCTCGGATGAGACTTGTGGCTCTGACAACTCCTTCCCTATCCTACTTCGAGATGGTCCTTATATAGATAGCTAGGCCGCCGCTTGGACCCGGCATAACAGCAGGGTCGGCGATGCCAAGGATCTTGACTCTCGTCATCCCAAAGCTTCACATAGATTGTAATCATGATTCGGGAGTCTTTTGTCCGAAACACCCCTCCGGCGGCCCGCCGGTGTCCTGCGTTCAGTGTCCTGACACCCACTGGTGCCTATGGCATTCTGTTCTCTGACAGAATTGAACCCGGTACTACCCCTATAGTGGTCTGTTCGTCAGGGCGCGACAGCCATTCGCCGGATGCGGTGCGGACTTGGTGGCCATGAGTCCTAAACCCTACCAAATCGACCATGCGACCGTTTGACCAAACAACGGAAGAGTTGCTACCATTTGATACGAAAAGGTAAGGGGACCCACTGGTTAGGTGAATCCCATTCAATTAGATACTATAACGTTGCGCACTGCTGCATTATAGCATCCTTCCCCCTAGGTGCACGCATCAAGAATATTATTAGTGGATAGAAATATACTGGTCTCTGGCCTTCGAGTATAGCTAGACCCCTTATGAGCCCCCTGCTCCTTAAGAATACGTTAGTACTAATTAAATAGCCTAGTTAGACTTGTAAAGGGCACTCTAATAGTAAGGGTAGTGTAACGGGGTAAGGCCGGACATCAGGGAAATAGGTTACGGGGGCTAGGGAGGGCTCCCCTGTCTTCCTTACTTCAAAAAGGGACACGGAGATAACAAGCGACTTTCAACAACTCGTCATCTTTTTCATCATCTCTTTTATCATCTTATTCAATCAACTTGACTTTTGTTTTCTATTCTAGTTAGTGTAACGGGGTAAGGCTGGACATCAGGGAAATAGGTTACGGGGCTAGGAGAAAGTTTATTTTCTCTTCTTTAAGAGGCACAGAGGCAGAGTAGGACACGAGTTCCCCATCTTCACGCATCATCATCCTCATCTTCATATCATCATCTCCTTCTTATCTATATCTTCACCTTCGCTTTTCGGTCAGTTATTGTTACGAACCGTTGGCTCTAACCTGGCCAAAACCAACCCGACAGGCCCTACAATAGGCCATGACGGAACCCCGCAGGAACAAAGCCCCATAAGGACGGAAAGGAACAACTAGGCCCCCGACTAAAGGAAGAGGTCACGTGATAGGGATCACGCTTGGCAGAGTGATCCCCTACTTGGGATCACCAGGAGCGACGTGATCCAAATGATCCAACGAGATCAGTGAAGGAGAGATGGGTATATAAGGGACAGGACTCCCAGGCATTTCATAGATAGACAGTCTCTACTTCAGTGATCAATCTAAGCATCAATCTAACCCATTGGTGAGGCAAACTGCCTTAACGACTCTATTCCCGATTACACTACTTGAATACTTCAGTTACCCAAAGCACTATACTCCATACGTCAGACCCCGATATTATTGCTTGAGGACTCCGCAGCAGGACTTACTTACTAGCACAAACCCTTACAGACTCTTTAGTGGTTTACGCAGCTAGAATATTAGAGGTTTCGTTACAGTTATTTAGTTATCTAGTTATTCAGCTTATCTTTACGTTCGAGATCCTATTATCACGATACGAGTATCAGAGGCACATCCGACCAACTCGCGCACCAGACGTGTAAGAGCTTCGCTCTTATAACCAGTACCACGATCTTCGTCTGATAAGACCAACAGATCCCATCTGTTGGTACTGGAGCCGTCTGTTCAGTGTGTTAGGTAGTAGGTATATCCTACTGACCGCCTGACCCCGTTTCATTAGCTAGCCCTTCAATTATGCGGTTCATTCCTACGTGCACTTAGACACTACTTTCGAAATCCTATTATTCTGCCCTTATCTTAGCCTTGACAATGACAAAAGCCTGTATCTTGCTCTGATCAGAGCAGTCCAGTGCCAGTGAGAGCTTCAATTCGACTCCCAGAGCCAGACGTCTTGTTTTGAGA